TGCGAAAATAAAATTTAAAAAAACTAGTCCAATGGTTTTATGATGAATCATAAGATTCTTAATGAAACTTTGATGCGAGATTATAAAGAAGTTTACATTTTAGAAAATTGATTCAGAAGAAAATAGTGTTTTTTTGTAAATTGCGGTTTAGCCACTTTCGTATTATGTATTTTTTAGAATTTAAAAAGTATAAGGTACTACTAATACAACATTTACTTATATATAAACTAGGCATGTACTTTGAAGATTGCTATAACTAAATGTTAAAAGTCGTTTTATGCATTTATATGCGTAGATGAACTTTTACTTTGACCACAATAAGGTTGACCACAGTATCCAAACAAAAGTTCAATTTAAAACAAAATGTCAAACAAAAGTATGGTGTGCTTGTGGTTGGTCAATAGACGTTGATGCTACTACCGATAAGTGTGAAGTGTCGTATGACCAAATTTCCTTTCTAATTCCTAGTTGAGGTCAAAGTTTTATATAGATGAGTTTTAATAAATTGTGTTGTTGTTGAACATTCACGCAATTACGTCTTGGCATCGAATATGATAGTCGTACTTAAAAAGATGTCAATAATTAACGTATTTCGCAGTGTTTTCGATATTTCATCTGATTATTTATCGATTAATACTAGTAATCCAGCAATATGCATTAGATCAATATCAGCAGAATCAATTTCATTTTATTTCTATTGCACATTTTTAGTCAAAGAAAACAGAAAGAATTCATCCACACCGGCCACTATTTTTTTTCCCCCAAAGTGAGTGTTTATTTTAAATTATTGGTCAGTTGGCAAAAAGGGCACGTGGAATACATGCCAAGATGTTCCGTCATTCTCAAACACGTGTCGAATCTTTGTGTTAGATATTAGACCGTTCACGATTCATCATGATTGATTGATGCATGGGCAAGAAGGAAGATTCGTTGAATAAATCAAAACAGTGATCTAGTTTGTAAAATAAAGACGCCGTAAAATGAATGCTTCTACTGGTTCCACGAAATGGATTAAAATAAGCTTTTGAAATTATACACCTACATATGTTTTTAGTGAAATTAACGATATGTTTAAAACGAACAAATTGGAGTTTACTCTGACAAATATCGGTTGCAAATAGTATAAGACAATAGTAATATATAGAACTCATTATGTAACAGAAAGTATCTAAAGTTTATGAGAGTGGTGATGTAGTAGTTGTACCCCGCATGAGCCCGTCGTGCTATCACCTCCCTTTATTTATTTTACCTAAATTGGTTTGCCATTTTCGACTCTTTTTTTACTAAAAGAAAACAAAACGAAGAATGCTTCGGGCCGAAGTAGTTTATAAAGAACCTTTACTTATTCGATAAAACAAAGGTTAGTGATCCATTGTTTTGCGACACAGAGATAGTGGACTACCGTTATTTAATTAATTTTACATCATTAAAGTTTCACAAAAACATCAATTTTTATTTATTTATTGCATATAAATGTATCATTGATATTTAAAAGCGGTTATAGTCTATTTAAATGGACAAGCATTAACCACTAAACCACCATATTGTATGGTTAGACTTAGTTGTACTTGAAGATTTTTTTTTTTACTCCAAGATACATTAAGCTTAAAAATGACGTAGTTAAATTTTTTTTTTTTTTTTTTTTTTTTTTTTTTTTTTTTTTATTAACGTAGTTAAATTTTTGTTTGTTACTACTACTTTTACCACGAATTCTTTCTGTTATTATTTAAATAACTAACGCATAATATATATTTCGTTTAAATATAGGTGGTATCAATCGTATTTTGTATAGAACATACGCCGAGGTAATTTTTTTTCTTCAAAATCTAGAGTTTATACATGGCATGGGACTTAAATAAAATAAATACATTGCATGTAGCTATCGACATAAAGAAAAGCATCTGATGTAGCTATGAAATTTACAACGACTGCTAAACAAATTGTCCACTTAATAAATAGTTTATACTGATAATTTGGGAATAAAGCTGACAATGACTCTGTCGGATGTCGTCATTCGCCGAAGTTAACATTCACTAAAAACGAATAATGTATATCGGTAATAAAATAAGATTTTATTTAGACCAAAAAAGTCCACCGGAAACAAGAAAATAAAATAAAAATCTTAGTGCTCTGAATAAAAAAGTAAATTAATTATCACAAAAGGGAAAGGCCGTAGAGAAGATTGTAACGTTTAAAAGCCCAATATTTTGGGCAATTTTCGTTTGGTTACATGTCAGTCACCGTTCGTCCTTTCAAGTACATCTTATTCTCTCCTTTATTTTTTCTTAGAGATTAATGTTTTCGTTTCGATTTAGCTTTTGAGATACAACCACCAAATTTACTTGTATAACAATGAAATAATGGGCCTTTAAGGCCCATATACATTGAGAATTTTAAGATTATATTTTGGCCTCTAAACGTTTCGTTCAACTAAGTCCTTTGCTTACGAGTTACGACATTTTATATCATGTCATTTCACCTCCAAACAAAAACACATATCATCAAATATTGTCATTTCACCTCCAAATCAAAATTACAAATCATCTCTCTGTTTCATAGTCAATGGCCGAAGGAAAGTAAATAGCATGAGTTGTTTTTTTTTCTGATCAAAAGTGAGTAGTTTTATGATTTAGTTTTTGTTTCACAAAAAATACGTTTTGCATATTTAATTTTTTTAAAAATTGTAATCGTCATTATGATTTAAGTTTATGAGTTCCATAATTGTATACTGTATAGTGTGTTTACAAAAACAGATGATATAAACTTTAGTTGTTTTCTTAAAATGAGGGAATTAATGTATCGTAGATTTAAAGTCAACTAGAGGAGTCAATGGCAGGGAAATTCTTCTTCTTTTTTTCAACCCAACTCGAGGAACCATAGCTAGATTAGCATATAGTAGAATACATAAGAAGGAACATGATCCATAGATTAGGCAAAAATTTAAGTTTACAATTCATACATTTGCATCTTACTTAAATGGAGCAATAGAAATCCTAGTTCCAAGGTCAAGAGTCAATTTCCTTTTTTTTTTTTTTAAATAAATTTTTAAATTGATGTGATAACTTAATATATAGATATACAAAAGATGGGAAAATAAACATATAGGAGTTTTCCTTATGGTTTAAAAAGAAATATGAATGGTTGAGAGAAATAAAAAGCCAAATGGCGAAGGATCAAATGGCATTGATTGAATTCCTAAAGTGAGACTTTAACCTTTAAATTATAATTATATAAATCATTTGATTTGACCTCAATTTTACCTAAAAGCATAGACGAACCCAATATCCACAAAATATAAGTTTACAACAAAACCAATTTTATTATTAATAATAAATTTTTAGATATCTGTTATTTAAATTCCTAACACAAATAGATGCATTAGTGAACTTAAGTTATTGAATTATTTTATTTAGTAACGATTTTCTTCTCTATGTCGTTAAGTTTATGATTGTAGATTTGCATGTAGTTTATAATTTCGGAAGAGATAATCTAATGAAAACTAATGGCCCACCATAACACTAACAAGGCTGGGTTTGTGGCTTTTACTGTTGGACTCATTATAATTAAAGTGTAATTCATCAACTTTTTTGAATCTTTTTCAACTCAAATTTTTGTATTTTATAAGGAAGTGGGTAAAGATCACCTCCAACTTTTACAAAAGAAACTGTTAAGAATGCAAAAAAGGGAATAATAAGAGACTAAAATGATGAGTTATTATGGACCATGTGTGCACTCGTAAATCCAATTATTGAAAACATTTACACTTTTTCTTTTTCCAGGGATGTCATAAATACAATTTACCAACTTCATGAATCATGCTTATCCAAACTCAACATATCCAAAAACATGTAATCGATCTTCAAATTGTTAGCATTCTATACCCTAATATCAAAATGCGTATTTTTGCTTATAACATTGATAATTTCATTTTCATTCCATTTAATCATATAGAGAATGTTAAGCTTTTTAAACTCATGGAGTATGGATTTTATTTTCCCTCCATTTAATCATAATAGCTTGACGACAAATCATTATTTCGTACATAAATTGAATGCAGAATCTTCCGGACGATTGAAATAACTCTCTACTTACAAAAAATCGTCATCAAATGAGTAAAAACAAATAATAATAAGCAGCACATGAAAGCCATTTACAGATTAAAAATACTTGGAAAGTATCCATAAACAAAGACAAAAATCCCCCAAAAAATGGAAAACAGCAGAGACATTCGAAACCATATTCCAAAAACAAAAACAAGAAACATGCCTTATTTTTCTAAAATTCAAAAACATCCAATATATTCGATTTAGATTCCTTCGAGCTATATGGGTTGTGTGAACAAAAAACAGAAGAATCTACGTAAAAAAGTCAAAAACTCAAGAAAATTATAAACAATTTACAACTTTACCTGCATATGATATAAATGTCTTGTAGCTTACTAATTCTAAGAATCTATCTACTTGTTTCTTCGGTTCACTAACTAAAGAGAGAGAGAAAAGTACATTTTGATATAATAAATGAAGAAGACCGTAACAAGAAGTGTGTAGTCGTATTGATTATAGAATTAAAGAAACTCTGCAATATTTTTGCAGAGAGACAGAGACACAAAGAAAGAGAGAGCATTTAGGGAGCAGGAAGTGGAGTGTTTGGTTACGTGAGCTGTTCTCTTTCTCTATCTTTAACTCTCTTCACACCTCTCTCTCTCTTTCTCTTCTTCATATCTCTCTCTCTCTCTCTGTCACATTAGTGTGATGAAGCCATGAAAATGGAGTTGATTTCAGTGGTTTTCTTCTTCTTTTGCTCTGTTTTGAGTTCCTCTGGTTTAAACTCTGATGGATTGGTTTTGATGAAGTTCAAATCCTCTGTTCTTGTTGATCCTCTGTCTTTATTACAGACATGGAATTACAAACACGCAACTCCATGTTCTTGGAGAGGAATCTCTTGTAATAACGATTCTAAAGTCTTAACCGTGTCTCTTCCCAATTCTCAACTTCTTGGTTCGATTCCTTCTGATTTGGGTTCTCTCTTAACACTTCAAAGTCTCGATCTTTCCAACAATTCCTTCAATGGGCCATTACCGGTTTCTTTCTTTAACGCTAGAGAGCTTCGTTTCCTCGATCTCTCTAGTAACATGATCTCCGGCGAAATCCCTTCCGCAATTGGTGATCTTCACAATCTTCTAACCCTAAATCTCTCTGATAATGCCTTGGCGGGAAAGTTACCTGCTAATTTGGCGTCTTTGAGAAACCTAACGGTGGTTTCTTTGGAGAATAATTACTTTTCCGGCGAAATTCCCGGCGGTTGGAGAGTTGTTGAGTTCTTAGACCTGTCGTCGAATCTGATCAATGGCTCGCTACCACCTGATTTTGGCGGAGATAGTCTCCGCTACTTGAACGTCTCGTTTAATCAAATCTCCGGCGAAATTCCACCGGAGATTGGAGCTAATTTCCCAAGAAACGTCACCGTTGATCTCTCCTTCAATAATTTAACCGGTCCAATACCAGATTCTCCGGTTTTCTTTAACCAGGAATCAAATTTCTTTTCAGGAAACCCGGGTCTATGCGGCGACCCGACCCGAAACCCGTGTCTTATCCCTTCTTCGCCGTCAATCGCCTCCGACGCCGACGTACCGACGTCTACACCGGCAATCGCCGCCATACCGAACACAATCGGTTCAAACCCGGTTACCGATCCAAATTCACAACAAACCGAACCAAATCCCCGAACCGGGTTGCAACCCGGAGTTATAATAGGGATCGTAGTCGGAGATATCGCCGGAATCGGAATCCTCGCCGTGATTTTCCTCTATATCTACAGATGCAAGAAGAACAAGACCGTAGATTACGACAGCAACAAACAGAGACAAGAAACAGACACAACAATTACGCTATCAACATTTTCATCTTCTTCTTCTTCACCAGAAGAATCAAGAAGATTCAAGAAATGGTCGTGTCTACGAAAAGATCCTGAAACGACGCCGTCTGAAGAAGATGATGATGATGAAGACGAAGAAAGCGGTTACAATGCAAGTCAACGGTCAGGATATAACAAGTTAGTGACCGTTGATGGAGAGAAGGAGATGGAGATTGAGACTCTGCTTAAGGCGTCAGCTTATATTTTAGGAGCCACTGGTTCGAGTATAATGTATAAAGCCGTTCTTGAAGACGGAAGGGTTTTCGCGGTTCGTCGGCTCGGTGAAAACGGTTTGAATCAGCGCCGGTTTAAGGATTTTGAGTCGCATATTCGAGCCATTGGGAAATTGGTTCACCCGAATTTGGTTAGACTTTGTGGGTTCTATTGGGGTACCGACGAGAAATTAGTCATTTACGATTTTGTCCCTAACGGCAGCCTCGTGAACCCCCGTTACCGTGAGTCTTTTAACGTTTTGTCTGTTTAAAATTGTTTGCTAAAGCGCGCATATATATTCTTTGTGCTATATCTTGCATATGTGTGTGTATGAGTGCTGAGTTTTGAGTGTTTTTGGGCAGGAAAAGGAGGAGGGTCTTCTTCACCGTATCACCTACCATGGGAAACTCGGCTCAAGATAGCAAAGGGCATTGCACGTGGGCTGTCTTATCTCCACGAGAAGAAGCATGTGCATGGAAACTTGAAGCCTAGTAACATACTTTTGGGCCACGATATGGAGCCCAAAATAGGCGATTTCGGACTCGAAAGGCTTCTCACAGGCGAAACGAGCTACATCCGAGCTGGTGGATCTTCTCGGATTTTTAGTAGTAAGCGTTACACAACTTCATCGCGAGAATTCTCGTCTATGGGGCCTACACCAAGCCCGAGTCCGAGCTCGGTGGGGCCAATGTCACCCTACTGTGCACCAGAGTCTCTCCGAAGCCTAAAACCGAGTCCGAAATGGGACGTTTACGGCTTTGGAGTGATCCTTCTCGAGCTTCTCACGGGAAAGATTGTGTCTGTTGAAGAGATTGTGCTAGGAAATGGACTGACGGTTGAGGACGGGCACCGCGCAATGAGAATGGTTGATGTGGCTATCCGCAGCGAGTTAGATGGCAAACAAGAGTTTTTACTCGATTGTTTCAAGTTAGGCTATAGCTGTGCATCTCCTGTGCCTCAAAAGAGGCCAACGATGAAAGAATCTTTGGCAGTTCTTGAAAGATTCCATCCTAACCCCTCTGTTATTAAGTCTTCATCGTTCCATTACGGACATTAATTATCAGTTTGATACAACTAGTTAGTCAATTTGATTTTATTGCTAACTTGTTTCGTTGTATAAAAATTTGTATTTCCTGTTTTTGTTTACGATTCCCAACAGTAATAATCTTTTTCATTGAAGAGAATATAATAGTTACTAACGATAGATATACAAATGATGAGAAAAAATAACATTCCTTATGGTTAAAGAAGAAATCGGAATGGTTGAAACTTGAAAGAAATAAAACAAACCAGCATTGATTGAATTGCTAAAGCGATATTTTTGCCTTCAAATTATAAAATCTAATTTGAGATGATACGCATTTTTTGTTACCATAATACTATTATCGAATTTATAAATTATAAGACAATCAATTTTAGAAAGTTTAGCATTTCAGTTTTAAAATTTCAAACTAATTTCTTTTTTTTTGAATACAATTCACGCACTGATATGTGAAATCTTTAATGATCAAATCAGAATAATATTTTTCATTCAAGAGAACATTCCTTATGGTTAGAGAATAATGGATTTGAAGTGATTTTAGGTAAGATTTCAGTAATTTTATTGTTTTGATACTAAATCTAGGAAAAATGGGTAAAAAAACCCTCACCTTTCTTAAAAACATAGAAAAAACCCTCAACTTTTTTTGTGGGTTTTTAAACCCCCACCTTTTTATAAATGGTAAAATAAACCCTAGTATTAATAAACTTAATTTAAATTCAAAAAAATAGTTATACTAAAACATAAATAAATATAAACAATTTGATTTAGGGTGTTTTTTCTAAATTTCTATTTTACAATATATTTCTAAATTGAAAATATGTAAGTCATGATGTAAAAAAGTTAACTAGTGAAGTTTTATTCGGTGTGTTACAAAAATTCATCAACGTGAAACCAAACAGATTTTATTACGAATTATATGTAAATTCTTATATCGAAACCGAATATTTTTATTAATAAAAGTTTATTAGGTTCGATCACACAAATTTACTAACGTAAAACCATACCAAATTTTATAATACAAGAAAAGTACATGAATTTCCACATCAAAATATTTTCGTTGGACAAACTAAATATGATTTACTAACAATTAATATTTCTATATATATATATATATATATATTACGATATGTTAAAATATAATATAAATTATATTTAATTAATCATTATTTAACTATATTTTATCCAAAACCTGAACACTCGAATAAAAAAAAATCAAATGTGATATCCTATAAATTTTTGTAGTTTATATAACATAACTTCTAATTGTAACAAAAATAATTTGCCTAATCTCAACTAAATGTTCATAGCGCAAAAACCCTAATTTTAGAAAAAAAATCGTAAACTCAAATTTGAAATAAAAAATCATAAATTAAATTATTTTTGTTTCTTACTGTTTTAATATAATGATTTTTAAAAAATTAAATTAAGTTTATTAATATTAGGGTTTATTTAACCATTTATAAAAAGGTAAGGGTTTAAAAACCCACAAAAAAGTTGAGGGTTTTTTTTATGTTTTTTAAAAAGGTGAGGGTTTTTTTACCCATTTTTCCCTAAATCTATATAACGATACGGAACTAAGTTGAATTTGTGGTATATCCAACGACTAATGCATGATCCAAAATCCAGTTAGTTTTTGTATATCATTATGTAAATTTAGTATCAAAATTATAAAATTAAAAATCAAGCACAAAAAGCTTTCAAAAATTCGAATAGAAAAAATCACTATTTTAAAAACTCTTTTAAAAATTTGAATTTTTAAAACTTGAATGCTAAATCTACTACATAACGATATAAAAACAAGTTGAATATTTAGAATCTCCAACGACTAATGCGGGATCCAAAATTCAGTTAGTTTTTATATATCATTATGTAAATTTAGTATCAAAAAATAAAAGTAAAAAACAACACCTAAAAGCTTTTAAAACTCTAAAAGGAGCAAAATCACAATTTTAAAAACTATTTAGAAAATTCAAATTAAAAAATTGAATGCTAAATCTACATAATGATTCAAAAATTAAGTTGAATATGTAGAAACTCTAACGACTAATACGAGATCCAAAATCTGGTTAGTTTTCATATATCATTATAAAAATTTAATTTCAAAACAATAACATTAAAAAAACAAAACAAAAGAAAGATTTTAAAAATCTGAAAAGAAGCAAAATCAAAAATTTTAAAACTATTTCTAAAAATTCGAGTTAAAAATTTGAATGCTAAATCTACATAATGATAGAAAAAACAAGTGGAATGTCTGGAATCGCTAACGACTAATGCTGGATCCAAAATCCGGTTAGTTTTCATATCATTATGCAAATTTAGTATCAAACAATAATTTTTTAAAAAAAAAAACACAAGAAAAACTTTTAAAAATCCGAAAATAAAAAAAAATTAAAAACTATTTTTTAAAATTTGAATTAAAAACTTGAATGCTAAATCTACAGAATGATAGGAAAAACAAGTTGAATGTTTGGAATCGCTAACGACTAATGCTGGATCCAAAATTCGGTTAGTTTTCATATCATTATGCAAATTTAGTACATGCAAACAAGTGAATATCTCCACAATGTGAGAGAGCTATGTTGAAGAAACAGATTTGCATAATCATTAATGTATATGGGGAAGAGGGAATATTTGTCCACATGCAAGAAATAGAAGGGATTGGTGTGTTGTAGGTAAAATAATCTACTCCATTGATGGCTGGGGAAATTTGTGTTGGTGTGAACCAGGGCAGAAGGTTTCTGAACAAGGGGAAATGTGGTGGAGGGACATCAAGGGTTTGGTCTCTCTCAAGGAGGGTCTCTCTAGCTCCAGACTGGTCCACTTTGATGGCAAATTTGAGGCTATGTGGGAGTCCTATAAGATGAAGATGAATCGTGGAAACATAAGACTCATAGATTTACTTCCGGGAGCGAGACTAAGCTATTCTGGTCCCAAGATTGGATTATTTTTGCAGACTATGCATATTGCTGGTGCTCTGTTAAAGTTCTTTCCATATTCTGCATGCTACAGAATCCATTCACCAAATATCATCAATAAAATTTATATTGAGCATTTTTGTGTATGTGTTTTTTTGTTTCATTCAAACTCTAGCAATTACACAGTAAAATGATATTTAGGGATACAACTTAACCACATTTTGCATCCATCCTTTTTTTAAATTATAAATCCTATAAGAGCAAGTAAAGCCCATTACGGCCCAATAGGGAAACACGAGGAAAGAAGCTGAATTGCTCAAGAACACGGATGAGAGACTTAGGATTGAAGCAGATGAGTCGATTTTGGCTTGGAATGGGAAAGGATCTGTGTTTATGAGTTGTAAAGAAAGGAGAAGATGAGAAGAATTCACTTCTTGATGAGAACAATAGACTGATTGAAGCTCTTGTTGCTGTTGAATTTGAGCAAAAAGGCTAAAGAAGAGAATCATAAGAGTCTGAAATAGAGGTAGCTATGGAGGAAGAGAGACATAGAAGCTTAAGCAGACAAGAGTCTGATGCAGAAAGATGTACAAGCTGTTGAGAAGAAGATTGAGGGAAAAGAAGAAGAAATATATCATTTTATTATATTTCTCTTAATACATAAACAAGCAATGAAGCAAGCAATCTTTCTTCGTATAAAAAGAAATTGATCGACATAAGGATTTATAAAGTTTATATCCTTATGATGAATCAACTACTTTTTTCTGTTGAAATAACTATACATACAAACAATAATAGTACGAGATTAAATTCAATTATAATTCATAAGAATCCCAAATATTTTTTATCGAGCGTCTTCATTCTCAAACACTGCTGATACTTCCACGAACCGGGTTTGGGCTGTACTTAACCGGGTACGAGGCTTCAACCGCAATCCCACACTTACCGGATTTAGAAGCCGCCAAATTTCTCTCCATCCTAATGTAACCTTCCTCACCCCAACGTGGACCCCAAGAGTTCCTCACAATCCAATAGTCAACACCGTTCTCTGACCCGTACCCAACCGCAACCACCGCGTGATCAAGATTCGTACCACAATTTCCGGTGAAGATTCCCTGCCAACATAAAACCATAACCGGTTATTCAAAATCAAAAACCCGGTTTGTTACTTACATAATACAAATCAAGGTTGGTTAGCTTACGGTTTGGTAATGTTGGAAAATTCTTCCACCGGCTTCAATAGCTACACTAACCGGTTGCAATGAAATTGCTCTCTTCAACGCAGTCTCGTCTTTCGTAGGAACATCTTCGTACCCATCAATAGTCACAACTTTAGAATTCTTCTGCAAAACACAAAGAGATACAAAATTTTCAGATATTGCAATTCCATTGTAATAAAATGAAAACAGAGTGGCTCTGTTTTTGTGTGTTTACCAAGAAAGAATTGCATTTGCCGCCGAATCCACGGTAAGGATAGTCTTTCTCGGTGTTTAAGCCACCGTTTTTCATGATGAATTGAAAAGCGTAGTCCATTAAACCGCCGTTGCAACCTTGATTGTATGCTTTGTCGCAGTCGACTAGTTCTTGTTCTGATAGAGATATGAGTTCTCCTGTTACGATCTTGTTTATGCCTTCTACTGCTGCAGCAGTCGAAAACGCCCAACAACTTCCTGTGTTGATCAATACACAAACACAAATATAACATTAATACACAACAGCTGCATGTGTTACATGTTAAGTTACACAAATATAACATAAAAGTTTGTTCTGTTACGAACCATGTGTAAATATAGACGTTAGTTAAATAAATTCTTATAGTTTATAATATAGATTATGAAAGGAAAAAGGATAATTAGTAATTACCGCAAGTTCCTTGGTCTTTGATGGGATTAACGGCTCCTTTCAGTCTCCAATCAACCGTCTCTGGAACCTCCATGCCGTTTACGGCGGCTGAGTATTTCTGGTTGACATTCTTGGCCTTAGCGATGCGGCGGGCGGGTTCGGTTCTTGCCCCGAGGTACAACTTGCGGTACTCATCATTAGTAAGATCGGTAAATTTGGTGAGACCAAGCTTGTAAGTAGCGTTCTTGTTGTTTTCGTTGTGTAGATCGATGAATTTTAAGTTGTCTTTGAAAATATTGAATCTTTTGTCTTGGTCGTTGATGATACCGTTGTTGTTGTTGGTTTTCCCGTGTTCCGCGGACCATTGTAAATAGATGGACCTCACTTCTTCATCGGTTCTCCACCAGCCGTCCGATGGAAGTTGGAGATGGTCATTGATGATGGATTCATCACCGGAGGCTAATGAAACGACGACATATAAGAGAAGTAAAGAGAGAACTTTTGTTGAAGGAGCCATATTTGTTTATGTGTTTTGGATAGTTGGGAACACTTGGGATGGTTTGTTTTTTTGGAGGGATGAGAAAACTGGGGGACTATTTATAACCAAAATTTTGGTATTTTAATATTTCAAGTTGGTATACTTTTCTATTATAATGAAATGGGAATAATGGGCATGCAAGATGGTGGACGGTTAGAATTGATTTTTTAATCCGAAATTTGTATATTTTTATTTATTTATCTATAATATCTTCATTTTTCCATTAAAGAAACATTATATTTTGTACAAAATACTAAATACCGGGAGATATTTATGTCTTTTATAAGTATTTTAAAAATACATAATATTTTTCGAGATTGTTAATGCATTTTACAGATCTACAACATAGTATAAAATAATTTTCTCCAAATACAAAATCGGAGTTATAGTTTCTTAATGGATAGTAAATTTCGATCTTATACCTCATGTAGTAATAAAACTAGATTCAAGAAATACATAACATACTTATATTACGTACCATTTATCAGATATTAATAAATTTTGATTCATTGAAAGTCTTCACACTTCGTTTGAATATTATTCAGTTTACCTTTTTTTGCTTGATCAACAAAATATATGTATATATATACATCTTGTTTCCTAAATTAGTTTCACGGGCACATATGAAGGATCAACCATTCTGATTATATGGAATGCAACATAACAAATTAGAATAAAGCATATTTCTAAGCAGCCGACCAAGAAACAAAGTACAAGGGAACACAATTCCCTTTCCCTTGCGACGTATATGTATTTCACCAAAAAAAAAAAAATCAAACTTCGAAGATCTGTGGGGTCAAACTATTCGCCTGTAATTCAAATAGTTTACTATTCTCTTCTAAGTTTGTGACGGAGACACGGAGTTATCTTTTTGACTGTAATTAACTTTTTGTTATCAGTAATATATATTACATGCAAATGAAAAGATGGTTGTTTTTGTTTTTTTTCCGTGGTTTGTTGTTTACATCACCATATCACGAGAGATTTGCGTATTTATTAAAAAAGTTACATATTTATTCGTATCTGACGTACATATAACTATATAAAAAAAGATATATCGGTAGAATACAACACTCATTTTGAGTTTTAGCAAAACGATATTCATTGTGGTATACTTTTTTTTTTTTTTTGCGTCCGACTCAACAACAGCTATGACGAAATATGAAGAAAAAAGAAAAGAAAAGCTATGCGTTATTATTTTTAAATGATTTTTTTTTTCATGGTCACGCAATCTAATTTGATCTTTTTAACCCGATCAGTATTTCACATAAAAATATTTTTGAAAGTTGTCATGGGTTCATGGCTTACGTCTTATGGAGTTATTGTTCCCTTTAAGATGTAGATTCTAGTCAATCAGCCAAACAGACTATTGGCGTCTCACTGGAACGTTTATTATTGGCTATACTACCATATACATGGGAACTTGATCAATACCATTAAAACTGCAATAAAATCGAAACAGGATGATGTACCAGTACCACTTGAAAATATTTACGAAATAACTGCATCTATTCTTCATGATCTAATTTATTTATGTCGAATACTTCACATTATATAGATGCGTGTATATTCAGAGGATTTAGTAAGTTGTAAACTCTAATCCAAAGACATGCAAGCATGTTGACATTGGTTTGTGGAGAGTTTAATTAGGTATAGATGTCTGAGAACTTCTGAATCAAAACGTTACATCGATTTCCAAGAAACTGTGGTCTGGTTTAATAATTTTCATGTCTGAAATAATTCATTTTTGGCTTCCAATTGTGGTCTCTTTTTTAATAGTAGTTGATATAAAGATCTCTATGAAGATTCATAGAAGAAATAAGAAAGAGAATGGAATCTTGAATGATGGGTGGATGAGATGTTCCCATTTCACGGCAGCTTCTTTGCTCACGACTCACGAGGCGCCGTCCCATCTTGACCGTTGGATCTTTCATATACATATGAAACTAGAAAAATAATTGGGAACATATTTGAAACTAGAAAAAGAAGAGAAAAATTGGGATTGGAGGAAATGGGAGGCAAAGAGGTGTCTCTAACCGAGTTTAAAACGGAAGTGGCTTTTGATAAGGTTAAAGAAGCAAAAGTGTCTCGCTCATGTTTCTGACATGTGACAACTAAAGGTGACCGTTTCATTTAAAGAAAAAGGTGACCGTTTCTCTGTTTCTTATAGTAATTCTGTTCAGTTTTGGATATCATTCTGTATGGGAGAAGCTAAGCTACGCACGAAGCATGGGAACATTTATGGCATGTTTGATTCTCGCTTAAGAATTGGAAATTCAAAAACCTAATCCAAAGAAACCGACTCATACCGATGTGAATTGTAAAATGGTCAAAGGACACGACGAACCCATTGCTACGACCATAATAAATAGTAAGAAAGGAAAAAAAAAAAAAAAAAAAAAGGGAAAAAGTGGTTAAAGAAGACATGTGATCTTCTGACAAAACCGCCTTATCTTCCTCCATTATTTCAGTTATGAATCTGTTTGCAGTCTTTGTCTCTCCCTTTAATTCCTCTGTTTTCTTCTATGATTCTGTTTTGTTTTTTTTTTACTTTCTTCACATTTCTTTCTCACGAAGGTATCTTTTCCAATGTCTTCATCTCAAAGATTTTATAATTTTTCTCAAGTTACTAGTAGCTTCTAACAAATCTTAGCTGATCTAGTCGTCATTCGGTAGTAGTAGCCCACTTGCATCATATTGGATGTGTCATAATGAATACAAGAAAAATCAACAATGAGTAATATTTATACACAAAAATATGAACTTGTAAAAGAAAAATTGATTTATTTCATCAATATAAGTAAAATTGAGGGCGGCTTTCATAAAGTCTTGGGTCCATGAGAGAAGATAATGCTTCTATGTAAGAAAACATAAATGAATTGAGAAATATGCTTACAAAACTATACAACCCAAAGTTTTGTTTCTACACTTCTTGTAAAACCCTCAAGAACATTGAAACAAACAATCTTTGTTACTAATAAAGACAAGTTTTAAAAGACCAAAAAATAAAACGATAGTTGAAAAACGAATAATCATCATTCCCCGAAAAACCTGTATACCTTCCATTATCGTAATCTAATTTTCCCGGTTTTGTTTTCCTCTCCGTTACTTGTAATATTTGCGGTATCTGGAGGAGAAGATGATTTCTGAGATTTCTCTAAAACTTTGGTAACAAATGAATAATAATAGTAGAAGGACCTCTTGATCTCTCAAAAGTTTTTTCTTCTTTTCTCAGTTTCTTTCTTGATGCTTAGACGAAGATGAATAAACTTGTGTTGTTGTATCGGTTGGTCTAGGTTCGTGTTTATTTTTCTTACTTTTGCGTTTTGGTTTTCGGATTTTGGTTGAATGTTGTTGCTGCTTCGGTATTACCACGACGGTGTTGCCTTGGGATAATGGCATTTGATCTTTCTTTTTGGTTGGTGGCTCAGGAGGAACATCTGGCCATGGAGTGCGTTTAGCCGCGACTGTAATCTCTAACGGAGGATCAATTATCCATCTGTATTCAGAGAACAATTAAAAAAGAGAACAGAATCAGACAATATGATACCAACATCAACATCTTCTCAGAAAACACAAACCTTTTGTGTGTAGTTTAGCTTGTTCTAACTCAAAGATTATACTAGAGACACATTCAATGACAGAGTTTAAGCCTCATGACTCAAAAAAGAGGAGTGGTCACGTCAATACATCAACATGAGACACTTACGAACTAGGATGAAATTGGACCGACCTCACGCAAATGTTTGGTGAGATTAAATTTTCACACTCCCAACTAATATATGATACTAGTCAAAACTTACTAACTAATCCCTAATTTTAACTTACGCATAAGTCAAGCAAAAGTTGTTACATTCCTTGTGACTAAAGACCTGCTTCCTAAATCGCTATTCATAATTTCGGTTTAATGCCTATCCGTTCTTCAACAAGATTGCAAGATGGTTAATGATACAACAATGTACAGAGCAAAAAGGCATACCCGGGAGGGAATTTGCTATCAGCTCGTGCTTCAACTCGAAGCCACCATAGCAGAACTTGTCTTCCACAGCTTCCAAGAGGTTCCACCATTGAAGGATCCTTCAATAGAGACAAAGGACTATCCACACCTTCATTCTCATTCAACGAACCAAAGTCCTTAACCCACTCTGGCTTATTCTCAGCTTCTTCCCAAAGCAACCTCGAGTTCAACACAAACCCAGACCACTCTAGTTTTTGAGGCAAAACCGCAGCAACATCATCAATATAAACCGCACTCTTCCCCGCATATGGCAATGTATTGAAAATATGCCAACCAATCAACTGATCAGTCGAATTACAAGCAGGACCTTGTACCGGTAACGAAGAGCTCTCCTCTTCTTCCTCTTTCTCCATCTCTTTCCTCTTATCCATCGACATAACCATCTCTTCCGCATTTCCCGAATGCGCCAATATCCCAACAGAAACAGTACCAAACCACTTCACATTCTGAATTTCATCAAAGAACTCCATACTATGCATATTACTATCATCCGCAAACATCACAATACCATCAAGCTTCTCTTCCCTCACAACTCTAAACACACCAAAACAAGATCATCACTTTCAGCTTCAAATTCATATACCAACAAATAAACTAAGCAAACAAAACAGATAAAAGCAACAGAGAAAATGTATAAACTTGCCTCAAAGCTTGAAGTCTCATAAAGACTTCTAATTTACTACGATCCTCCCAAGTATTAGGCATTCTCTGATCAATCCCAACATGAATCGTCCTAAGTCCTGATTTAGCAATAATCAAACCCGTCTCATTAGTAGCACCACCAGCTTCAACAACGATCCAAACCACATCATAAGGAACAAGCATCAACGAATGCACCACACCAGTCAAATGCAAAGCTTGAAAAGTCCTCACATAAGTAGGTGTCACAGCTATAACCATCTTACTACTTTTCATCCCAAAGATCGTCTTTTGCTCCTTCTGAACTCTCTCAATAATCCCATGAGCTTTCATTACCTCAACGGGATTCGGATGCGGCCAGGGCCGGATCCGGATCCCGTGTCTTCCAACGACAACACGAGAGCTCTTCGTCGCCATCGCCACCGTCCCGTTTGCTCCGGGATCCAGATTACGGCCGATTGTGTGAACATCGAGGTGCTTCACCGGTAAGTCAGGACGAAACGGAGCAGAGTAGAGATTCGTTGAAGAAGTAGAGAAGAGGAAGAAGAAGACTAATCTGGAGAATCGAAACCCGAGGACTAGACTAATTAAGCAACAAAGACAGTGCAGGATAAGCCAAAACACAGCGATTAAAGACTTCCCGGAGCCATCAACAGAAGAATCAAGAGACGTCGGAGATCTGAAGCTATTACTCCGACGATTCAAGTAACTCTGATGTAAAGCAGAGAGCTTCATCTTCTTCGTTGACCTCTCTTCTTGCTTCTTCTTCTTCCTTATCAAAAGATCTGAGATTAAGCAACAAAAGATTACTTCGATTTCACGATCTTAATCAGTTCGATTATCGCTTTCTCTTCTTGCTGCTGCTGCTGCTCTCTCACCACCACCATACCAATCTCTGATGCTTCGACGCAACGCCATCGAAGAAGCAGAGGAAAGCGACAAGGTGATACACGTGTCGTCTTATTATTGGGTAATTAAATCTTTCAATTAAGTTTTGAGTAAAATTAGGGTCGTTTTAATATGTCTCTAATTGAAGTCAATTTGTTTTTGGTAATAATTTTGGTGGAAATTTCGGGTGTTAACATTAAACATCCCTCAATATTTGAATTAAATGTTTCGCATAACAATAATTGTGTTTTGTTTTTTTCATTAATACATATGGTTTTAATTTATGACTATTAAAAGTGATTATCGAGGAGGAATGTATACGAATTTGGGAAAGACTAACCAAAATGATTGATTACGAATGTCTTTAATGGGCCATTAGTAAGGCCCATGACAACGACGTATCCGCCATGTCATAGATAGACATAATAAGTGTACAGTTTGGTCCGGCAAATGACATGGTTTGAAGGGTTTTGGTTTAGATCTCGGTTTGTTTGTTGTGACTTGTGAAGGTTAAACCGGTTTGGTGGGGAAGTTATAAAGATTGTTGTTATCGGTTCGTTTTCACTTGCACACAAAGCATAAATATGATTACTCTGCGCCACCAAAGTGTCAAAGTTTATATCATACACAGACATATGTATATTCAGATTTATGAAATTATATTAGCAAGAAAATATATATAGATATGCATTATTAATTTATCAGTTTATTTAGTATATATATACTTCCATTGCGTTATTACTTAAAAAGGCATTTGAACAAAGATATGAGGAACATAACAAGTCACTTGTTATGAATCCTACTTAATTGAGTAGTCATGACCAATCCTATTCAGGGTCTCGTTAGGCCCATTGGGCTTATTATTGTGAACGCTTTTTGTTGGTTGCGTAATAATTTTTTTATCTAGGGTGTGAACTGTGGAGTGTCAACTCATTCACAAACGGTAAAATATTTGAGACTCAAAAATTTTCAACGGTAACAAATATAGACGTTGGAAAAGTAGCATTGGAAAAACAAATCCATATATTTGAGACTCAAAAATTTACAACGGTAAAAAATATAAACGTTAGAAAAGTAGCCGTTAAAAAAACAAATCCAAGCTGCCTATATAAGTGACTCTAGCTCAGAAACTTACTTACCACAATCCTTTCTTCTTCGTCTGTGTTATCACTAACAATTCTCATAGTTTCACAAAGCAAAGGCACTTTTCTAATCCTTTTTTCTTTTGTTAAAAAACCAGAGAGAGAGAGAGCAAAGTTTCATCCAACATTTCTCGTAGTCAAACAACTCTTGAAGCATTTTCATCCAAAGTTTCATCGTCACTTCTTCAAGATTTGGTAAGAGTTGTTAGATGTAATCTCTCGAGGCATTTTTCTCACTTTTTTTTCTTGTCACTAAAGCATCGTCAAATTCAACTCTACACATCATAGTGTTTAATTTTTCTTTTCTAATGTCATCTCTTCCTCTGTTTTTTTCAGTGTTCTTGAAAGTTCTCTGCAACGAAAGGCAAGTAACAAGAAGTCGAAGGTTTTTCAAATTGCTCTGCTCTGTGGTCTTATAATCTCTCTACATCGTAATGAAGAACCAGAAGTGGATTCAGGCTTTGCTTTTTAGGTTTGGTAAGAATCTGATGTTTCTTGTCATGTTGGTGCAAATCAGCTTTGAGATTTTTTTTTGTAGATATGAGAAAAATTACAGTAAATTAGATTTTACTATTGGAAAATTTAGACAGATGTCTCACAGTCATGAGAACGTTGTTTTGTCAGATAAGGACTTACGGCAACCTTTGGCGGCGAAACCTATCATCAGTCCACGGCATGTTGACCCAAATGATCTTTACATTATCCTCCGCGTTTTGGGAATAATGTTGAAAGTAAGTTTCATCAATTCTTATATTTCTTTTCTTGATTGTTCAGTTTTTCTGATTTTTTATTATTCTTTCCAATCTCGCTGGTAATTTTTGAATATTGGTTTGATTAATTTTTTAATACTATTTAGACTATAGTTAGAGATATAGTCTTTATGATTTCGGTTATCACAAAATATTGTGACCAAACCGCTTTCATGGTTAGCGACAGACTTGTTACAATTTTATTTTTTGCTCTCCTAGGTATCTGTTTAAGAAAGAGCTTAACTTTTTCCCTTTTTTTTTTGGTAAGAGAAAGAGCTTAACTTTGGCTCGGTTCGAACCTTTTTAGCTATAAACTGCATCATTTGTACAATTGTTGCAGAAAATATAGTCACACCAAAGTGTCATCTCGTCAGTAAATTGACATAGCCTAGTGACAATTGCTAATTCTCTCACATGAAACGTTGACTACTCCAACCTTTGTTGGTGAGATTAAAAGGTTGGGGAGGTTACCCAGATGGACGCGGTCCGGCTCGTTTGACATCTCTAGTTTATAGGACCCAGAATTTTTTGTTTACTTATTACTTTTTTACTTTTTTATCGTTTATTATAATATCGAGTTTTTGAACTTGGGAAATGATAGTTAAAGGCTTGTTTAGTTGAATACACAAATTTTGCGTTTTAGAAAAACAAATAAGAAAAACGAATTTTGTGTTAAAATGCGAACTAAAAGAGAAAAACATGGGCTTCTTCCATTATGAACCAAAAGAGATCATATTGGGCTGATATGTAGAAAGTAGAGATCATTCATACTTTCACGACTATACAAGTGAAAATTATGCAAATAGCCAAATACTTTAGAGATATTTTTGATATGATTATTTGTGAATACGTCCACAATTAATCGTCACAGAAAGAGAGATTTGATCGAATTCAACACGGCTCACAGACTTGCAAAACTGTTTTTCAGATGCCAGACCAAAGCGAGTTCAAACTTGGTAAGATCTTAAGAGTCGAACTACTTTTGTTATAGTCCGGTCTTGCAATATCCCTACTACTCAAAAGAAAGATTATCTTGTTTTATCATGTCTCAAGAGGGACATAATTCGATGATGATAATGAGTTTAAATTATATAAATTCGATGCAGGTGTATAACAAGTCAATAATTTGACGAGAAAAACAAAGAAAAAAAACAAGTCAAATAATTTAATTTCAATAATTCAGTTGTCGCATGTAATAAGTTAAGTAGTAAAACGCCGAATAACCAGATTTTGGACAATATAAATGTACTTTACCTACGATCTTGACAAATCGAGCTCCAATAATTGTATAAAAAACAATTAAAATTAAAATAAAAAAACTACACCTTCCTTTTAACACTCACGTCTCACGAGTCTTATTAATTTTCACATGTGCCCTTTGACCTTCAGGTGCAGATTACTTTTACAGTCTTATTACTTTTTTACCCTTCTCACAATTTTATTTGCCTCTTTTCGGCTTTAATAAAGTCAAAACTTTTGCTGTACATACATTAATTGTTGCTCTAGTAATTCTCTTGTTTTCACATGTATCTATATATTTGTAGAATACGTAGGTTTTCTTTTTTTTTTGTCAAAGGAGAATACGTAGGTTTTCATCAAAGACAGACTGAATGTAATAGATAAGGTACAATTATACATCCCGAAAGATTTCATACTTTGTTATATACGGTAGAGCAATGTATGAAAATCTTTTAGAATTTCTATTTCCACGGTTTGACGTAATGCGACCTTGACGCGTTGTCTAACTAACGTCCCTGTAATTCAATAAACTTAGCAAGCTTGTAAGTTCATAACAGCACGTTTTTTAAGTGATTTAACAATTTTATTCATTACGTGCATTAAGTAAATCGAGGCAAATATTTTGTCACATGCCACAAAAAGTTTTATAATTTTCAGAAGGAAAAAAAAAAGAAGACCCATACATTTTTGGGGAAAATACGTAACATGCGTTTTTTAAAATGAGTGTATTTTCCACATCGATCTCAATGTACTTGAATTTAGATCGAGCGTTATCGATGAATTCATGTATATTAACAAAATAGTTGAACCATGAGTTAGTAATTCAACAGATTGTGTTGTTAATCAAACCTTTTTAGATATGTTGACTCAATGAGTCAATTGACTCTTGAGTTCGAATATAACACCAAGATTAAATAGAACTAGTTTCTTTTTGTATAGACTATAGAATCATCACATGTATATTATTAACAGTAAAAGCAGAAAGTTTTCAGATATTTTAATATAGTTTCCATGCATAGAAGGGTAATGAAACGAAATTAAAAGAAGGCACGAGTGTTCTTTAAACTTTCTATATATAATGAAATTATCGTGGCTTAATGCAAAGAATTGTGGAGATCCATAAGGTACGTAAACTATATATATGTCTGTGGTCCTTTATCCGTTCATCGATTCAAGGGTCTGCTTCTATTGTTTGTCCTCCCAAAAGATAAAATAAACTTTTGAATTTTGGGTAATTGGCACGTTCATGTGCCAACCAGTTCACAGCTAATCCCCACTGCATAATTATTTAAGATATACGCTTAATTCTAGCAAAAATTATGATATAAGTTGTTTTTAGGGGTATAATAAAATAAATTTGGAATAATACAGAAAAGATAAAGATGGTCCATATACGCCTTTTGACACGTATAAATTAAAAATGGTCCAATTTTGTTTTTTTTTTTTACCAAAAAATTGAGATTATGTGATATATGAGAACAAATGTTGACTACTCGATTGTATCCAAAATAAGAAAATGAAAAATGATGTTGAGATATTAATCGTATTGTGAATTTGTGATAATGATATATTGAGTAATATATATTAACTAGTGACATATATTCTATTCACTCTGTTTCTTTTTGTATGGTGTATTTTTTTTTTTTGCATTCTATTTTTTTTAAAAGATTATTTTACTATTGTGGTCATTAGCATTTATACAACGAGCTAAACGGTTAGACCACAATTGCTTTGAGCAGTTAAAGGCAATTTTCAAGTCTGGTATACTTTGAGCAGGCCGATGACGTTGATATATATTTGGTCTAACAAATTATTGAATGATTTGCTTATTCAGAAGTAGTAGGATGATATACCAACCCAAACAAAATAATATTGAAACGCATGCATAGCCAACAAAAAAATTTCACACTTAAAGTAATATCGAACGCAAATTCTTAAATTGAGTGTGTGATTGTATAGAATACGATTGGTGGTATATCCTTGAAAATAGGAGGATTTTAAAAAAAAAACGATAGAAATGAGAGAGAAAAGGCAAAGTAGTCATTTGAGATAATATTATACTCTTTCCTTATCACTTTAAGTTATGTTTTAGAAAAAAAATTGTTTTATTTTAAATAATGTTTTCAAAAATTTTATGTAAAAATTAAATGTATTTAATATTTTTTGACTAATAATATTATATATATATATATTTATTGGTTGAATTAGTTGTAGTTAATAATGTTTGAATGTAAAAAAGGTAAATTAAATGAAATTTTTTGTGTTTTTAATATATATGCAAAAACTTGAAACATCACTATAAAATGAAACATATGGAGTATAAGAAATGTCTTGCATCTCTTTTCGGCACTAAACAAGCAACAAGTGGCAGATTCTATAGAAGAATTGTTTAATAAACACAGACAAAAGCTGGATTATAAAATCAGCAAATCAGCCTCAGTTTCTTCAGTTTTATCTTCGATGATGTTTAAATTAGAGATGTATGATTTTTGCTTCTTTTTTTTTGTCAATGATTTTTGCTTGTTTGTTATCGATTTAGATAGTTTTTTTTTTAGATAGTTATTATGTATGCATGAAAAGATGGAAACTTTTTGTAAAACAAATAGTTTACTACAAATATTTTGATAACAAGCTTTGGACACTTTAGGTCATTGTTATGAAAAAAACTAGTAATTAATAGCAGCGAAAGTAAAATCGTGTGGTGTATAAATTATAATGGCTTTATATATCTAAAGATACAATTATACGGTTTACGTCGTTCATGACTTCGATGTCGGTCGCATCTATAATATTTACGTACATATATGATATATGGACCTACGTACGTCTCGTATTGAAAATTTTCAGTATGAATTATTTTCTTCTTATTGGATTTTTTGGAGAGGAATCCAAGCAATCCTATGACATACTAACACGTATGAAAAATGCTTTGATGTCATGTTGGCTAAACAAATGATATACATTATTCAGGAAAGTTTGCTTGACAATAAAGAATTATATTCTATTTTCAGAATTTTGGAAGTAAGATCAATATTCGCTTAAGTCACCATATATTTTTGCTTTTGAAATCGAAATATCCAGTTTATGCTAAAAACATTATTGTAGACATGTCACTAAACAATTCCTACATAGAATTTTGGTATTTTTCATGTATTGATTTAACCATCTAAAGCATATTAATAATAAACCATTATACTAATAAGTAATATCTAGCATCCTACCCAAAAAAAAAGTAATATCTAGCATAAAATCTTATTAAAAAGTAAACAAATTTAAATTAGTAATCTAACACGTCAATCGCATGATTCCAACAAAACAGTCCATCTACAACGCATACGTACAAGTTTACAAAATTAAGATTTTAATGACTTATACATAGTGTCGTATACAATTTTTGATTAATTTTCTGTTACATTTTTCAGGCTTTTAATTAAATATAATTCTTCTTAATGTGTGGCTCAAGCATTAGACTCGAAAGGCACTTTCACTGTTTCCAAATAATTAGGTTCCATTTGATAAATTATCACAAACTAGTCTTCCAATGTTGTGAAGCGTAAATATGTGCACGGAAATACAGTTTTGGCCTTAATTCCACTTCTTAAATGACGATGTTTGGAAGGGTATTATAGTAAAATAAAGCACATCGCTATTGCGTGGATGGAACGTCTATTTCCAAACGCCATACAATATCCACCGACCACCGACCTAAACCTTTTTTTTTTTTTGATGTGTAGGATAAAAAAAACTAATATTCTATTCTTGGAACAAAATTTTGGAGAGTTTATTGTGACTAATGTCATTTGTTGTTTGCAATTATTTAGAAAATTGTTCATAGTTGGAATTAAGATTACGACTTTTTTCAGCTGAACTAATTAACGGTTTAAGGTTGGATCACCTATTCACCAATCACCACACAAAGTTCGAAAATGAAAAAATAAAGTAAAGTATACAGATTTTTTTAATGTGAATATCAATGATATTAAGTCGAATATTTTTTCTTTCAGCAGTTAAAATTTTGAAATGTAATGTACTCCCTCTGTTCCTAGAAGATTGATGTTCTAGAGTTTTCACATATATTAAGAAGCAATCATTGTTTAATTATTTGTCAATTACTTTTTTATACTAAATATTTTTTAATAACTTTGAACCAATAGTATTAGAAAACAGTTAATCATTACGTCTTGAAGTTTACGATATACTCCCTCTGTTCCCTTAAGTTTGATGTTTTGGGTTTTGCACGTAAATTAAGAAAAGCTATTTTTTATATTATTTAATTATTTGTTTGTTTGTTTAATAATTTTAGTTTCACTTCTCTCCTCTTCCTATTGGTTACAATTAAAAGTAATAATGATATTATTACAAAACATCAAACTTTGTGGAACAAGAAAAAATTTCAAAACATCAAACTATTAGGAACAGAGGGAGTATTAATTTTAATTAATAAAAAATAAAACAAAAACCTAAAAAATCAAACTTTGTGGAACAAACTAAAACTCTACAACATCAAATATCTAGGAACAGAGGGAGTATTAATTTATTGACATAAAAAATACGAAACAAATGATATCTGTAAAAAAGAAGAAAAAAAAACATAGGAAATAAGGAAAGACAAAGCTCCTCAAAAATCCCACTTAACTTGTCCCCAGAACAGAAGGAGACACGCGTGTCATTACCGCCTCTTCCCTATTAAATATTTTTATGCAAAAAAGCAATAAATAAGTAAATTAATCGTATTATTGCTTGAACATTTCTGTATAAATTTAAACACCTAAATTAATCTAAGTTAAATCCCATTTATTATTGTTTCCCAAATTCCACAACAACGACCCACTTTCCTACGTCAATACTATTCCTATTCCATGCAATCAATAAATATCCTCTGTTTACTTGTAGTTTCGGTTTATTTTATTTGCGTAAGAGTTTTTCAATTTATTGACGATTTGACAATTTGAACAACATATATATATTGATATATATCCAATAGTCAACTCAAATTGAATATATAGTACAAATTTATAACCTAAGTTTATTTAAAATATTTGGAACTAATTGACGTGCGATATAAAGAATTAAATTTCTAGAATACAATTTTGTATTTTACTGCTATCCGAGATACTATTCTAAGAAATGTATAACACCTCATTTAAGAAATAAAATAAGATAACGCATTTGCAATCTATCATGAAATGAGATCGATAAATCATGGATTTATACCGTAGGACAATCTTGCATTCAAATCTTTTTATTTATTTAGTTAAGGATGTTTAAATGCATATATAGTAACGCTGATATATCGGAAATAAATTTTATGACCGTCCAATGGAAAAGAGCCGACGAGCATTATTAAATACTAAGATGCATGAGCGTATTTAACACTAATATTTTAATTCCGTCCAAATAATAAAGACAAAATATAATAACTACGATTTATCTATATGTGTATATATATAAATGTCAGGGAAGATGAGATTGTTGTCTCTGTCTTAGAATATATATAGAGAACGAAAAAAATATAAATATGAGAAAGAGTTATTAAGAGATTAGTGTCGGTGAATTTTTTGAAACTTCTTCTCTTTTGCGGTTTCGTGTTCCACTCCTCTCTTCTTGGCCCACGTGTTCATCAATCTTCCCCTCCGCATGTAATCTCTTCGCCGTCAATTTCACATCTTCTTTAAAATCTCTCTAGATCGAAAAAGGGTTGATTCTTGAAATCTCCGGCGAAAACCCATATGGAGGCGGCGACTGAAGTGGCGACGGTTGTTTCTACTCCGGCGGTTACGGTTGCGGCGGCGGCGACGAGGAAGAGGGAGAAGCCGTATAAAGGGATAAGGATGAGGAAGTGGGGGAAGTGGGTGGCGGAGATAAGAGAGCCTAATAAACGGTCAAGGATCTGGCTTGGCTCTTACTCTACTCCTGAAGCGGCGGCGCGTGCTTACGACACGGCGGTGTTTTATCTCCGAGGTCCTTCCGCTCGGCTTAACTTCCCGGAGCTTCTAGCCGGAGTTACCGTTGCGGGAGGTGGCGGAGGAGGAGGAAACGGTGGTGGAGATATGTCGGCGGCGTATATAAGGAGAAAAGCGGCGGAGGTTGGAGCTCAAGTGGATGCGTTAGAAGCGGCGGGGGCGGGAGGGAATCGTCATCGTCATCATCATCATCATCAACAACAACAACGTGGTAATCATGATTACGGAGATAATTATCATATTAATGATGATCATATGGAGTGTAGTAGTAAAGAAGGGTTTAAGAGGTGTAATGGATCGTTGGAACGGGTTGATTTGAACAAATTACCCGATCCGGAAACTTCAGATGACGATAATTAGGAAAGGAAAATAGAAACAAATAATATCGATTTGTTTTTCACTTTTCATAAGTTTGTTCTTCCTTCATCCAAACAAAAAAAAAAGTTGTAGAAGGAAGTTTAGAGAATGTCTGTCTTTACGATGCGCGGCGGTTGCTAACATGCACCTCCTCCTCCATGAGTTTGTTTGTGATTACTAATTTATTATTAGTGTAATGATATTTTTCCACAAATAGTTTTCACTACTCAATCCTCCCATACTTCAATACCACAAGTGTTCAATGTTTCAGTTTGGTTATAGGTAAGAGGTAGTATTAGTATGATGTTATAGATAAAATCTGGATGGGGAACGCGGCGGTGAGTGAATAGCAGCAGAAACAGGAGACTTAAGGATTTAGAAATGAGTGAGTGTATAGAGATTGGAGAGACAAGGAGTGTCCTACAAAACAAATATGGTAAGTGGGTCTTAACTTGTCCGATCGTAACAACTAAAGCTCTCTCTATCTCTATTATCCTAACTACTAAAGTCTTCTCTTTTCTTTCTTCTGTGTTTTCTAATCTGTTTTGTGGGGCAAAGACAGCAAAAACTCACATATCACAAAACTTGATCATTTCTTTTGCTATGGTCTTGTAATGAAAAGACTAGTCTCAAACATGTGTTTCTTTCTCCACTAGAGAGCTTAAAAACAGGTTCTAGTTCATAAATCTGTTTTTCATTTCATTTTGACTCAATTAAATCACTGCAAATTCAGATCCATGAGTGTTTATTTCCATCAGATCACCACAACTAAAGGTCAATTGTTTTGAGGTTTCGTTAGACAGCTAATGATGAGCATGACCTTGCAACTAACACTCTTGTAACTTGTTCTTATTTTAGTATTTTTAATCGAGTAAATCATGGAAGTTCTTGAGAAGAACTAACTTAAATTACTCGATCTAGAGCCTCCGTGTTAAGAAAAGATTCCAATTTCACATATACGTTTGTACGGACGAAACCAAGAAGGTAAAGGAAAGATATTTTTGGTTGAACCAAAATCAATTAAAATACCTTAAAAGGTTGTTAATTTGGTAGTTAACCAAATGTAGAAAGTAGGAAACAGGTATTTTTTTTCTTTCTAAATGAAATAAAATTTTCCAAAGCATAATTGGATGAGAATCAAATACCCAAAGCATCTGATAACCTAACCCATCAAACAAACAGAGAAGCTGATTCTGCAAAAATAGAAAAAGTTAGAAGTGCACTTACCTTTGATGCCTCTAGAGATTACTAGGCTTAACTTCGATGCGAACTGTAATATAAGTTATGGCTCTTATTCTACTAATACATGATACAATTGTCGCGGTTTCTCACTTTTATTCTCTGGAGAATGTTTGATCATTGCTTTCCTCTACAAAGCTATTTCCTTGTTTGGTATATATATCTTAATCAAGTATTCCTATCTCCAGAGCGCTTTATTTGAAGCGCGGCTCTAACCACGTTTCCTCTTGTGATAATACCGACCTTTTTCAAAAGGAAATATAAGATGGATAAGCGATACGAAAGATGGTATATGTCTAAATGTGAGATGGGTAAATGTAAAATCTCTCTTACCAATTTGCCATCAGAATCTACCACAGGGAGCCGGCGATATTTTGTCTCAAGCAATATTCTAGTGGAAAATAGAATAAGAAGCTCAAGTTAGAGAAGAATTTACATAGAGATGAGAAAAGAAACGACAGCATTGAAAAAAAGGAAAGACAGTAACTTAGCAGCATCTTCGAGATTGGTTTTTTCCTCAACAACTAGTGGAGCTGGTGTCATTAAATCTCCAACAAGCTTCCCATTGGTTTTGCTGAGTAGCTTTTGCACTGCATTGAAAGTCTGCAAATGTTTTTATCAGTCAATAGGATATGATACAAGAACATCAAAAGATACCAAAAAAGATAAATATAAAATCAATTCATTTTGAGATGGTTTACCCTATCAGATGTGAATCCACTTTACAGAATCCCGTCTACTCAAACTAGGGAACTGAAAGTAACTTTAACATAACTCTTACCATATGCATATTTCATATAAGGTAATTCTTGAGTACATACACTCATAACAATCACAAGATCCTATAACGGGTTCACATCAATTATCTGAATGATTGTGTATGGTCATTGCATAAATCAAAACAAGTTCCTTTCAGTTAACACTATCAACTGCTGATAATGTGAACCAGGCAAATGAGCACAGTGATAAAGAACTTGAATGAGTGTTTTGAAAAGCATTCAGGTCAAAATGATAATAAGAAAAGGAAGGGCCACATACTTTCCAAGTGCTGTCAACCTCAGGGAACATGGAATTCTCTGTTCTTCCACTACCTATTAGCAACACAAAAAAACCAGCAATAAGATTTAAGGGGTAAGGGAAGAAACTTTTTGATCATTTCACGTTGAGCGTGCTATCTCGCAACAAATGAGACAGAAGGTCATCATAACATAGATATTTCTGGCTTTATGCCACCATGTAATCTAAGTATCTTTCTTCTTTCTCCACTTGAAAGAGAAAATCTCCATTTAAAAACTCTTGAAAGCAAAGGAAACCAAATACATTAAGTGGTGTAGCTGGCCCATTTACCAGATATGGAGTCCAAAGCCAACAAGTCATAATCTGAAACAAGCCCAACCTGCAGCAACAAAGAATCCCTCATAAACATCCAACCTCAGTTTAACAACCTCCATGTGAAGAATAGATTCAGTTCCCTTTCCAAACATAAGACCTGAATAACAAAAGTGGATACTAACCAATTTCCAGTCGTCATCTATCACAGGAAATCCTGTAATTCTATTCTCCACAAGTAGTTCCAGAGCTGTAGAGAAGAAACAAAAGAGATTATAAGTTTGAAACACCACAGCATGGCATATTCACATGTTTCAAGCAATCTGATGGGACTTTAAACAGCTACCTTCATCCACAGTAGTCGTAGGTTTCACCACGTGCAAGTCATCCTTCTTTGTCATGAACTCACCAACAGTGTACACTCCACTTCTTGGCTACAGTAACAGTCATATACAAACCTCAAAACTAATCCTCTAATTTCCACTACTCTAAGATCGAATCCCGCATCTAAAATGTGCAATTTCACCAGGTCCGGTCTAAGCTACAATTCAATCGTTGTACAGAACCGGAAACTATAATCTAATCACCTCATCTATGAAAATTCCCAGAATCTAAGACGCCGATGAGCAGATATACACATGCATAACAAAATTCCCCAAAATGGAAAGAGGAATTTGAGTGAAGGAGCTTACAGAAGAGGAATTCTTCATCAACGTGGAACCGGCGGCGGAAGAAGCTGTAGGAATCCTGGATTTGGAAGGGAAGCTTCGAGAGAAGGTGAATTTGTGACATGGCTGAACGGAGAGAAACCTCGGCGGAACAAGATACGGAGAGGAAGGAGAGGATGATGCGCGTAGGCGCGTGAAGGAGACTGGAACAGAGTATAGGACGGCGTCCATTGGCCGTCGGAGAGAGATCGCCGGAAGTAAAAGAGTGATGGAGGAGGAGATATGCGTCACCGCTTGTTTGTATTGGGAAAAGCGAAAGTGTGACTGTGACTTTAATGGCTAAACGATGTAGTTTCGAAATTAAAATACAATTATGCATATAAAATTCGAACACGTGACCTTTTAACCGAATTCTGCAAATTGCGATTAGAAAAATAAGACCGTTGTAAACGGGTCCTTAATTGTTTATCAATTGCCTTTTTTTTTTTTTTTGAAGTCCAAATATGAAAAAAGGAAAACAAACTAATGTTTCCTTTTTTTTTTTTGGCGTGAACCTTTGCTTATAAATATTCATCTCTCTTTCTCTTTGAGAAATCATAATTCTTCTTCTAAAGACCAAAAAAAATTCTTCTTTTCTCTGCTACTGTTTTTACAAAGACGATCACGATTTCTGGCAAACCATGGATGCAACCATGGATGTCTTTGCTTGCGGGAAAACGCAGAGAAACTCTTGAGTGGCAACGACGAATAGGTTTGGACTTTCCATGGTTCAGAATCAGTTCGTTAAGGACTCGCCTGAAGAGAGAAGACGAAGATGATGACTTGGAGTTTCGTCAGATCTCTCATCAACAAATTGCAATCTCAGCCCAAGAGGATATGGGCTTCGGAAAACAGCGTATGGGCTTTAGCAAACAACAATCCATGACCAACGTCTCCCAATTTCACGAGAGCCAAGGTTTGTTTGTTCCTTTCATAATTTCCTTCTTTTTTTTTAATAAAGATGGGATTTGATTTCTTTACTAATTAACGTTATAGATAAATATTTTCAATTATAAATTTTTGGATTTCAAACAAAAATAAAAGCGTTTTCGTAACTAATATTCTAAAATAAAATATTTTATTTTTAAAAACTATTTTCAAACTTAAATATTAAATTTAAATACGTGAAAACGGTTAGACTTAGCATCCCGTCCTTTTGGTCCGTAAGTCTTGCGGTGTCATAAGTTCAACATGTTTTCACGTATTTAGATTTAGTTTTAAGGTTTTTTTAAAAATAATATTTTAAGCAAATCGTTTATATATGTTTAAGCTAAAATTTTTTATTATACAAAATATTTTCAAACTTAAATATTAAATTTAAATACGTGAAAACGGTTAGACTTAGCATCCCGTCCTTTTGGTCTGTAAGTCTTGCGGTGTCATAAGTTCAACATGTTTTCACGTATTTAAATTTAATTTTAAGGTTTTTTCTAAAATAATGTTTTAAATAAAAATCGTTTATATATTTTTTAGCTAAAAGTTTTTTATTGTACAAAATATTTTCAAACTTAAATATTAAATTTAAATACGTGAAAACGGTTAGACTTAGCATCCCGTCCTTTTGGTCCGTAAGTCTTGTGGTGTCATAAGTTCAACATGTTTTCACGTATTTAATTTAATTTTAAGGTTTTTTCAAAAATAATGTTTTAAGTAAACCGTTAAGATATTTTTTTAGTCAAAAGTTTTTATTATATAAAATATTTTCAAACTTAAATGTTAAATTTAAATACGTGAAAACGGTTAGACTTAGCATCTCATCCTTTTATTAACTAAATGTTTTGATTTTTAAAATATTTTAGTTTTAAAAACAAAACTAATGCCTTTGATTTAATTTGTTGTTTTTTAATCGCTTATTTTTTCCTCATTGTTATTTAATCGCTAAATTTTTTGCGTTTTCCGTTTTATTTTGTTTTGCCCAAAGTTGTTATCTCTTTCGACATGGAAAACAAAATTGACCAAGTTTTAATTCTATTCATTTTGTTTTTATCTACGTCAAAAACTAGTAAAAACACTTCAATATCACATTATATATGCAAAGAAAAATTAATGTATTATATAATGCATGAACTCGATCATCGGGTTTCTCAGTGTTTGTCATTCGGACTAAACTTCATTCCATCTTTTACTTTGGTGATAATAGATTTCCATGTCTAAAGTTCGGGGTCTCGTGTGTTATTTCCGATATCAACAGTATTTTGATTGCAAACTTTTTTTTAATAAATCTATAGATTTAACTAACCATTAATTAGACTAAAGTCTTGGTTCTTTCATATCATTTTACATGTAAATATGTTCCTCTAAAAGGAAAATATGAAATATGCTATTCTAGTGAAATATAGCAGCTTATGCCTTATGGTATATATCAAACGCTGTCGTTTTAAAGTTTCTTGTCAACTAACCATAACGAGATATTTTCTTCATAGCTTGAAACGGAAGAATCATAATGCATCATAAATCATCAATTAATTTATTTTTTGTCTGAAACATCGAAACAAATTTAAAGCAGAAAATAAAGTGAAAAATGGAAATGATTCCCATATTGATGAAAACTTGAAAAGTCGGAATAATTCGTTGGTCCCTCCAATAACTAACGTGAATTATTGCAAATGGGACCGTACTAAAATTTGGGTGTGGTTTCGATATAGTACCAAAAAAAGTTAAAAGGTAGTAGTAAAACTTAATTAAAAGAAATAAATTGTGTTTGTGTGTGTCGTCGGTGTCGAAGGATGTTTGGGAACCAAGTGGGGTTAATTTCAAAGATTTACAAAAATGGAAAGTCTTTGGACCGCAAAACGTATGGACATCGTACCTAAGTTCCTGACTCCTTACTATATTTGTACATTATAACGTGTTTCCCTTTGTCCCTTTTTTTGTCGTCTCCTTTAGATTTTTTTCTCCTTCTCAATAATTTAACCCTAAGTATTCATTTGTCCCAACCTATATCGTAAATCCACCCTTCATATATCTGTACTAACACATATATAAATAACATCATCCAAGTTCTTATTAATCATGTCTCTAATTCGAAAGTTTATCTATTTTCTTTCATAAGTTAAGCCGTAATTTGAAAGTTCATTAAAAAATCTTCAACATTCTCTTGCTTTTCTTTTTCACTTTAGTCTTTTTTTCTAATACACTTTATATAAACTTTTTGTAATGGTACGTTTCATTATTTGGCTGCTACTCGAGTCGAATCCAATTCTGTATAAGAAAAAACTATCACCACATCGAAACAAATTAAAATAACGTGAAGACATCGAGGAGAGTATCCACTATCAGCTAGCTCACATGGCCCCCCACATTGAACGAATAATAAAATGGCACGTAACCAGATCAAAAGTGGATCCTACTTGAGGATATATGAATTTTGGAAGCCTAACAAGATTTGGACAACCTCACAAATCGAGATTCTATCGATACCGTCCGATGTTTTCCACGTTCGTTAATCTCGGACTTGATTGCGATTCCAAGATTTGCAAATTTTTTAAAGAAGACACATCTTACTTTATACGAGCTAAGTTGTATATATCTTTTACATTCTATAAAAATATATCATTGTATTTGATCATAGTATGTCAGACTGTTAGTGATTATTATAGTATTCATAATATTTACCCATTACCCAACAAGATCCACTGTTTGCATATTCATATTAAACAAGTGAATCCAAAATTTTAATACATGTAAGTATCATGTAACTGTGATACTCTACGTGTCAACATTTTTGTTCGAGTAGCTGGAAACTTGTATATCATATATTCATATATAACATAATTTCTGAATAAGTTAAAAAGGGAAGAGAAGTTCAGATATATACTTCCAGCAATGTATCATTATCATAATTCATATCTAGTACTACGTTATCATTATTTCAAAATAAGTACCGTTTTTGACTGTCAATGTATATTTGACATAAAACACAAAGTTAATAACAAAATGAACAAAATTATATAAAATATTAGTGACAATCAAATTATGTTATAGAGAGGCGGCATAGCATAATTTGAAAATGTTTTTAAATATGTATGCAAAATGTCAAAAATATATTAACATATAAAAAAACTTGTTTATTATTTAATGTTTAGTGTTGAATTCTTGAATTCATTGTTTACAAAAAGAAAATTGAATTTATTGTTACTCGTCCACACTATGTGGACACATAGGCAAGTAGATCGAAGTAGATATAGGCATTGATTCTTTTTATTTATGTTTAAGTTAATGTACTAGGCATATTAACAACCACATATGACATCGTTGTGGCTTGTGGGGATACATTTTATTTATTTATTTATTTGATATAGAAACCGAAAATTGAAAGCATATATAGATTGTAGAATTGATTTCTACGGTATCATTGTACTCTTACTTATTTACATTCAATAATACCTGTTCTTTTAGTACATTTTTGTCATATCATATATGTCGTATAACGGGGGAGTATAAAGGTCAAATAAACTCTGCCAAAATTAGGAATTGTATCTTTGTGTTTCTTTGGTTTTGTTTTATATGAACACATATGATGAATAGTTAAATGAAAAATTCAAGGGGTAAATGGGAATAATAATAGTTTTTGTGGGCCTGTTTTTTGGAAAGAGATATAAGAGACAGAGTATCTCTCTGTAAAGTGGGCCGTGGGCTTTAGTAATTATTGACATACAAACACAAACGCATATATACATATATAAAACATGTGTATATATATAAAAATGATTATGTATGTATAAATATCAAGCCAAAGACATATCACATCTCTATGAAATCAAGCTTCTATATATCACAAAAATGCTAATAATAATAATAAATAATCTATATAAATATAGGGAGAAAGAGAGATAGTGGGACATAGAGAGAGAAGAGCAGTAGTTTCCACTTGAGGAAAGCAACATGTTCAACGAAAGCCATTATTGGAATGTTTGTTATTGCATCATCCCACTCAAAAATATGTACAACGTGTCATGTAAAAAGCATTTTAGGAGCTTAGATTTTTAGATTTGATCGAAAGTTTTACTGATTTTCTTATTTTATTCTCACATTCATATCGTACTACTCTATTTTCTTTAATTTTTTGTTACCTAAGTCCCAATATTTTGTTATGTTTAATTACCTTTGAAACGTATATAGAATGTCCAGAGCCGTCTTTGAGATTTTAGATCTCCAAGCAAAAAACAAGTTTTGGCCGATTTTTCCTTATAAAAAAACTCTCTTATAGAATATCTAACTAGCATTAGCATTATGGTTCTAAAGCTAATTGATTTTAACAAAAATTACTGGCTGAATAAATAGATACATTTAAGACGATTTTGCTTGCATATGGACGATTTTGAGAATTCTCATGTTCGTTTGAAATTAGTTAAGATTTTGATTAGAGTGCCATAACGAGATAGTTAAAGATATCAGTAGATTCAGTTATAGAAGCGCACAAAGATATCGATGTTGTAAATATTTGATGAGTTTTGGGACACACTGAAAATACAAAAACTCTTCAATGTTCCTCACTCATTCTTTTAAAAAGTAAATAGATAGTTACATACAAACTCGGTGGTAATGTAAAATCACAAAGTGGATAGTGACGTGGCAACCTCAAAACTGTGATTTAAATTTTTTGTTATCCCATATTTCTTCATGGACCAAACAATACAAGAAAATAAAACTATGCATGTTTCCCTTTCCGACACAAGTCCTTCTCCTCCGTCTTTCTTTTTCACTATTGATTACTTTTTTTGGTGGAGATTTTTTCAGTTAGTATAGTTTTAATATTGATTTAGAATAAAAAATTATTATGGTGATGTAAAGGATGACGAATTTTGTCACAAGAAAAAATATACGAATCTAACAATCCAAATCTTATTATATAAAACACCAAAATGTAATAATAGTTGGCTCCAGCATTCTAGTCAGAAACCAAACGTCATTTCGGGTCGGATCTCGTGTTCTACACGCGCTGATATAAAGAGAGATGAGAAACACGCGAGCGTAAGAGCGCGTGATGATGAAAATACGAGGTATAGAGAGAAACGAAAGGTTATTGGTGGATGAAAGAGGGAAAAAGTGGACCCCACAGTTTGTCCGTACTAAAGGATTGATCTTTTCTGGTAACATTTTCCTTTTTCTCTCATAATTCCTTTTTCCTTTTTTCGATACCTCTCTTCTCTCTCTAATAACAAATCAACGTTTTTTGTTTTCCGTATTTACGTTTATATCCTTGTAATCCTTTGATATTTTCAGATTAACCCCAAGAGTTTATATGGGCCACTCATTCTAATGTAATCTCTCTCCATTTCTTAATCGAACTTTTTTTTTATCTACTGGGCATTACTGATCAAGCCCGATTATACTAATACCCAAATCGAACAAATAGTAATCTGGTTTGATGTATATTTCAAATTAAACCAAACAAAAGACAAAAGTTTCATTGAACCAAACCAAATGAAATAATTTGGTTGTAAATCATAAGAATTACTAAAACGGTAATCTGAAAAACTTTTTTTTTATTGACTGAAAGTCCCCAACAAATTGAATGCCTAACCTAAAGCAAAGGAATGTATCATTTTGCACCAAATTAGATGGCAAGTAGCTTATGATATCTAAAAATTAGTTATGAATATTTGCAACAACAAAAAAACAATGACAATGTGATGAAAGCACTTTTAAATATTTTGTGTGTTCTTTTATCAATTATATAAAAACACATAAATATGTGTGTGTGGAGCTTTTAGCTTGATATTTGATTTTAATCATCAAATAACATCGTTAGCAGTTGTTAAAATCAGCAACTTTACTAAAATATACCAGACCCTGTAAATGTGAACATATAGTTTCACATTAAATTGGCAAGTTTAGAAAATTGTCTGAAAGTGTATGGGCGTTATCATTCATTTAGCAAACAAAGAAATCTGGATCGTTAAATTCTACGGTTAAGAAACCATCTTAAGGTTAGACTTTTATTTAGTGAAGAAAATTAGTAGTCAAATAACCAAAGTAAGCAATTAATATAGTTTGATAAATGAGTTTTAAAAGCGTTGGACTTAAATTATTTTGTTTCCCTTTATATATAGATCCAAGCCTTTGGTTGGAACAAGTCATTAAGAAAGCAGATAGTTTAAGATCAGTTTAATTATATGATTTTACACACAGCAAAAGATTGGGCAAAGTATTGTAAGAGGAATAGAGAACTTCTGAACTTGCACCAATCCAGCCTAAAGCAATAAATACAAACTTGAACTAAGTTATTCCCATTTAGAAAATGTTATAACTCCAAATATAGTGAGAACCCTATTACTTGCTTGTATTCAAGGAATTGCTGTTTATGGAACTCCACTTTAAATAAACATATAAATAATCTATTTAGTATGCAAAACTTAATATCCCATCTACTTTAATTTGCCCGATCATGAAAACACCTATTTATTGTACATAAATATACATCTTTAACAAATATAGATCTATGCGTGATCTATTTGTATTTGTATCTTATTACCTTTTATTCATATAGAAAAAGGAAAAAACAAACAAAAAGCTTTGTTCCAAGAGTTTAAAGTATATCAAAACTAGCAAAATTGTGGGGTTTTGAAGTAATCTATTAGATAATTCAATTTCTTGCAAAAAATACCTTTTATAGAATTGCTTACCGAACCAAGCCGTGGACTTCACTTTCTTAAAACATGAAATTACATATTAAAGGAATCTTTTGATTAATCAAAGAAGATGTTTGTATACATAGATAATAATGAAAGTGGAAATATTTTTTTTTAAAAATAAAGAAACTCCAATACGAGGAATTGTTTCGAATATAATCTTTTTTCCAAAGAAAGCAAGTGGTTAGAGAGAGAATAATATTATTATATTAAAAAAAAACAGTGACAAGAGAAGAGAGAGAGAGAAAGGGCAGTGGAAGTAAATATAAAGGAAAGGATAAAAATGAAAGCTTTCGTAGAAGCAAACTCTGAAATTTTTATTTTATTTTCTTCTCTCTCTCTTTAGCTCTTATTACTATCTTTTTTTTTTTGTTTCATTAATTTTTTTTTTATTTTCTACCAACCAAAAGCTTTTCTCTTTGGTTTCTCTTATTTAGCTTCTAACCTTGAGGAGAATCAAACCAGAGGATTGAAGTTTGAACCTTCAAAGATCAAAATCAAGAAAACAAAAAAAAGATAACAAAAAAAATGTGGGATCTAAACGACGCACCACACCAAACACTTAGAGAAGAAGAAGAATCTGAAGAGTTTTGTTATTCTTCACCAAGTAAACGGGTCGGATCTTTCTCTAATTCAAGTTCTTCTGCTGTTGTCATCGAAGATGGATCCGATGACGATGAACTTAACCGGGTCAGACCCAATAACCCACTTATCACCCATCAGTTCTTCCCTGAGATGGATTCTAACGGCGGTGGAGGAGATGGTGGTGTTGCTTCTGGCTTTCCTCGTGCTCACTGGTTTGGTGTCAAGTTTTGTCAGTCGGATCTAGCGACCGGATCGTCGGCGGGTAAAGCTACCACCGTAGCCGCTGCCGTAGTGGAACCGGCGCAGCCGTTGAAAAAGAGCCGGCGTGGACCAAGGTCAAGAAGTTCTCAATATAGAGGCGTTACGTTTTACCGGCGTACCGGAAGATGGGAATCTCATATTTGGTAATTTATTTTTAGTAATAATCATATCTTTTTTAATTTCGTTAATCGATCGTACTTGTAGATTTTAAATTAAGGTTTTTTTTTGTTCTTCTGAAATTCAGGGACTGTGGGAAACAAGTTTACTTAGGTAATTTTATTTCCCTCATGATTTTTTTTTTTCTGGTGTTGGATTTTTTTTATCAGAAATTTATTTATTTTTTAATTTCTGAATAGGTGGATTTGACACTGCTCATGCAGCTGCTCGGTATTTTTCTTTCTTTGACTCTCTTTATAATGATTTTTTTTAATATAAAAATAAATACCTGACGAAATACATACATATGAATTTATTTTATAGAGCATATGATAGAGCTGCTATTAAATTCCGTGGAGTAGAAGCGGATATCAATTTCAACATCGAAGATTATGATGATGACTTGAAACAGGTAAATAAATTCGTCAAAACGAAATTATAAACTATATAGCTAGGTTTATTAATGATTTTTAAAGGATTAATATTGAAATTGAATGTTATAGATGACCAATTTAACGAAGGAAGAGTTCGTTCACGTACTTCGCCGACAAAGCACAGGCTTCCCTCGAGGAAGTTCTAAGTATAGAGGTGTTACTTTGCATAAGTGTGGTCGCTGGGAAGCTCGAATGGGTCAATTCTTAGGCAAAAAGTAAATTCTCTCATTTTAATATCATTCAAAAACTTCATTTTTGATTGTTTCTTGTTATTTTAACTTTGAGTTTTGAATTTTAATAAATTAGGTATGTTTATTTGGGTTTGTTCGACACCGAGGTCGAAGCTGCTAGGTAATGTCTCTCTCTCTTTTTTTTTTAAATTCTACAACAACATTGTTATACGTTTAAATCGTATAATGTGTTTTTTCTTTACTAATTGATTTCTTTTTGTTTTTATATATAACCACAGAGCTTACGATAAAGCTGCAATCAAATGTAATGGCAAAGACGCCGTGACTAACTTTGATCCAAGTATTTACGACGAGGAACTCAATGCCGGTAACACTATATTAATCGACTTCTTTTATTTTATTTTGGGGGTTTAGTTACCTCTATTTTAAGCTAGAGCTTGGTTTAAAGATTTTGAATTTATGTAGAGTCATCAGGGAATCCTACTCCACAAGATCACAACCTCGATTTGAGTTTGGGAAATTCGGCTAATTCGAAGCATAAGAGTCAAGATATGCGGCTCAGGGTATGGTTTAATTTTATATTATTAACAATAATTTCTACCTTAATATATAGTTTTGTTTTGTTGTAAACATGTTTTTTTGTTTTGTTTTTCAGATGACCCAACAACAACAAGATGCTCTCCACTCTAATGAAGTTCTCGGATTAGGTCAAACCGGAATGCTTAACCATATCCCCAATTCAAATCAGCAAGTGAGTAAAAATTCCCACAAATACAAATGGACCATAATTTCATTTGAATATGTTTTTATAACTAAACGATTGCATTTTTTATTTATTGTAAACTAGTTTCCGGGCAGCAGCAACATTGGTGGCGGAGGCGGATTCTCACTGTTTCCGGTGGCTGAGAACCACCGGTTTGATGATCGGGCCACGACGAACCAAGTGTTGACAAATGCTGCAGCATCATCAGGATTCTCTCCTCATCATCACAATCAGATTTTTAATTCTACTTCTTCTTCTCATCAAAATTGGCTGCAGACAAATGGCTTCCAACCTCCTCTCATGAGACCTTCTTGAATCTTTATTATTATATATATAAGGAAAACCAAATTAGGAAAAAAATGAACCTTTAAATCTCCCATATTTTCTTGGTCATTCCATTAATCATCGGCTTATCTTTTGTTTATTGCCCTTAAAACCTCTTGTTAGAAAAATTAATGGAAATCTTTTTCCCTCCATCGGATATATAATAATATTATATAATTGTTGGATACATATATGGGAAATTGGATAAGTGTGTGATTTGAGATGTTCTGACTAAAAAAGGTTGAGAAGAGATTTGTCAATGAGTTGTCTTTTGTTGTTTCTCTTCAATACATTTATTAAGATTTTTAAAAAACATTACTTCTTTATATGTTACCTGCACCTATCTACATATATGTTCAGTCCTAACTTGTTTTGTTATTCCTCTTTCATATCTATTCAATTAATGTTGTTCCTACCCTTAGTTCATTTTATATTTTCTTGAACATTGCTCATCCAAAAACATCCATGTGTGAAATATATTTAGATACATTATAGTTTGTTATTCAGATATATGAGAGAATTTTAGTCAACCACTAAAAATTTACGAATTTTCCTAGTTTATACTATTTTGAAAGTTGTGTAGTAGTATCAATCATCATGGAAAATAAAATAAATGATGTTTTTGGTTTAGTCCATTTTGTAGATATTTTACCGACAGAAGAAAAAAACAGTGATATTTAATTTTTTACAGTATTAATGGTGAGACGAGAGAGAGAATCAGAAGTAGATTGGTACTGATGTTTCCCTTATGGAGTAAGAAATAATACTCGCAGTTATTTTTACGATCTCAACAAAAGTTAAAATGAATATCAACCGCAAGATCTCTTTCTTCTGTTTTTACAGACTCTGAATATATAAAAATCATAATGCCTACAAGCTATGAGACCGTTAGTTTTAAATATTTATATATATACCTAAGAATAATTATGAAAAAAAGAAAATCTTGGAAATAGAAAATTAGGTATATAGAGAAAAGAGGCAAATAAAAATTGGGGATTATTAGGGATGAGTGGTCATTTTCAAGTAATGTGTCCTTTGAATCAGTTTCTCTCTCTATCTCTCACAGAAACCCAAAAGAAGTCAGACATTGTTATAATGGTGAGAGAGACTTCTCGGCTTCACTTCCTTTCTCCTCTTTTAATTCTCTTTTTAATTCAAAAGTTAAGATTTTATTAAATGTTTCATACTCTTACTTACACTTATTCATGAATCCTTTCCTAGATTTCACTTTTTACTCTGTCTTAATTTATTCCTCCTTAAATTCTTGGTTCATCTATTTGGTTACATCGTATTATACTATATACCTTTGGGTATTTACTAATATTAGGTAAAAACTTAGTTATAACAATAATACCAAAGCGATCATCATCATCACCCCATTGTAATTCCAAAGTGACAGAAGTTAAGTTTTTACCATTTTCTTACTATCAAAGAACGTATAGAGACTATGACAATACACTTTTCCCTTACAATAACATTATGGCGATTTACCTAATCGAATGATACAAAATGGAATGGAGTTGTATGAATTAATAGCAACTGTCTTTTATTTTTGGATAGAGTGGAGCGACTTGAATTCAAAAAAATATTGGATATATATTTTTGCAATTATCCTTCCAAACAGTTTTATCCTTAAATCCTTGCAATTATCTATTTTTAAACGACATTAGTATTTCTCGTCCCCTCGTTGATTGTCATTTAGTATTTTTTCACAGTATATCATAGCAGTACCTTATGGCATAAACATTAATCAAACAAAACAACATTTTCTTTATGAATCTACCAGTCAAATTAAACTTTTTTATAATTTTGGAGCTATATAACACCTTACATTATTCATGAACTATAGTTGGCTCCTACATGACTACCTACCATTATGCCTTTTTATAATAATCCTGTCTTCCATTGGTTATGTAACAAACTATCAAAATAGTATAGAATATACAATATTTTTGTGAAATACTAGAATGAATCCACAAATTATTTTATGGCGGTTGAATACCACGACGAGTTACTTATATATTAAATTATTTCTTTCCAATAGAATTTGTAGTTCACGTGGATCACGTCGTAACAACATTTTCCATCAAACGGTAACTTATGTGATAAACAGTACATAATCTCATCCTTGAATCATTCATCTTAAAACTAATTATCATTCTAAAATATCAATCAAAACATATATACATCTCAATTCACAAGTAACAAAAACCTTTCAAGTATTTCAAGAGACAAAAAAACGTGTACAAACACACACATATATACTACTCTAGTATGTATATATACGTATTTGTACATGTAATTATTTGAGAATGTTAAGAAAATAAAATTGTCTAGGGTTTGAAGGCAAGTGGAGATTAGTGTACGAGGAAGCGGTACGATGGACCAATGAATGAAGACTTTATGGGGAAATTCGAAACTTTATAATTAGTTTAGTCAAATAATATTTTTAATCATACGATAAGGAATCACGAGTAGAAACTGTCTGTAGAAAAATTTAAAACTAATATAAGGTCTTAAGTACGAATTTTATGGAATATTAAATCTAAGATGAACCTAATTTCGTCACTGAAGTCGTCACTACATTAATATGATAATGGTCATGAGGGCTAGTATTTTAATTTAATTCATTTCTATAAGTGGCAAGATTTGTTGTCTCACGAGGATAATCGTATAACCCAACTTGCTAGTACAACTTCGTGATTGTTCTTAGTGCTTCAATATTTAATTTCAATCGAAAAGTTTAAGATACCAATTAATAAAATAGTATATATAATTAAATAATTAGTGGATATGCTTTTTTGCTTATGGAGTCTCCTAGAAAACAAACAACTTGCAAGCAATACCTAGCTAGAATCTCAAACTGATATTTTCATTTTTTATAATACAAATTCACTTTTAAAACTATGATCTGTTTATTCATTGGATGGAAATTAATTTCCTATTCAAATATTATAAAATAAATCCTAAAAGAATAAAATTTCATGCATGTGGTTGTGAATACGGTTATATGCATTTTTCTAGGTTTTTTTTGTTAAAAGTATTATTGGACTAGGTATGTCATTACTATTGATATTTGTTGATATTTTTGTGTGTTTAATTGGTAAACTCAATAGATAACTCGTTTATATTGAGTGTGTTCAAGCAATTTCTGTTTTTATTTATCAGGATTACACGACACAAAATCGAGACTGTAATTAATTGACTTTGTATATTAAAATTTTGGTGTATATTTATTTTCTTCACATGCATATATACAATTCAGAGTTTGTTAAATATATAAGTTTCGATATGAGGTTTTTGGTTTGATTTTAGTGTAAATGTGAAAAACTTAAGCTAAAACTGATTTGATCAAATATCGACGTCGTCAATATTTTGAAAAACATTGCAATAATGATGAATTTTCAACTCCCTTTTTCTTTTGCGTTTTATTTTTTAAAAAAACTATTGACCCTCTTTTTTCGTCGACACACTTTTAGACTCTTACCTTAAAAAGACAAATTAAAATATATATCCACTATGCCGTGTATGCAAAGGAAAATAATCAAATATATCCACTTGGTACCGAATCATAATGAAGATATTATGAGAAAAACGAATATTAAAATGGGATCATTAATCGGAATACGTCGAGTAATTTTATAACAATTATTAGAAATGATTCATCCACATATATAATCGTGAAATTAAAAATTAGAATGGTCCCAAAAGAGGACAGGTGTCTCTCATGCTTTGTCGAGAAAAACTCTAAACACAAAAGAAACATTAGACTGTGTTGTTATTATTATTATTGTTACCAGCGATGAGCGAACTCATGTTCTGCAGCAACTTTAATTAGTAAACCCAGAAATATAAAATAAGATCTGATTAACAAGTTATACGGTCTATTTTGCAGAGACACGTAGACGATAGATTCGACCTCTTATCACGAGAGTAGAAAACTCTCTGAAACAAATCACATTTTTCTTGTCGTAAAAAGTGTTTTTACTCTGCAAGATAAAAAAGAAAACTATTACTTTTTACAGTCCTCCTGCCATTGCTTTTCGGCTTTGTTTCTTTTAATTATGTATTGCCATTCAAGATGTCAGTTTCCATATTTAGAATATTAGTCCGATGCGTCTTATTGCCCGAAGACATCGATAGGAAAAAGGCAAAAAAAGTAAATTCATTTCATCACAAGCATATAAAGGAATATAGCGGAAAAAATATATGTATTAAACATTTTAACCCCCAAAATAAATGATTAAAAACAAAAAAAAAAAGATACTGATAAATGGTGGAAAAATGAAAACAACCTATTTAGATTGTCGCCGAACCGATTCATGATTATGCCGTTTGAAATTTGCCTCATTCTCGTCCATCATTTGCTGCTGCTGCTACCTTATGCAACTATTTTGCCATCTTGTTGATTTGGTAGTTTCTCAAGCGGTAATTTTTTTTTTGCCGCCACAGTAAAAGTTATTAATAAATGGTCTTTCGTATAGTAATTCAAGTTTTTAAAGTTATATTTCTTGTATTTTTGTGCTTGAAGAATCTCTTTTTTGGTGGAAGTGGTGAAGAATCAATTACACACAGCTTCATCATATATTGTCGTCCTTCGCCGACAATCTTCTTTACCTTATTGCCTTTGTTTTGTCCCATCGCTTTCAACACAATTTCCATTTATAGTAAACTCTCATCGGATTTGTATTTTTTTGAATTCATTTCGTAACACTCGTTTTTCTATTTTTTCAAAATAGTTTCTATTAACAAAATCACTGTTGGCATCATTTCAACTCTAACATACCGCTAAGTTGTAGTATTAACATAGGCACTAGGCCACTAGTATATACTCCCTCCGTATTTTAATAAGTGTCGTTTTAAAATTTTTATTTTTTTGAATTGGATGTCGTTTTCAAATTTCTATGCAAAATTTATTACTTTTTAATGTTTTATGACATCATAAAACATTAAAAAATAATAAATTTTGCATAGAAATTTGAAAACGACATCTAATTTTTTAAAAAAGAAAATCCTAAAACGACACTTATTAAAATACGGAGGGAGTACTAAATACAAAACCACGGATGTTGTGTTACATTGATATGAAAAATAAACCGACTTTTTAAAATCATGTAAACCATATTTGAAATTGAATCATATTCTAAAAAGATTATATCAATCAAAAGCACCTACACAAATGGAATTTATCTTCAACCGAACAAATTAAAAGTGGTTTTTACATTTCATAAACCAACAAGTAAGAAAAGAAAACAGAAAAAATCTGATACAAAGACAAGATTAAATTCTCTTGGTGTAAACGTGGTAGTGTTTATTTGGTATGAACAAAAATGTCTACGAATAATTATGAAGATTAAAATTAGTAATATTGAATATATAAAACGAATTTGATTTCCGAAGTCACCAACAAAGTCTTAAAGAATGAAAGGTGTTTTCACATCCCAATATGTTATTATAAACACAATTTCGTGTTATTAGAGACTAAAGACTCTCACGAGTTTCCAATTCAGGAAAAAGCAATTATTTTGTGTTTTTGCTTATTTTGACAACTTTATAAATTACATAAAAGTAGAAAATCTCGTGGTCCATCTAAAAATGTCGTGATAAGCATGGGAACCACCCAAATTAGGGTACAAATTGTGACTCGTACCTACTTTTTCTCCATATTCAATCCCTTTCATAATTTTCTGTAACTCACTTACGAAATTTCATAGTTGCGTTTATATAATAAGAGTTATAGACTATGGTATCGAAAGACTAACTACGAAATATCCAAATCAGGAAAGATGATGTTGATCATTTCGTATTATATATACAGTTGATGATACCTAAGGTTTTATACGTTATGCAATTTTCCTATAAAAAGCAAACCAACTTTGTCAAAAGAAAAAAATAAGTTATCAACTAGCTTAACTAGTTAGAGAAAATAAGTAACACTTTAAACAGTGGTTCAAATTTATTTATGTTTAATGTGTTTCATGAGAATTTATTGCGAAATCGTAGATCTCAGGATTACAATTGCTAATGCTAATCTATGGATGATAAGTCAAATCTAGGCTTATTCCCAAGAAATTGTGTCTGCGCTTTTGTGGATTTTTATAGTTTGATTTTATCACGTTATTGAAAAAACCAATTCAATAAAATGACAGGGAATTATGGTAGACCGTGAGAATTAAAGCAAAAAAGTCTCAGCTTTTTCGTTTTTGTGAGAAAAAAAACTTTTCAATTAATAAGAGAAAATGACTTGTTATCGTTTGAACAAAATGGGCCTATGAGGTAAGGCCCTACACAATGCAATGGACCTAGCCCATGAAAAGTGTTTTAACTGTATCCATTTAAAACCCATTTGTTAAATCTTGTTATCTCCTTGAATGTTCAGATTGTTGTTGGACCAAGCCCATAATAGTTTGTTTGGACAGTTTTGAATGAAAAAATGTTCCCAAAGCAAATCTTGTGGGTTTGTTGTATTTACAATATTAACCTTTTGTGTGGTTGATATTTTCTGGTTGCTGCTTTATGTATGAGTTCGTTATTCATATCTTTTAGTAACAAGATTCTTCTGACAAAACTATAAAATTCTTCCATTGTCTGTACGCGTGTGACTAAACGCGCCTAGAACTCGAGCGTAGAACACAGAGAGTCAAAGTGATAGGATTGTTGTACTGAGCGAAAACAAGAAGATTTTATTTATAGAGTGCGTATCAACGAGACAGTACAACAACATCTTTCACCTTTATTTAGACCGTCCGATCAATACTAACTGTTGTACTAATCAACTAATGAAAATACGACACGTGTGTTTTAGACTCTTCTTGGGAACACTCGATGTCACACCAGATCCTAGCTCTTTCTCAATCTCTCTCGTGAGTTTCCCACCGTCAGATCATGCTTAGGTTTGTGACGTAAGATTATTATTTGTTGCGCATCTCTAGGCTCTCTCTATCCACTTGCTTATCTAACCGTCCGATCTTTGAAATTTTATTTTTTTGAGGTGGAAAATATATACAATTGTGTTGAGTTATTATTATGCTTGGAGAAATACAATGTGATTAAAAAAAAAAAAAATATCAGTCTTTTTTTTGTTCATCCTAAATGGATGGTGTTGATATATTAATGTAATAATGCATAAACCACGCCATGATTGCTTACTATTAGACTTTACGAGTGTTTTTAGTAAATCTTTAACAAAACAGTTGAAAATCTGTTCTTCCATATGTAAAAGTCTTTGAATTTGATTTATTTTACTTTTGATAACCAGCTTTCTAGAGTTAAATGATTGTCGCTTATAGTTAGGTACCAAGTGGGGGAGTTGTCTCGGGGATCTCATTTGACGTGTGATGTTGAATTTATGATAGAGATCCTAATGATCTCGTGGTCCCTCTCGCAGGGTTTATATAACCATCCAATATATAACTTCATGTTTCTGAATAGTGAGAATCCAAAACTTCAAAGAAATACATTAGGTATTACCGTATTAGCATTGGTAGGTATATGTTATGTATAATGCGCAAATGCAGAATATGTAGCAAGAAGAGAACATAAACGTTTTTAGAGTTTATCAATATTCCTTATGTTGCATAAACTTTTAGGGTCGAGTTATGTGTAACACATGCATATATATTATTACTTCTTCAACGTAACTATCTCTACGGAGTTTCGTTATTATGGTACTACTACTAATGGTTGGGTTGTCTTCAAAACTTCCAACGAACAACTTACAAAACATTAATTTTTTGAATAGACGCGAGTTTGAATTATGTTATCCTTGTTATAACATATGTATTACGAAACGTTGGTATGTTGCAGATTGATAAATCGTGGTATAAGAGTAAATATGATATTACTAGTGAGTTTTTATATAAAGAGAAAAAGGGAAACGATGATAAAAGGTGAAAAGGAAGTTTAGGATCATCTTTGTTTTTTATTTTGTTTTCGGACTTTCAAATCAGACAAGACAACGAGGTATGGGTCTTTTAACAAAAAGAGACTCAACTTGAAAATTCCATCAAACCACCAATAAAAAAACCCAAGAGAAAACATTCAACTATCTTGTTAGAATCTAGACAAAATAAAAAGTGTATCATGCTGATTTTGAACAAATTATTAAAGATCTCAACCATTGTTTCATTAATATCTTTGACAATTCTAGAAGCCCTAAATCTTGTCTTTTTATGAATCATGTTGAATTTGAAAAAAGGATATTCAAATTAATGAGATATGTATATTGAGTAATTGAGTAAATAACTATACCTGTTTTTAAAACACCATTCATTTTTTTTGTTGCATTTTTATTGTATATGTTATGAATTACAATTTCCTTTGTAAGCATTTGGACTCTACCATATCACTTTCTGATTACTTCTGATATTTATTAAAACAGTTATTTTGTAGATATAGAAATAGTACCAGAAAAACGAACATAATAAAATAATTGAACCAAAAGCAGATGCTGAACAAATTGCTGCAGGCTTTTAGTAATTGTCTCCCATTTTGCTTTTCCTCTGTTTCACAAATTGTATATTCGAGGTTAAGTGAATGTTGCAATGAAATAAATGATGCAGTTTGTGCATTCATCAAGAGAACAAGTACGATTGATGTTTTCAGTGCAAAAACATAAAAATACTAACAACTATACAGTGTAAATAGATAACTTCAAATAGGTTTTTATAAGTTTCTATAGGCTACAAACAATCAAAATATACAATATTTTTACTATTTTTTAATATTGCATTAAGGAATTGGTGCCGTCTGCACAGTTGAGAACGCAATTGGAGACTTTGGTGCATTCACTTTGTTTGCCGCAAAACGAATATGGTGAACGTGGTCATCATTTATACAATTATTCTATTAATTACTTACGACAAAATCCTTTTTTTTGGGTTTCAATGTTAAATTATAAAATCCATATTATTTCGGTCTATATTTACACCACCTACTACTATATAAACATTAGATTTAAAGCCCGTCATATAATTAAGCTTTTCTATTATGAAAACCAGTATAACAAAACTTTGATAGTTTTTTTTTTAATAACTAAAAATTCGATAGTTGATTCTAGTAGATGTTATGTTATAGTAGGTGTTATGTTCCAATTTAAAGTGTAGGTACGAGTTGTATAGTTGAAAAAAAAGACACCGTAAATTCGATAAAATTCAAAACACGAAAACTGATTTAAAAGTCAGTAATTTAACGTATGTCAGTGGCATGGGCTTATATTATATAGTCAATAGAATAAATTTGCAAACAAGCAACTTATCACGCCAAGGGTTATAAAATTACTATTTAGTAATTCATTATAACAAGTACGAAATGAAATTACTAAATGTGGAAATAATTTTGTCAAACATCAAAATCGTATAACTTTCGTTTTCTATGGATTAATGGAATTCTTCAAAAACCTCTCGATCAAATTAAACTCCGCATTCATATTTTCCAAAAAACTATATGAATAATGAATAGTAACTTTATCGATTTCATCCGTATCACGAATAATTATGCATATGCGTCTTAACAAATTTCTATTTTAAATAATATACTATGAGAAAACAGATAAAGGTTGTATTATTTGTTACCCAAAAAAAAAAAAAACTAACTACGAGTACTAGTTTAGTGTGTCTCACGTGCGACGAGGAAAAGTTTTGTGAGAGTAGAAAAAAAAAACATTTATTTTTACTACTAGTTTGAAAAACCGTGAGCTGACACAAGCTCATTGCTTTTGCTACAGTAACAGCTACCGTCACTTTTAACAAAATTACAGACCAATCATTTTAACCTCTGTTTCCTAGCTGGCGCGTGACAGCCACTCTCTCTCACTTCTCTCTCCATGCCCATAAAATCTCAAAACTCTGTTTTTTTTTAATGTTTTAGCTTTAACTGCTTTTTTTTTTGTTGCTCTGATGATATCACAGAGAGAAGAAAGAGAAGAGAAGAAGCAGAGAGTGATGGGAGATAAGAAATTGATTTCTTCTTCTTCTTCTTCCTCGGTTTACGATACTACTCGTATCAATCATCATCATCATCCTCCGTCTTCTTCCGACGAAATCTCTCAGTTTCTCCGGCATATTTTCGACCGTTCTTCTCCTTTACCTTCTTACTATTCTCCGGCTACGACGAATACGACGACGTCTATGGTTGGTGTGCAAGGTCACGGTGACCCACATGCAGATAACTCGAGAAGTCTTGTTTCTCATCATCCACCGTCGGATTCTGTGCTCATGTCGAAACGTGTCGGAGATTTCTCTGAGGTTTTAATCGGCGGAGGATCAGGCTCCTCCGCCGCCGCGTGTTTTGGTTTCTCCGGTGGTGGTAATAATAATAACGCTCAAGGAAATAGCTCTGGGACTCGAGTATCGTCTTCTTCTGTTGGAGCTAGTGGGAACGAGACCGATGAGTATGACTGCGAAAGCGAGGTTCTTTGAAATTTTCTCATTCTCTCTGCATGTTTTAAAAGTTGAATCTTTGTCTCTTTCCCGAGGAAATGTTTCTACAGAGATTTCTCTTTAACGGATCTGTACTTTTTTTTTCCCCTTAAAATCCGCAAGTTCTTGTTTATGTGATTTTGAGTGAATGAAAAAGCAGGAAGGAGGAGAAGCTGTAGTTGATGAAGCTCCCTCTTCCAAGTCAGGTCCTTCTTCTCGTAGTTCATCTAAAAGATGCAGAGCTGCTGAAGTTCATAATCTCTCTGAGAAGGTTTGGTTTTTGTAGCCTCTTTCTTTCTCCCAAAATTAGAATTTTATTCTTACTTGAGATTTATTGTAACAGAGGAGGAGAAGTAGAATCAATGAAAAAATGAAAGCTTTACAAAGTCTCATCCCTAATTCAAATAAGGTAATGATACTATAAACAGAGACACATTCACATGAATCATTCTTTTTCTTGTAGCTTCTTTTTTTGTGTCTGATTGTTGCAATGTGTTTATTGGGGAAGACGGATAAAGCTTCAATGCTTGATGAAGCCATAGAATATCTGAAACAGCTTCAGCTCCAAGTTCAGGTCACTAAAGATTCTTCAAGTTTATTGTCTTTATAACCAAAACCCCAAAACCAGTAGGATGATGACATTAGTCTTTTTTTTTTTGGTCTGATCTTTGCAGATGTTGACAATGAGAAATGGAATAAACTTACATCCTTTGTGCTTACCTGGAACTACATTACATCCATTGCAACTCTCTCAGATTCGACCCCCAGAAGCAACCAATGATCCTTTGCTCAATCATACCAATCAGTTTGCTTCGACTTGTAATGCACCGGAAATGATCAATACGGTGGCTTCTTCATACGTGTTGGAACCTTCCATTCGCAGTCACTTTGGACCTTTCCCTCTCCTTAATTCACCCGCGGTGCGTAGTTATATAACACATTTTTGTTATATAAACCCTAAAAGCTAGTCTGCTTACTATAAATTTTTGTTACTTAAGGAGATGAGTCGGGAAGGCGGGTTAACTCATCAAAGGTTGAACATTGGTCATTCCAACGCAAACTTAACCGGTAAATTATTCTTGATTTTGTATACTGGATAAGTTTTAGGACATTTACAATGTTAAAATGTTGCGATATTTGGGCATTGGCAGGGGAACAAGCTCTGTTTGATGGACAACCTGACCTAAAAGATCAAATTACTTGAACAGAGTCTCAACTTTGATCTCTATGTGTTCTTGTTTCTTAGGACGCAAGCAATAAAGCTGCCTGACAATGGAGATGCATTTAACGGTCTTTACTTTTTCTAAGGTTCTATTTATTATTTATCAATTGTTGTTGACACGAACACTAGACTCTAAGTCTCTGAATCTAATAGCTATATTAAAAAACTTTTATTACAAAGTAATTGTTAGGTTTATCAGTTTATGTATGTTTATGGTGGATGTAAATTTTCTAGATCATCTTCGCATTGTATTGAGAGTTTGAGACTCGATGACTTGGATATGTAAATTACAGATAAGCTTCTAGAGAAGTTTTCGATTCTACATAATGGACTTGGTTTCATGTTTTTTTTTGGTATCTCTTGTTTTCACCTTACTTTTTAAGACACTAGTCGTGAAAGTTAAATTGATCATTTACCATGACATTTTTGAATATACAAATGACATTTTTTTGTAAAACAAAATAAAATCATATCACGATATATTTTGAAAAAAATCTTCACTATGTTTTTTTTTTATAATAAAAAAGGAAAGTAATTGGGATTCTCTTTCAGTGAAAATATCAGAGAAAAATATGCCTTGAAGACGACTGGAGTTGAAACTTGAAAAATATTTAGATACTTACTTTTCTTTTATAAAGCTGGTCACTCTTTTTGCATAGATTCAGTGACCAAATTCCTCACTAATTTCAATTTGACTGATGAAGAGATTGATTTTGTTCGTGATTCGTTACCTGGATGTGAGGTATAACATCATCTCTCTTGGCCAAAAGATTCAATTTTTAGCATCTTTTTTTACTCACTCTTTTGGAATTTTGAAAAATCAGGAAGCTTTTTGTGATTATCTTCGAGGGCTTGATTGTTCTGACATTGAAGTGTATGCAATTTCGGAAGGATCTGTTGTGTTCCCTAAAGTTCCTTTACTCAGAATTGAAGGTCCTGTTGCTGTGAGTTTATCATTATCTCTAACTCTCTCATAATTGTAATGATCAGTTTCTGATCTCTCTTGTGCTTCTTGCTTAGGTTGTGCAATTGTTGGAAACTCCGTTTCTCAATCTCATCAATTACGCGTCTTTGGTTGCTACTAATGCAGCAAGACATCGGTTTGTTGCCGGAAAATCTAAGCTTCTGCTTGAGTTTGGTGCTCGAAGAGCTCAGGTTTTCCCCTCAAAACATTTTTAGACTTAGATGTTGAGGTTTTGTTTGTTACATCTCTGATATGTATTGTTATAGGGACCCGATGGCGCAATAAGCGCATCAAAATATTGCTACCTTGGAGGTTTTGATGCAACAAGGCATGTCTTTACTATTGATTTTGTTTTGTTATGGAAACATCGAAAGGAAAAAGAGGATATGATTTTCTCTATTTTTCTTGCTTTGTTTATTACCGCAGCAATGTTGCAGCGGGAAGACTGTTTGGGATACCCCTCCGTGGCACTCATTCCCATGCTTTTGTTAGCTCATTCATGGTAAGCTTGCTTTAGCAAAATTTGTGAAAATAACTCAGTTCTAATATGTAGTTAGATTAACATAATTGATTGAGAATTGGATGATGTTTGCGATATTTTATATTACCGGAATATTGGAAGCAGTAGTGAAAAGACTTATACTTTACTTTGGTTCTTTTGTAGAGCCTTGATGAAATTGTTGACAAAGTGCTTCGAAGTTCTGATGGGAAAAGCACTTGTGAGGATTTTATTTGTTTGGTCCAAACATGCCTAACTAAGATTCAGGTTTGTTAAGTCAAATCGAGAATTTTTCTCAGTGTAGTATTGTTCTGTTTTTGATTCCTCTCTCTTCATGATCTTTCTTGTGATTGGTGGACGACAGAATTCATCTTCATTACAAGGGATTTTTTCCGAGACAAATCAAAGCGAGCTTGCAGCATTCATTTCATATGCACTGGCATTCCCGAACTCCTTTCTCGCTCTTGTAGACACTTACGATGTGAGTAATAACAGTTTTTTCATCTCATCTTAGATTAAGATTTTCTTTATGGGTGTAGTTGGAGTGACAAAGAACTAGTGTTTCTACTGTCTTACAGGTGATGAAGAGTGGAATTCCAAACTTCTGTGCTGTTGCTCTAGCACTTAATGAATTGGGGTGTGTAAGAAATCGTTTATTAATTCTCCATATTAGATTCGCCATTGCAATTTTTTGAAGATTCATGACTTTGTGCTCTTATGCAGATACAAAGCAGTAGGCATTAGACTGGATTCAGGTGACTTAGCCTATCTGTCTACTGAGGTCAGGAAATTCTTTTGTGCCATAGAGAGAGACCTCAAAGTTCCCGATTTCGGGAAGATGATCATCACTGCTAGTAACGATCTAAATGAAGAGACAGTCGATGCTCTAAATAAGCAGGTAAATCTCTGCTTAACCTTAAGAAATTCTTACCTTTAGGCCTATGTAACAAAAGTTTCTTTTTTTTGTTTCATCCCGCAAAGGGTCATGAAGTAGATGCATTTGGAATTGGAACCAACTTAGTGACTTGCTATGCACAAGCTGCGTTAGGTTGTGTTTTCAAACTGGTAGAAATAAACAATCAGCCTCGGATCAAACTTTCTGAAGATGTAACTAAGGTTTGAATCCTGGACTCAATTCCCCAATAAGAATGTTACTTCAAACTTTCTGTGTTCTTCTTTGCATACACTCGATCGCTTTTCTCTTTTTGCGTCTTCAGGTATCGATACCATGTAAAAAGCGTACTTACAGATTATTCGGAAAAGAGGGTTACCCTCTTGTTGATATAATGACTGGAGAGAACGAACCACCTCCAAAGGTAAAAACAAAGGCATTTGCTTTCTTGAAAGATTTAAAGCTTTTTATTACCTTTTAATTTTATTTTTTTGGATCCTAAGGTCGGTGAAAGGTTACTTTGCCGTCATCCATTCAATGAATCGAAAAGGGCTTATGTGGTGCCACAACGCGTTGAAGAGCTTCTGAAATGTTATTGGCGTGGCAATGCAGGTTAAAACAGAGCTCTCAATTTTTAAAGGATACTGACAAATGCTTATGAATCATTATGTTTTCCTTTTTTACTCTAATGAAGATGAAGCTAGGGAAGAGCTAGAGCCATTGAAAGAGCTAAGAAACCGTTGCATCAAACAGCTCGAAAACATGCGACCCGATCATATGAGAAGATTAAACCCTACTCCTTATAAGGTATAATAATCCAACAAAACACCTGAGAAAACCTTTTTTGTATCAAGAGCTTTCGCTTTCTGAGAGAAACCTAATTGTTAACTTACACTTGCAGGTTAGTGTCAGCGCCAAGTTGTATGACTTCATCCACTTCCTCTGGCTCAATGAAGCTCCTGTCGGTGAACTGCATTGACAATTTACAAATATGGGTTGTCTTATTCGGTGTATGTGTGTGTGTGTGTGTAACCATAGTATCAGCTTTGCCACTGATCTCACTGTTTTCACAACATCATCATCTCAAAAAAAATTACTCACCAATAAATGTTTTGAATGTTTTGGTCATTTCGTGGAAACGTATAAAGGGGAAATCAAATCATTTGTATCAGATCAAACCAAACTGAGCTCACTGAGGAACTATCACCACAGCAAGAGAGTCGCCGCAGAGATCAGAACGAGAGATGACAATCCCATAGCTGTAGAATCAGCATTACCCGCAGGAAGATTTTTTGAATTCCGTGAAGAATCTGTCCCTCCAGCGACTGGTGATGGAGCCGACTTCGGAGGAGGAGCATCACATGTGCCAAAAGGTGCGTTTGACTGCATATATGCATGCAAAAACACATTTATCATTAGCTCAATATTATGATTTCTATTTCGTTTCAAGAAATTAAGAACCCAATCTTGTTCAATGCAACGTACCTTGCAAAAGACTAAGCTGTCACAACCACATGTGAGACGACCGTTTGCTTCATCTACAGCTTCGGCAGCTCCTCCACTGTCACTCCTCTGCAATTAAACATCAACAGCGCAAGAGTTTAATAATTCGACTTCCTTAAAGGAACAAACTTTCAGCAGATTAGCTCTATAAAATGTTGGATTTGGCAAAGGAGCAAACCTGGTAAAAATCAACAGCGATGAAGTTAGGCCATCTTTTACCCGCTGCTTCATGGCAAGCTCTCATCATTTCAATCAACGGAGAGGAATTATCCGCACACGCTTGCGTTGAATTCGGATTGGTTTCAAAATAGTTCTGAAAAACCAAAGACAGAGACTTGGTATCCAATGGAGAAGATTCAGATCGACTCGAGCATGATCCATCCTTCAATCCATCATTGCCAACTACATAACAACCCAAATTAAACATCATCTTGTTAACAAGCTGGTCCTTAAATCGAGATTCGTGTTTGATTAAACTTCATAAAAGACTCACACTGATTTTCAACCATGTAATTCCACTGGTAAGCAAAACCTTCAGAAGCTTCTTTATCCTTCTTGGAAGTAAAAACAACAAGCCTTTGGTTCTGCTTCACCATATCATCCACTGTTGGCCAGTCTGTACCGTCTTTCGGCATTCTCGAAATTGGTAACTGGAACTTACTCAATCCTGATGCATTGAACACGTTAGTCAATCCCATTGGAGATTTGACATAATCTTCAAGAATGATTGTAACAATCTCAGACAAGTTTGATTCAAGAAAATCATTGATCTCTTTGAGTGCATTGATAGCTGGTTGCTGCAAGTTTAACTTAACTCGTTAAAACCCAAACATAATTCACACTCATAGGCAACAAAATTCAAATTGAAACTTACAAAGGCTGTGAAGTTAAAGCAAGTCCCTCCAGTGGAATGACACAACCATATATCGTTTTGAAAATCATATGTATCTAGCATTATCCCTCTCACACCATTCTGTAACAAAACAACAAAATAATTGAGCAAAAAGTCAACAAATTAGAATGTTACACGTGGAAAATAATAAAAAGCCACCAACTAAAGCTGACATTGTCTTTTATTGAAACCTAAGGTAAAAAGATACTTGCAAATTAAGTCAAATCCCAAATTTAGCTAAAAAGAATTCGAATACGACGGAAGTTGTCAAAATTTTGGTAATGGAGATTAAAAGTTGACCTTAAGCTGATTAGTGATGGAGTCTTCTTGATTCTTTGGAGAGATAAGGAATGAGCCAGTTGCCGAATTTGCCCCCGTGATTGCGTACGAATTGTGTGTGGTTAGCCACGAGTACTTATTAAACGGCAAACCATTCACCTACCCATCATCAAAACCACATGCAATCCATCATCAAGAAATTGGAAAGAGACAAAAGCAAGAAAAAAATATTGTAAAAATGGAACCTTTGAAGTCGGGTTAAGAGGTTGGATCCGGGTACAAGTAGACCCGGTATTTCCATTCGCTGGACAACTCTGGCAAATCAATCCGGCGTCGCATTGGCTGCTCGAACTACATGTTTCTCCAATCTGTGAGTAAAAATCAAAACCTCTCTCTGTTACTAAACTTCTTGAAAAGATTCATAAGAGATTAGAAGAGAAGTGTGTATAAGAACCTCGAGACTGTGAACGAAAGATGATAAACATAATAAAGCTATGATCATCAGATTAAAGAAATTGAAGCCTTCCATTTTTTGGTGTTTTGTTGGGAGAAGAAAGAAACAAAGAGACGATGAAGTTTTTAATGCGAATGTTTCTATTTATTTCCAAGTGATTGATTGATTAAAACGCGGCGTTTGGTTGATAGTTGTTACTTTGGAATTTGGAATTTTCTTAATTTACAATTTTTAATAATTAGGATTCTGTTGGTCGTTTAAAAGTGATGATTTTTTCTAATTATATGGTTTAGTCATTGAATTTTGGTTTTTAAATATTCTATCACCATGTGGAATTATATGTGCATAGAAATGTCATGTGCAAAATTAGACCGAGTCAGTCATCCTTGACCTTTCTTCTACGTACAAATAATATACACACACTAATTAATAATCAAGTTGTTTTTTTTTCTTTGTTGCTAAAACAAATAGAAGAATCGGTAATAACTAATAACATATGCATAAGAACGAGTATCCACGTCGAGGTTACAATAGGTTATTAAAAAATTGTTCACAGATTAGGACATACAATGATTTAATTTAACATTGGGCTCGACCCAAACCAAGCCCAGTTATATTTTTTGTAATAGACGGACTCTAGGGCCCAATTTCTATAGTTCCACTTCCACGCTTCTTCTACTTCTCCATCTACCTCATTGGTTCGGTTCTTTACAAACCGACTTTAACCAAAACCAAACTATCCATTGCTTTTTCTAACCCATATAATCAAATCGAATCTTATATACCAAAAAACCAGCTTTTAGTTCATGACTTAAGTTATAATAATAAGTTACCAGCTTCTTTGTATCATTAATTTCGTTCACATTCTCGTAACTTTCGTATTAAATAAATATAATAACCGACATATAATTAATTAATCAAAACCTTTTCTTTTTTTTTCAGGATGAGAGAATCTGAGCATCTCTGTTTATAAATAGTAATTAATATTTTTTATAAAAATATCTCTATAAGAATCCTCTTATTTCTATTTTTTTTATCGTTGCTAAAAAAACAGGTTCTGATTTTGAATCAAAGAGTGAAAGTGAGTCGTTGAATCTGAAACCGAGCTAGAAGAGAAAGAGGTTTGTGGTTCAGGCGAGGCTCAAGAGAGTAACAACAAGGTTGTTGTCAAGACGACTGATGACGAAATGGTGGCAACAGATACCAAAAAAAAATATTTTTAGAGAAAGTGGAGTTATGATGATGAGATCGTCTTGTTGCAAGGCATGATTGATTTCAAAAATGATCAATAGAAGAGTCCTTATGATGATATGTCCGAAAATATGTTTTCGAAAAAAAAACAAGTTCTTGGTAGTGAATTGACTCTAATTCGCTTGAAAACTAATGCAGCTCTTCACCGTATCAATAAAACCAGTCATATCATCATAAGGACTCTTCCCTTGATCATTTTTGAAATCAGTCATGCCTTGCAACAAGATGATCTCATCATCATAACTCCACTTTCTTTTAAAATACTTTTTTTTGGTATCTGTTGTCACCATTTCGTCATCAGTCGTCTTGGCAACAACATTGTTGTCACTCTATTGAGCCTCGCCGAAATCACAAACCTCCTTCTCCTCTACTTCGGTTTCAGTTTCAGACGACTCACTTTCACTCTCTAATCCAAAATTTAAACCTTTCTTTTCAGCAGTCACGATAAAAGAAACAGAAGCAAGATGATTTTTACCAGAATCTTTTTAATATTTCTCTTTTTATAGAAGCAGTAATGCCTCTTTTTATATTTCCAACCCTTATGACTCTTGTTTTTTTTTTTTATAATCTTGTTTTGGATGTTGTTCCTAAAAACATTATGGAAGAGTTGTAGTAATGTCTCTTTTTCATTTCCAGCCCTTATGACTCTAGTTTTTTTGTTCCTATTTGATTTTTTGGTTTATCTTGTTTTGGATTTTGTTGTTGAAAACACCATAGAAGAACGGCAGTTTAAATGCATCCAATTGTGTCTAAATTTTGGTCAGAATACTCTCATTAGATACCTTTCATTTTGTTTAGGCTAACAAACATCAATGTTATAGAGTGACCTCAAAATACATAATTCTAAAAATAAACTTAGAGGTGTGTAGTAATGTCTCTTTTTCATTTTTTATCTTTATAAATATAATAACCGACAAAGAATTAATTAATCAAAAGCTACTCTGTTACAAACATTGATTAGTTTGTAACAGTGAATGAGAATCAGTTAACATATGGCACAAAACATTTCTCAGTTTCTTTCTTTCAAGAATATTCTAATTTCAATATATTTACAAAGTCAACGAGCTAAATTAAACAAAAGATTAAAATCAGGACCGTCAATTCTAAATGACCCCATAATAATCTCCACACAAATAATGACTGAGTCTTTCTCCACAACAACAAAAAACAACTCCATTCACCTGACGTTGACCCAATCACACGACTCCGACCAATCAGGTACCTTCTCACTCACCAAACCACTAATCCTCTCCTCCGGCGAACGTACCAAAGAACCAAACGTAACCGACTCGTTAACCGGAGATTGAACCGAATTCCAACCGGGAAAATCAAATGGATTTCTCGGTGAAACCAAAGCTTCGTCTTCTTCGCCACACCTTAATGACCCACTCTCATCACCATCATCATCAACGGCTAAGAACGGATGATCCAAAAGCATCTCAGCCGTCCATCTCTCCGCGGCGTTTTTAACAAAACACTTCCTCACGAAATCTCTACCTTCCTCCGACAATTCCACCGGAATCCTCGGAACTTCATCGCCGGAACCAATACGAACCATTAAAGACATAACATTATTCATAACACCATCCTCCAAACACCATGCCGTTTTACCACTAGACATCTCAACAACAGAGCATCCTAAAGCCCAAATATCCGCCGGAGATTCAAACTCGCCGTGATTCACAGATTCCGGTGCCATATACAACGGAGTGCCTCTAATCTCAACACCAATCTCATCATCACTCCTCCGTTTCGCTAACCCGAAATCAGAAATCTTCACATCTCCATCACCAAAAACCAAAACATTCTCAAGCTTTAAATCACAATGAGAGAATCCATTACCATGAATATGACACAATCCTTTAACAATCGATCTCGTGTATCTCCTCACTTCACATTCCGGCAACGCTTCACCGGAGTTTTTAACCCGATCAGCCAAATTACCACCGGAAGCGTACTCAAGAAACAGATTATAGATCTCTTCTCCGTTCTCCACCGTCCTTCCTTCTCCGAAACACCGCACGATCTCCGAACAATCACCGAGATCATCAAGAACATCTCTCTCGTTTCGTAACGCGCCGGAGCAAACAACTCCGGAAGATTTCACAGCCATTAACGACGGAAACGCTTTACAAGAACTTCCAGAGGTAGTTGCTAAACTAACGGTGGAGAAGCTTCCGTGACCAATTGTTTCTCTACGAATCCACTCCATTAATTTTAGAGCTCAAAGCAACAAAGAAGAAGAAGAAGAAGAAGAAAAAAGTCTTATGAAACAGTTTCTTTACACTTTCTTCTTCTCCAACTCTACCTCTGTTTTAATTTATATATACTCTTGAGATAATTTTTTTTTTTTAAGAAAAAAAGAAGTAAATAGTTTGTTGTGAACAAGTGTATTTGTGTAATTTAATGCACGTGATTATATAAGTATATGTATTTATTTGATTTTTTTTTTACCAATTTATATGAATTTGCTCTTGGCCAAGAGAAGAAATAGCGGTCCATAAAGAAAACGTGGGTGGTGAGAGAAGACTCTTGTTGTTGCCCACTGTTGTATAACAAAAAAAATCATTAATTAAAAATAAACTATACCACTATAAAAAGATAAAGAAATTGAATAACTTGATTTTGAAAAATGTAGTTTCTTTCAATTTTGATAAGATATATATATATATATATATATATATATATATATATATATTTAATTAATGTTTTAGATTTTTAGCTATAAAATAAAGATATATGTTATCCTGTGAATTTAATAATGATAATTTTTAAGATGTTTATTTATTTATAATTTTGATGATTTTATACCTTTTTATTATTTTTTATTTTTTATGTATTTGATAAATTAGATTCGTAGTTCTACACGTTTGTTTCAAGATCTACCATGTGATTCGCGTTTTTCTTAAGTAGCGTAAAAATCGGATGGAAGATTCTGTCAATTTTCCTTTGAGATTCTTTTTTTTTTCTTAACGTGTGAAGTATTTATATGGCTGTGAATATTGGTTATTATTTATTGTTGGGGTGATGGTGATGAGTGATTTTCTCTTGTAGAAACAGTGTTGGTTTAAGAATTTTTTTTTAGTAAATCTCATCCACATGTCATTAACAACATGTGTATGCATGCTCAAGATTTTACTATCAACTCAATACTAAGGGGGTGTTATTGGTTTGTGATTTAAATAGAGTTTTGATGACTTTAATAAAATCATAGAAAGTGAATAAGTGAATGATTTAGAAGAATTGTTAGAGAGTTTTCTATAGTCTTGTTGATTAGTTTTTCTATAATCTTGTAGAGTCTCCCAAACAATCTCAATATTTCAGCATACTTTCCATGACTTTATTTTGTAAAGAAAAGTGTTTAAAATCATAAACCAATAACACAATAATTGAATTCATTAACAATCATAGATTGTCATAGATTGTTTTGTTTTAGTTGAATAACACAAAACTTTTAATGACTTTATAAAACTCTTAATCCAATAACACAATATTCATTAAGATTTTAAATGACTTTTTACAAATCACAAACTAATAACACCAAATTTTAAGAGAGTTTAACAAAATCTTGATTGAATAACAACAGATTCTACACAACAATTAAAGTCATTAAAACTCTATTTAAATCACAAACCAATAACACCCCCTAAATTATTTGTTTTGTGAAAATATTTCGCCCTAAAATTATACTACTGTGTTTCCAAAAGTAATATAGTATTAGTATACACTTATACTATGGTCTATATATGTAAAGGAGTTATATGTCAAACTCATTAACCTAGACTCCTTAACCTAGGGTCTCTCCTCTGTATATATGTTGTACTCATTCACATCAATAAGATCATCTAATTCCACAAACCTACATGGTATCAGAGACAAAAGAGATTGAGATCTGAGGATTTGAAAGAGGATCTGAGGATCTCAGGTATGAATTCTACAGAGTCTTTGCCATTGGAACATAACGTGTCTTCTAGTGCAGGTGAAAATCAATCTTCCTCCTCCACCACGTCACATTCAAGCCCAAATCAAAATAACAGCCCACCAAATAAAACCCAACAAAATCCCTCTTTAAATACAAACCAAACAAACACTTCTCCAAGCCCAACATCTCAACAGGCCCAAACACCAACCCCAAGCCCAAATCATTCCTTATCTTCTACCTCCTCACACGAACCAGAGGCATCTTCGTCGTCTCCACAAAATTCACCATCTCCACCACAACAAAATTCACCACCACCAAACAATCACCATCAGATGCAAACACGATCCAAAGCTGGAATCACTAAACCGAACGCAAAATACACTCTCCTCGCCTCTACACAAGCCAAGTCTGATATTGAACCGAGAACAACGACGGAAGCTCTAGCCGATGAGCGATGGCGAAATGCAATGAGTACTGAGTTCAATGCTCACGTCAAAATGCAAACATGGGATTTGGTTCCACCATCACCAACACAAAATCTAGTCGGAAACCGGTGGCTCTTTACGACGAAATATCAAGCGGATGGGACTCTCGACCGGTACAAAGCGCGATTGGTAGCTAAAGGGTACCACCAACAACCCGGAATTGACTATACCGAAACCTTCAGCCCGGTAATTAAGTCTACAACAATCCGAATTGTTCTTGGTGTTGCTGTTTCTAAAGACTGGAAAATCCGCCAATTGGATGTAAACAATGCCTTCCTCCAAGGCACGCTCACCGAAGATGTGTATATGCCACAACCACAAGGGTTTATTGACAAAGACAGACCCGACTACGTTTGTCACCTTAAAAAGGCACTCTACGGGCTCAAACAGGCACCTCGGGCGTGGTATCTTGAACTCAAAAACTATCTCTTACAAGCAGGATTCACAAACTCGCTGGCAGACACATCCTTGTTTCTATTCCGGCAAGGTACTGATATCGTCTACATTCTCATCTATGTTGATGATATTGTTGTGACAGGAAACAACGGTGAGCTCATCGAACGTACCATCACTGCTTTCTCCAAACGATTCTCCACAAAGGATCTTGGAAATCTGTCGTATTTTCTCGGCATTGAGGTAAAGAGAATACGATCGGGACTACACCTGTCTCAACGCAAGTATATCTCCGATCTCCTGGTTCGTAACAACATGATCACTGCTAAACCGGTTGCAACACCAATGGCAACGACTCCGAAATTGGATCTCCACACCGGTACACCACTTCCCGAAGCAACAGAATACAGGGCACTTGTTGGTAGTCTTCAGTATCTATCATTTACAAGGCCTGATATATCTTTCGCAGTCAATCGCCTCTCGCAGTTCATGCACTTGCCAACCACGGATCACCTCCAAGCTGCTAAGCGAGTCCTCCGATACTTAGTTGGCACCATGACTCACGGTATTTTTCTTTCTCGCGATAATACGTGGTCTCTACATGGATTCTCCGATGCAGATTGGGGTGGAAACAGTGACGACTATGTCTCCACCAACGCCTACATAGTCTATCTTGGCAAGCAGCCAATCTCATGGAGCTCCCAAAAACAGAACACTGTTGCCCGATCCTCTACAGAGGCGGAATACAGATCCGTCGCCAACACGTCATCGGAAATAAGTTGGATACACTCTCTTCTCGATGAACTTGGTGTCAAAACCACCCATCCACCGGTTATTTACTGCGACAATGTAGGCGCCACGTACTTATGTGCAAACCCTGTTTTTCATTCAAGAATGAAACATGTGGCGCTGGACTATCATTTCATTCGCCAACAAGTTCAGAATGGGACGCTACGAGTCAGTCATGTAAACACCAAGGATCAGCTAGCAGATGCACTAACGAAACCGCTTCCGCGACAGCAATTTCACAATCTGCTCACCAAGATTGGAGTGACATATGCCCCTCCATCTTGAGGGGGCGTATTAGTATACACTTATACTATGGTCTATATATGTAAAGGAGTTATATGTCAAACTCATTAACCTAGACTCCTTAACCTAGGGTCTCTCCTCTGTATATATGTTGTACTCATTCACATCAATAAGATCATCTAATTCCACAAACCTACATATAGTTTAGATTATATCAGTTTCAAGTTTAGTGTTCTCCGAATATAGAATAAAATTAGTTTGATTTCCCTTAAGATATTGTTATACATAAGATAAAGGAATTTTCATGAAACTAATAAATGTTTCTAAATCTTCTGGTTGGTAGAGAAACAAATCACATACGTACGGATCTCAATATATCACTTCTATGGAAAGAAATGTGATTAACAATAATTAGCAAACCTGTAACACTCTGCATGATAAGTCCACATCAGTAATTATAGTTTGATAACATTTTAAAAGACATGATAACATTTAATTAAAGTACCAGAAATCCCAATTAATGCATCTAACATTTTCGAGTGCATTGTGATTTGCTAACAAATTCTATGAACATGTTATTTTGCCAATATTTATACTAAGCAATTAGCTATTAGATCGATATTTATACTTTATAATTAATTAGTACAAATTTTGGTAAAGACAAAATGGTGTGAACTGTGAAGTAGTTGCCGAAAAATAAAAATAATGAAATGGCGTGTGAATAAAAAGAAAGACTCCTAGACGATTGAAACAGGTCAAATTTATTCACGCGGACGTTATATAAAATTTGATAAAATTTCCAGCAGAAGTATTTATGGTCAATGATTAAACGATAACAATTGCATGACGACTTCCCTCTCTCTTTTATTACTTAAAAATCGACCGTTTACCATTATTAGATGCACCAACCTTCATTTCATTATGATTAGTATTAGAGCTGTGCCTAGAGTTTTTAAGGCTATAGACAAAACAAATTTTTAGTTTTTTTTTCATTTTAATTTAAATATTTTACAATTAATACAATACAAAAAATATAGCAGAACTAAATAGATGAGATAAAGATTAATGTTTTTTTTAAAGAACTAACAAATATAATATAAAAATGGTAGATGATGATAATTAGAATAAGTTGTTAAAATGAATAATAGAGAAGAGAATTCACAAACATTAATTTGAATTTCAAAATTTGTTTTAACGCTTCACGTGGTAAACGCAAGAGAGATAACTAGTTAAGTGAGAGATAAGATGAATGTTATAAAAAAAACTTAGTTGTACAAAAACTGTTAAAATAATAAATAACATAGGTTATAATTAGAGTGAACGGTAATAAAAAGAAGTTACGAACATAAGGTAGAATTTTTCACATGGTAAACGCATGAACGGTAAAAATGCAGTTACAAACATTAATTAGAATTTTAAGGTTTGTTCTTAGGTTTAACCACATGGTGGTGGGCGAGTGGTTCTCGTTTGGTTGGAAGGATCGCCCTGTTGGTCTAGACCAGGGATCGATCCTCCCCAGACGCAGTTTCGCTCTCTCACTCCTGTGGCCACCTGGGAATTTACCTGCGGACTTGCTCAGGCGCCCCAGACCACCAGTTTATCAGGGGGCCCTTAAGTGGAGGCTTAAAAATCTCTGTGACGCGGGCTTAGGTCCAGTGGGCTAGTCAGATCACTGTGTGGTCTGGATACTGGGTTATCAAAAAAAAAAAAAAGGTTTGTTCTTAGGATTCACGTGGTAAACGCAAGAAGAATAAATGAGATAAAGACGAATGTTTCTATAAAAACAAACAAATTTAAGACTTATATAGATGATAAAGAAAATTAAATTAGGGTGAACGTAAAAAAAAAAAAGCAGTTATGAAACATTATTTTAGAATTTGAAATTTTCTTCTCAGGTTTCACGTGGTAAACGTAAGAAGAAATACATGATATACTTAGCTATTGTTTGCTAGTATCCAAAAAATGTGTATAGTTAAATCAATTTATAATCACTATCATTGATAAAATATCTTATTTTGGTTAACTAAATTAGAAGCTACGTAGGTATCTTAATCTCATTCATATTTAGTTTAATGTTTGTCAAAAAGCTTCAAACCCATTATGAGGGCTAAGTTGTTGTTATAAGGCCTACTTAAACCTAACAAAGATAAGCCCATTAAGTCTTTATGGGCTTACCGGCAAAAACATGAATGTTAAACACGTGTCACCAATCGCGGAGCTACGATGGACGGTGAACGTTTTATCGCCGGAAAATTCCCATCTTCGCTTTGATTCCTCCTCAAAAGATGAAAAAATAGAGCGAGCGAGAGAGAGACAGAGAGAGATTTTAAAACGAAAATCCAGAAAAAGGGTCTGACCAATTTAGGGTATTCTTGTGGGAGAGAGAGAGAGAGATTTCAAAAGGTCAGTGTGTGAGTTTCGTATTTCGCAATGAATCTAAAAAAAAAGGATAGATTTTTAGTTTCTTTTGTTTCTTGATCGGAGAGAAATGATGAATTGGTGTTTAATGATGATAATTGTGTGTGAGAAAGAGATGTGCTTGTGGTTTGCAGGAGGAAGAGGAAGAGACGAGTGTGAGAGATTTAGAGGGAGAGAAGAAAAGAGAGATTTTTTTGAGTGTGTTAGGGTTTCAATTCTTCTCCAGATCTACATTTATATCTTCTCATGGAACGGAAGCTTGTGGTAATTTGGTTTTTACTCGCATTGAGCTCAAAAGTTTCCAACTTTTCTCTGAATTGTGTAACTACGATGCTTTTACATGTAATTGTAATTGATTTATAGGTTTTGGGAATCCCGTGGGATATTGATTCCGATGGGCTTAAGGATTACATGTCAAAATTTGGAGATTTGGAGGATTGTATTGTCATGAAGGTTTGCATTTTCTTTTTTGGGTCTGATTTGAACTTGAGCATTGTTGATTAAGCAATGTCATGAAGAGCTTTGATATGTTTGATGTTTAGGATCGATCAACTGGAAGATCTCGTGGATTTGGATATGTCACTTTTGCTTCAGCTGAAGATGCAAAGGTAAGTTTATTAGTAGCATGTTTAGTTTCAATGGTTGTTGGATATTTTTTATGCTGGAAAATCTCTGTCTTAGTTTTGTTTCTCTTGAGTACTTGTAGAATGCTTTGAAAGGTGAACACTTTTTAGGGAACAGGATCTTGGAAGTAAAAGTGGCTACACCAAAGGTTGGTTAACATGGAGTTGTGTGAATCTAATAAGACATTAGTTTTTTTCCCTGTAATGTTTGTTCAAGATGGTTGTTTTTTGTGCCAGGAAGAGATGAGACAGCCTGCAAAAAAGGTGACGAGGATCTTCGTTGCTCGAATCCCTTCATCAGTCTCTGAATCAGATTTCCGAAGGTAATCCGATTTGCTTTAATGTGTTCTGTTTTTTTTTTCAGAATCGGTTCTAATAGCTGTTGAAAATATAAACATTCTTTCTGTACTCTTATGCAGCCATTTTGAGAGGTATGGGGAAATAACCGACTTATACATGCCTAAGGTAATCTATCGTTATCTAATTGTGTGCCTGATAATATCATACACTTTGAAGAGTTTCTGGCCAGATCTGGTCTCTTGTATTTGATATCATTTCCCTATTTTCTATGTTAGGACCACAACTCGAAGCAACACCGAGGAATTGGATTTATAACATTCTCTAGTGCTGGTCAGTTTTTGCTTAAATCTCCTCCCGACCAGAATTGAGTTTTTATATTTTGATGACAGAACCTTCTTTACAAGTTTGATTGTCAAACTCATGAGAAAGAAAACATAAGAAACTGATGAATGCGATCCTGACAATAGATATAACCTGTTTGTGAAAATTTGGATTAAGGAGAAACCTTCTATTTTGTGATTTCAGATTCAGTGGAGGATCTGATGGAGGACACTCATGATCTGGGAGGTACAACAGTTGCTGTTGATCGGGCAACACCAAAAGAGGATGATCATCCACCTAGGCCACCGCCAGTGGCTAGAATGTCTCGCCCACCCGTGGCTGTTGCAGGTGGTGGATTTGGAGCTCCAGGTGGTTATGGAGCTTATGATGCTTACATTTCTGCAGCTACAAGATACGCAGCGCTTGGTGCTCCTACTTTGTATGATAATCCTGCCATGTTTTATGGAAGTAAGACTACTCTCTATATAATACAAAATACTAGAAGCAAATAAATTCCAGATCATGAAGGGAATTTTCACTTTGCCTTAGGAGGGGAACCAACCACAAGGGGAATAGGAAACAAGATCTTTGTTGGAAGGCTTCCTCAAGAAGCATCTGTTGATGATCTTCGCGAGTATTTTGGGAGATTTGGCCGTATTCAAGATGCTTATATTCCAAAGGTGAGTTATATAAGTTACACAGAGAACATTTTCAGAAAATGGTTGACCATTCATCTTTTTGTAATAGGACCCAAAGAGAAGTGGACATAGAGGTTTTGGATTTGTTACCTTTGCTGAAAATGGTGTTGCAGATCGTGTAGCCCGAAGATCTCATGAAATCTGTGGACAAGAGGTAAAAACAAGCTTTATAATTGATGATATAGCATATTAGGCTTAGCACAATAACTTATCTAAGATGTATAAAGAAACTACACTGTTTTGATTTTCGGGTTTAGGTAGCAATAGATTCAGCAACACCTCTTGATGAAGCTGGACCTAGCGCTAGCGGAAGTTCCGTGTTAAGTTCTTCTCGTCCTGAATATTTTGGTGGCTATGGAGGTCCAATGCGCACATTTGGTCGAATGTATGGAGGCATGAGCTTGGACGATGTGAGTATATAAATTTATAACCAAAAACACTAATCAAAGATTCTTTATATGCAACAAGTTGGTTCTGATTCACTTCGTTTTTTAAACTAAATCTGCTAGTGGGGATATGGAATGCCAAACGCAAGACCATCAAGATCAGACTGGAGGTACCGGCCATACTAATGTACCAGACCAACATTCCATTAGCTTTGGCTTTGTCAGATAGATTTCAAAATCCTCAGGATCTAATTTGTTGAAGCTTTTGTTTATGTTTTACCTTGGAACCAGTGAACCTACTTTGTGATGGTGTATTATGCAGACAAGTAAAAGTTTGAACAAAGAAGAAAGCTTTACAAGAAAATTTTGCATTGTACATTTTGTTTTTCTTTGTTCCAATTGTCTTTTCAATAAAAAAATTCAGAGAGCAGAAGAAGATTTTCTGCAATCAACACGAGGAGCAAAGCAAGTCATGAAAGGAGTCATGAAAGTATGTCTTCGGACGAGATGAGTGATCTTCACCGAGTTTCTGGAGATTTGATGATTCCCTTGTTGTTGTTGTTGTTCATGTTCACTGGATACTGAACTTCTCCTCATTTCTTGCGCTTTGATCTTAGCTGTTTGAAGCTTGTTCAAGATCTTATCCATTGATGCTGATTTCTTCTTCTCCAGCTTCACCTGTTTGATTCATTCAAGCCAAATGAAATTTCAGTACATAAGAACCTCTGGTTGGTTTGTGGGGAGCTTATATAAGTAAGTGAAGGAGGACAGACCTCGAGTTTTCTAATGGCGGCTTCTGCTTTCGCCTTCTGCAGATTTTCCCAAGCTGCTATCTTCGCTTCCTCTCTTTGCAACCTGCAAATACTCACATTAATGGCTGGCCAAGAAGAAACAGATACAAAAACAGATACAACTTTTGATTACTTAGAAAGAGTCATGGCTGGTTCAGAGATATCCCAAGAAGAAGAAGAAGCAGAAGCTTCAGAATTGTCTTCAACCTCAGGTTGCTCTCTCCTAATAATCCTAGAAGACATAACTCGTCTCTTTGGACGCTTAATCATTCTTGCTCCTTTATCCATTTTCACTTCTCTCACTTCACCTCTACAAGGAGGAGGCTCAATCACAGAAACAACCAATGGTGGAGACTGGTTGTTATTAGGACTCATCTCTTCTGGACTCATCTGAGTAGCCATATCTCTTCTTGACACCACCGGAGATTGCATCGCCGTCGTCATCTCTGCTTTCTCCTCTGCACAAATATTCATCTTTCAAAAATCAACAAAGCTTAGATCTTGAACAAAGTTCCATAAGAATCAGCTCAATCTTGATACTTTTCAAGATTATATGATTCAATTTACCAAAAGCAAGAGTCTTTTTGCAATTTCTGAAGCAAGATTTAAGAAGAGGAGAAACTTTTGTTACCTGTATCAGTTTTGGAGCTAAGAGATGAAGTTTCTTCACTCATCAAATCAACCCAGCTCCGGCTATGTCCATGACCATAGCCATCACATCGACCACCACCACCGATACTTCCTCTGAAAACCCTATCCGCCTCCAAAACTCCAGTGGAAAACGGAGAACCAGCCACCATTAAACCCTTGGGAGGAGCTTCCATGGACCGCATCATCATCCTCGGAGAATAGTGATAACACCCAATAGCCGAAGAAGAAGACGTCGGATGCGGATGAGGCAACGTAGGAGGAACAATCGGACCACTTTTAGATTTCTGACGTCTCTGTTCAGAAAACTGAGAACTCACTGAGGAATTTTTACAAACACCTTGTGGGTATGTCGACACAGGACTACAAATCCACCGTTCAGCATCTTCCCATTTCGAAGGTATAGCTCTGCCGCTGTAAAACGGCGTCGTTAAAGCAGAAGCAGAGCCGATGTGACGACGACCACCGTTAATTACCGAGTGGGAAGTAGTCGAAGAAGGATGAGGAACTCTCTCGGAGCTCCAACCTTTGTTATCGGCGTAACTCGGAGCTCCGGGACTTAAAAACCCACCAAAGCTATTAGATGAAACAGAAGTCTTTCTCATGTTTTGCTCAAAGAACAAATCTGAAATGGGTTTTGGAAAAGATTGAAACTTTATTTAAGAAACTGAACTCATTTTTCTTTGTTGACCGGAGATTTGAAGTGTTCAAGAGTGATGATGTTAAAGTGTGTTAAAAAAGGGAATAAAGAAACTGTACTTTTGTGTTCTTTGTAATAATCTCAAAAGGTGAGAACTTTGAGGGAAGAGAGAAAAGTTTTTTTTTTTTTTTTGTTGGCATTAAGACAAAGTGTCGTGGCTTGTCCGATCATAAACCCACAAAAAAAAAAAAGAGAAAAAGCCAAAGAAGTCTCTATTTGGGATAATGCTATTTACCATTTTCTACTTACACGCTCTTCAATGTGTTAATTTTTTTTTTTTTGGTTCATGAAATTGTGGTAGAAGAAGAAGAAGAAAAAAACATTTGTGGAGGAAAAGAAACAGATTTAACTGACGTTAGAGCTTTCTCTTCGTTTGTTTGGTTTATTTCTTATTTCTTCATCCGATTCCTCTGTACCGTTATTATTACATTTACAGAAGCCACGACTCTTGCCATGTGAACATTTCTGCTCTTTTTGTTCTTTCGATAAATTCAGACTCTTTTGTCGTTTCTCTTAACTAGCTTCTGCTTTTTTACTCTTTTCTTTTCACTTTGAGGTTATTTTTACAGTTGTAACTGTTAGCTCCTGCAGACCTAAAAAAAAGGATCCTAGACCCTAAAACTTTCACTGATAATGTTCTCCATCAAGAACTTCTCATTGGTAAATAGACAATTATGAGATTATTCAATTTTACTAGTCAAAACAATTTCGTAGAATCGACTTTAACAGTGAAATTGATAAAATACATTATGTACCTCTTAATTAAATGCAGAAAAACAGTGTGGTTGAGAGATGAACAAATGGTATTGAGCTAGCACTCTAGGCTATAAACACTCTCTATCGTCTCTTTCCTAGTATTTCTATAGGGTAAGATGTAAAATTTAATAGAACCAATTATTTCATCGAAGAGCTACTACATATTCCAACTTTCTTGGACTAATAACTATCTATTCTTATTAATCTATGGTCTTGTAACAAGTTTAGGTAAATAGAATTAGTATTTAAATAGTATACTAACGCATTTATCAAATTGACCATGAAATGGTGTTTGTCAAGTTGAACCAAATATAATGCATGAACAAAATGACAAAGATCTTTCTATTAATAGATGTCTATATACCGTTGACATATCCATTTTATTGCTAAGTTTTAAAAGAAATAATTTAAACTTTTTATCGTAGTCTGTAAATTGTAAACCACAAATATTACGGGTCAATTGTTTTAAAAATTCATTGAAAAATGTAAAATGATTATTTTTAGCATGACTTTTGGCTTTTAGTACTTACAATTCCAAAGAGCTGGATAATCTCATCAGAATGTGGATTATAGATGAAGTTACAAAATTTCAAATCGTTATAATTTAAAGTAAAACGGAGTTATAATCACGTTATCTAGCTAACGCATGGGGATGGTCAAGCACACACACGACAACACACACTAGTCTCGTTGTTATTTAATGTAGCATTGATTTTTCGAACAAAACAAAACCATCAATTATTCAATAATAATAAATAATACTAGTTCAATAAACAGACCAAAAAATCAGAGAATGGGTCCAATTAATAAAACCCATGTATCAATATTGACGCATGAAATATAGTGACTCCGCTCCTACCACATTCAAACGTTGATTTTTTATTCTCATTCATTCAAATCGTCCTTATCTATTAATCACAAAAAGAAAATGAAGAATATACATATAGATATCAGAGAAATATATTTTTCAACTAATATCACGTTTTTTTTTCTCCATTGTTGATATAAACCATTTTTTATGCTTTCAAACTATGTTTCCACTATTTATTTGCAATTCCCAAATTTCACATTTTACGCTTTTCATAGAATTTAATGATCCAGCTATCTTTCTATTTCGTTATTCAACTGAACTTTTTTATAAAAAAAAGGAATATGAGAAGATTCATTAATGTCAAAAGAGATAGATCATTGCTAGTTTCTTCTCCTTATGGCGACAGTTCAAGCCGCAAGTTTGAGATTCATGGTCCTCTTACTTAATCGAATGAAATGTATATAGAGATTATAAAAGATGTTTGCAAATAACGATGGTGATCAATGCAAGTTGTTTATATGGGACCAGCCTTAACTAATTTTTTCTAAATGTAGTTGCAAAGTATGACAATCTCTTAATAACAACATTCTTACAAAGGACCAACAATTCCAAAGACCTGAAAATATCTTCATCAAGATTGCGGATAATTCATCAAAGTTATGAAATGTTTTAAATAATACGGACTTGTCACGTTATGTATTAAAAAATAAAACGCTCAATGGAGATGGTCACGCACAAACGACAAAACATACATTTGTTAATTAATCTAACATTAAGCTAGCCATAAAACTTCTCATTCATTTACTAAAGAAAAATCATTATTTTTTATAACAATCCTATAATTTTTAAAACATCATACGAAAACTTATCCCAAGTAATCCAACAAAACCACAATTTACCACTGGATTATACATCAAGTCCAAGTCACACAGAATAAAAAAGTAAGGATAAGAAAAAACACACAAAAAAAAAAAACATAAAAGAGGCAACAATAAGAGTTTCCTTCCTTCAGTGCCTTGTCCTGCTTCTTCGCCTGCAAAAACACTCAATATGTTTATATATAGCCATATAGGTTAAGGAAAAGCAAAGAGCCAAATACAACATTTTCAATAAACATGTAAAGCTTGCCATCTCTTTTTACCTGGGAGACCTTGAATAAGATGGAGAGCATTTGCGTGAGCGTTTGGGAGACCGTGATAACGACCTAGATGGGGACCTAGACCGTGACCTTGAACTGTGCCTGCGCGATCTCCTGCTTCTGCTTCTGCTTCGCCTGTGTCTTCTACTGTGACAAAAAATTTTAGTTAAGAAAATCAAATGGGAGAAGGAGAGATGAAATCTGTGCAGTCTACTGTGTTGGTGTGTCTCAGAGAGAGAGATATCGGATCCAATATCAGAGCTCTAAGAACCAAATACTTCCTTCTCATCTTCACAAATCCCCATTCTAATCACGAAGCAAAAATGATAAACTTTATTAACAACCTCGGTGGTGGTGATCGACTATAACTCCTACTACGGCTGCGATGCCTACTTCGACTTAACCGGCTTGTTTCCGCTATTTTCTCCAGCCTTTGTCGCTCCTGTTCTCGTTTCTTAGCAGTCTCTGTTGCAGAGTCTTTCTTAACTGTGTACAATATGATTCATCCACCATCTCAGTCTCTCACAGCAAATAGGATAAACTTAATTGTAGTAAACATAACAGTACTTAAGATCTTACTTTGCTTCGTTAGCTGCTTGTTCATGATTCTCTTCAGTCGTTCTTGGGGAGTTTCTTTCTTCTCTGCTTGTGTCTGCTTCGAAGAGGAGGTACCTGCTTTTGAAAGCTTCGCTAGTGCTGTGGAAGTACTGCAAGTAGAAAAAAAATCAAGGTTCCAGTTCATAACCACAAAAGCTAACAAAAGATACAGAACACTCAAAATAAACTAGAATTATGCAATCTCATCCATACCTCACTGTTGGTTTAGCTGTTTTAACAATCTTGTCTTTCTCAAGAGATACACCAGATGCAGGATCAACATGCAACGCCTCAAGAATATGGCCCGGCGATGGTCTGCAGGGAAATAAGATATTGTAATTTCCTAATCCATCAATTATTATTAGCAAATTTCATTCAAGTTTAAAGCGGTTCCAAAAAGGAAGATTCTATCTCTCCCTTGTTGCCAAATCTAGTGCCAATTTATTCTACAACAACAAAAGTTTCCTCAACCAACAAGTGGCGAGTAAGTGGCTATCTTTGCAAGAACTAGAGGTTGAGTGCTCCGACCGGCTCAATAGGTCAGACTGAGATGGTGGTGAACGCGGTGGGGAATATCCTTCGAACTTCAGACTTCCCACATCTCCAGAACCTCCTCCAAATTCTGTAATATATTCGATTTTTGGTTTGCTGATTTCATCAGAATGGTCTCCACGCCCATTCCGCCGTGAGTATGATGGAGAATACGACCGGGATCTGGATCTTGATCTGTGGATACCGGAAAGAAGAGAATATCAATCAATTTCTCAATGTTTCCATAGCTGGTATGACATAGTAACAGGCTCATAATGCAAAACCTTCTTGAACGCGGATAAGCCTCATAAGTAGGACTCCTTCGGGACTCCCTGTGAATTTAGAAGAACCATGTCAATGAGCTAAACATTCCACTTGACTTTTGCTTTCTTACGTGTAATGATATCTTACCTGTAAGGATCATGATGAATTATTTGCCTTCCAACACTCCTTGAAGTTTCTCTTTCCCTATCCCTCTCTATCCTAGAAACTTTTCTTCTTTCCTTGCGACTTAGTTTCTTCTACATTTCCACGAATATTGATTCAGTCCACATTCATCGTTAGATAAGTAAAGGGAGCAGAACAAAAAGACGTAAACTTTCATGAATCTACACGAGCATTGCAACTTACAATTGAAGGATCGCCTTTGATGAGTTCCTTTTGCCTTTTCTCTTCCTCTTTTGCCTTCTTGTCCATATAAACAAGCCACCCATATCGCTTAACACCAAACTGTTTTGCAATTGTTTCCATTCCTTCATCATCGCTGTCATTACTGTCAAATTCTTCCTCTTCATCCTCATCATCCTCGTCGTCATCAACATCATCTTCGTCTGCATCCAATGAATTATCTTTTCCGTTTCCAGCATAAGAAAATCCAACCTGCGAATATGTGCCTTTGTTTGCAGATGGTTGAGCTGGTTGTGATCTACAGAAAACATACAAAAACAGAACAAAACTTGTGAGTAACTAGAAGATCAATGGTGATTACAGTACGCTTGGGTGAAAGTGTACCTAGCCCCTGGGAAGGGAGCAGAAAGTTTGGCCTCGAGCTCTTGATGGACATGTAGCAAACCCTCCTCATCAGAAACTGTGCACAGTATGAAGCATTATCCCAGTGACCCTTATCTCAATTACTTCGATTCGAAGATCGTTTTTCTCCCTTGAGTTTGATTCGAAGATGGAAAAAGAAACAAATATATCGGAAGAAAATGTAGAAAAAAGGTACCGACATCCTCTACGGCGATGCTTAATCAAATCCCGATAACGCTCAAAATTAACAAACTCATCAAGTTCTTCCTCTTCTTCCGTTTTCTTATGTGGACGTATGTTTCTCGAACCAGCCTCACGAACAAAATCCAGAAGAGCACGACCATCAAATCTATACAAAAATCTCTAAACTCAATCAACGATTCCAGAACAATCAGTGGATTATGATAAAACCCTAGAAACTAATTCAATACCTATCAATCATAACATCTTGCTTCCCATTCCAAGGAATCCTATACACACACAGAGAAATTGTTCAGCGTCAATAAAGCTATCAAAGCAGGAGAGTTTTTATTCGAATAGGGATCATTACAAGCCCTGTTGATCCTCGGTGGCTTGGTAAAGACCATCATCGCGGAAGATTCGGTAGCGAGAACCAACGGCTTGGATCGACTGAATAGGATCTCCACGGCGTTTAGCCAAGTAAATAGCTCGCCGCTGTGCTCTTTTCCGAGCAGCGTCCATCATATCGTGAACCTTCTTCTCCGATCTTCTCGCTTCGTGCCACATCTTGTTCTCACCTCCTTAGTCTCTTAGCTCAGAAGCCCTAATTAGCTCTTCTTCCAATTGGGAAATTTCTCAGGCGAATTTTGGCGATTGTACTTTATTTATTTCCGACGACTATTTGCAAAGAATGTGAACCGTCCGATGCCAAGGAAAGATAGATCTGGGCTGTGTCCACGTGTCCACTTTTAGGCTGTGCTTAACGAATGGAACCTTCTGCACCTTGCAGAGGTTTACTATTATTTTTTTATTTTTTTTTGTGTGCCAAATTCGTTGTTTTTTCTTGCAAAGAAATTCGTTTTTTTTTTCTTGTTAAGCTTTTCTTTTTCATGTGTTTTTGTAATGGCTAAACACACATAGACAACCAATTTTTAGAACAGTAGAAGCATGTTTCATATGATCGAGTAAAAGCTATGGTATAATGCAGATTAAAATATATACATATTTAGTTTTTTTGTAGAGAAAAAAATTGTATTTCGTTTAAAGCCTTAAAACGGTTGTTGAAAGAGCTTTGTCACGAGTTATATGTCTTTTCATTCTTTAAGTAATTAATTTTTATAATACAAAAATGATTTTTATTTTATTTATTTGGCTTCGTTTATAGAACTACATTCAGTAGAAAAAAATGAATTAGTGGTGGTGCCCAAAAATTCTGGAAGCTGTGATTGATCATTTTTTTTTATTTGAGGTGAGTGTAGTGGCAACGTATGACGTTAACGTATGGCGTACATAATAATTACATTATAGAACTTAATCATAAATATCATATCATATTACATTAACATATATATCCCATTAGTTGGACCACTTGATTTTGAGGTCATGATGAGAAGAACATTTATGTTTCTTTTTAGTTTAAACCGAATTGATAAAAAAAAAATTGAAAATTTTCAAACTAAAATTACACTAAACTTCGAAACATGTAAAAATCTAAAAAAAAAATCATTTCAAAGCGTTCAAGTCATGTAGCCAACTATTATTGAAATAGTAGTAAAAAGCAATTGTAAATACGATTTAGCTTCATGTATATATATTTGCATTGTTGGTTTTATAACCCCAAAACAATTTGTTGATATGATCTCACAAGCATTCTTGAATATTCAACTTAAAATATATATACAATGTTAGTTTATATTGAATTTTGAATGTGTTTATATATGAACAGTTTTTGTCGACTCAAAAGTTAAGATGAGAATATGGAAAAAAGCAATGTTTAAAGTTATGATGGGAAGAGGGAATGGAACTCAAACATTCTAATGCTCAACAAACGCAATTATATTATTACCAGACTCATCTTTCAAGTTCCATCAAAAAGATTCGTGGAAAATAAAAGACTTACGTTTCAAATCGATGTTTCTTTCTTTATAAAATGAAATGGATGTTTCTTGACGCGTGTCAAGCGTTCTCACCATTAGTCTGACTTCAGTGAGTTTGGTCTTTTTTTTTTTTTTGGACAAAACTTCAGTGAGTTTGGTCAAGTGGTCATTTTTTCTCAAGTCACCAAAGGTCCAAAACCTAGAAATGAGTTAGAACTTTCCATAGAAGAACTGAATAAATGGTCCAAAATTGTTTTAAAAGGGACCTAAACCCTTAGTTCATTGAATTCGAGTTAACGGTTGAAGATTTTTATGATAACGAAAGTTAGAGTAATTATGTTTCTGGTCCAATAGTTTTCTAATTTGTTTCCTTCCCAATATTTTTTTACATGTAAAATAGTGGTTTGTGTTAGTATCGTCGATGCGCCACCATCCACATTATATATGTTACTGAAAATTTTAATTTTTTTAATAAAAAGTATAAAATAAATTATATCGTTATGAAATTGCAATTGTTTAGTTATTTTCTATTTTGATTATTTATTTTATTTATTTATTTTCTTGCACCATCCACAATATTAAAAATTAGAACCATTAAGGTCATAATTAATATCCCAACATAAAGTTAGAATCTATAATTTTTTAGTTAGAAAATACATTAAATGGTTCAGTTTAAGATGTTAGATGATTTTTGAGTAAAAACTAAGGTAGACTTCTTTTTCAAAAAAAAAAAAAAACTAATGTACACTCCATAATACATGTTTAAAGAAGTTTCATGTTTACTAAACTTTTGAATATTATAGTATTTCACGAAGTCAAAATTGTTCATTCCGACTTTTCTATTTGGAGAAAAAAAAATTTCTATCATTGTGCACAATTTAACAGAATGTACTTTATTGAAAAAGAAGAGGAAATAACTCGCTATTAGTAAATGTGAAGTATAAAAGTCTAAAATGAGATACCTCAACTTGAGTAAAAATGAAAACTAAAATCCTATCAACATGAAAAGGTCGCAAAGATTTATCAATGCTAAAGGAGTATTTGGTTAACAAAAATATATAAACTAATGAAGCTCTAATATTGAAACTTTCAAAATAAGTCTACTGAATTATGAACCCGGTTTATCCATGATAGTGAATCTTAGTAAGTTAATTAGGTTCCCATTATAAATATAATCGAACTGTGGAATACTAAAATATAAAAAAATTAAATGGAATAGAATAGTAAAATCATTTAACAAACAATATTTAAATGATTATAATTTGTCATTTTAGGTAGAAGTTTAGAACAAGCTAGGAGACATAAATCCCGATTTAAATAATTGCGCAATTGATATATGAAATCTCTAATAACACTAAAATAATTTTACCATTACGTGAATTACTAATTATATAGCCTTTTAAAATAGACGATGTGTCTGAGGTCAATATGGAGATGTACATGCAACTATATATCGACATTTTTCACAAGTTGGTATCGCCTTATTTGACTATAAATGATCTTTTGATAGAAAATATTTTATTTTTATGTGCAGAATCAGCTTTAAAATATGTTTAAGAAAACGTATGCAATCTTTCTCCAACTAAGACTTGAATTTGTGTAAAGTATTAATACTCTCTAAGACCTTTTTCTTCAACCGTACCATGCGAACTATCTACCTTATGTACGATTTTACCGTCTTTGATTGATATTAAAATATATAGCCGTGGTGGTATCAATAATGATAAATAAAATGCGGATAAAAGCCAAAGGTGTTGGAAATAAATCCAAGAATGAAGACGTAGATGTCGATTGGTATTTTAAGAACTTGAATTTGTCACGACTCATACATTAAATTATATTATCCGAATTGTTTAGTCGTAATTAAGACACATATATTGAAAAAGAAAAGGTAAATGAAGCTCATTGGTGCCCAAATGTGAAATGAAGCCGGAAAATGTGTTAGGTGAACACATTTAAATATACAAAAGAAATATAATATTAGAAACAAGCTATTAAACAAAGTCGCAATTTTTATTGTATAAATATCTATCCGTCTCCCGTCATATTTGAAAAAAATTATTACAATTTAAAAACTTTCTAGAAAAATAGAAGTATGCGTGTTTTATTAAAAATAACATAGTTTTGATTGGCGACTCAACATATTTTAGCATTTACAAAATTCTGCATAATTTTGGTCGTTTATATTCAACTTATGATAATAAAATTATTTTTTCATATAGTAATTTCGAATTACATTATATATTAATAACATTACATGCAAAATTTCCACGAATTATGAGTGAAAATATTCAAGGGAGAGAAAAAGTAAAACATAATTCAAAAGATAAAAACTTTTTAGACTTTTTGAAATATTTTTGATAGTATAAAAAATTAGTCAAAAGAGAAGAAAGAAAGAAGAAAAGATGTTTCTGAGAATTTCTAGAAACAGCATCCGTTTTTTTTCTTAATTTAATTTTATTTTTCAAAGGTAGGACCAACATTTGGGATCTATAAATCTTTCTACTACGTTATATAGAGACCCTTCGAAATAACACTTAACTAGTTTATTTATTTTTTACTTGTTTGCTGCACACAAAAGAAAAAAGAAAAGAAAAAAAAAGTTTATATATTTACTTTTTAATCACACGGATTAGCTCCGGCGAATTATGGTCGTCGTCTTCATCTTCTTCCTCCATCATCAGATTTTTCCTTAAATGGAAGAAACCAAACGAAACTCCGATCTTCTCCGTTCTCGTGTTTTTCTCTCTGGCTTTTATTGCTGGGATTGGGAATTTCTCACCGCTCTCTTGCTCTTTAGTTGCTAAATCTTTCTTTCGAAGATCCAATTTTTCAATTTCCAATCTTTCTTTTTGTGTTTAGTTTTACTTTTAGTTAAAAAAATAAAAAAAGTTCGCCGGAGATGACGGCGGTGACGGCGGCGCAAAGATCAGTTCCGGCGCCGTTTTTAAGCAAAACGTATCAGCTAGTGGATGATCATAGCACAGACGACGTCGTTTCATGGAACGAAGAAGGAACAGCTTTTGTGGTGTGGAAAACAGCAGAGTTTGCTAAAGATCTTCTTCCTCAATACTTCAAGCATAACAATTTCTCAAGCTTCATTCGTCAGCTCAACACTTACGTGAGTTTCACTTCAACGTAAAAATCATTTTCATTAAATCCTTCATTTAATTCGTTTGGTGAATTGAATCATTCTTTGGTAGTTGGTTGGCTAATTTCGTAATTTTAGCAAAACTTGGGGGTTGGTGAGAAATTCTTCTAGAAGCTGAGTTTTTTTTTTTTTTTTGGTTTAGGGATTTCGGAAAACTGTACCGGATAAATGGGAATTTGCAAACGATTATTTCCGGAGAGGCGGAGAGGAACTGTTGTCGGAGATAAGACGGCGTAAATCGGTGATTGCCTCAACGGCGGGGAAATGTGTAGTTGTTGGTTCGCCGTCTGAGTCAAATTCTGGTGGTGATGATCACGGTTCAAGCTCCACGTCATCACCCGGTTCGTCGAAGAATCCTGGTTCAGTTGAAAACATGGTTGCTGATTTATCAGGAGAGAACGAGAAGCTGAAACGTGAAAATAATAACTTGAGCTCGGAGCTCGCGGCGGCGAAGAAGCAGCGTGATGAGCTAGTGACGTTCTTGACGGGTCATCTGAAAGTTAGACCGGAGCAAATCGATCAGATGATCAAAGGAGGGAAATTCAAACCGGTTGAATCGGATGAAGAGAGTGAATGCGAAGGTTGCGGCGGAGGAGACGGCGGAGGAGGAGGAGGAGCAGAGGAGGGGGTAGGTGAAGGATTGAAATTGTTTGGGGTGTGGTTGAAAGGAGAGAGAAAAAAGAGGGACCGGGATGAAAAACATTATTTGGTGGGTGGGTCCGGTATGACGGAAATAAAGAACGTGGACTTTCACGCGCCGTTGTGGAAAAGCAGCAAAGTTTGCAACTAAAAAAAAGAGTAGAAGACTGTTCAAACTTCAAACCAGCGTGTGACACGTCATCGACGACGACGAAAAAAAGATTTTAAAACTGTTTTTCCGTAAGGGAAATAAGTTATTATTTTTATATTTTAAAAGTGAAGAAGGTCTAGAAGGATCAACGCAAATATTTAAGGATTTTCATGTATTATATGATTAATTAGTGTATTACAAAAATAAGACAGATGTTGAAGTTTAGTAAATTATTGGGTTTTTTTTTTGCTTAATTTTATTTCTTCCCAATGTAAAAGCATGGGATTAGATATGTGGTCTAAGGTCCATGTACTTAGTTGAAACTTGAAAAAGAGGAAGAAAATTAAGAAATTTTACTTTTCACACGTTTATTTTCTTTGTAAGTAGTAGGTGATTTCCGTGTTTTTACGTAATCCGTTGAATATTTTTCATCAAAATTGTCTTTATAAAAAAGTCGCAGAAACGTTGTACAACTCATTTAACCAAAAAACAAAACATGCCGACAAAATAGAATTGGAAAAATACAGTAATACTAATACACAACTGTTAGACCTAAAACTGCAACAAAAATGCTATCAAATTAGATAAAAAAATTAGTAAGGTTCCAAAGACACTACTTAACTAAAGAGGAGAACCGAGCCAAAACATTAATAAAGAGAGAAAAAAAACTCCAACTAGCTTTATATAAAAAAGTTATTAATAAGCTCACCAAAAAAAAAAAAAAAGTTATTAATAAACTCAACCTCTTAAGAATAGACACAAATTCATAATGTAATTCTCATTAATTATTTATATTAACATTATATTTTTATGCCCAATTAAGTCGCTCTTGGCCAAGACTTACATCACTTGATTGAGTAGAAAAAGATCATTACCAACTCTCAAGCACTGAAAACACAATCTTCGTATATATTTTTATCATCCATAAATCATATAAACATATTTTTATTTAAATAGAAATCATCATAATTCACAACAACAATTCATTATTATTACAACCACATCAGTACACTATAATCCCGGTAAAATAGTAATTAAATTTGTTCCAACAGTGTAAAATAGTATTATGTGTAATAGTATAAAGAAGGCTCATAATTTACTCGTAGCCACATATAAAGATGGCGATGATATTTTGCAACACTCTATACTCTTCTTCTCTCTCGCCGTTAACTTCCACTCGAACAAAACCGTCGCGATTCCCAAAGAATCTCAAACCTCGAGCTCAATTCCAGTCCATGGAAGATCACGACGACCATCTCCGCCGGAAATTCATGGAGTTCCCGTACGTGTCACCCACGCGCAAGCAGCTCATGGTTGATCTCATGTCGACGGTGGAGAATCGCCTCCAATCACAACTCCTTCCCTGTAACCTCCCGCCAGATGTACGAAACTTCAAGAACCCTAACGGTTCCGCCGAAGCATCTCTTCACATCAGATCCGGCCAGAAATCATCTCCGGTACCTGCGACGATTACTCTGTTTTTGGATCTCAAAATAATCGAAATTGACTGGTTTGCATGCTTGTTTTAGAGTTCAGTTGCGTGATTTTAAGTAGAATCAGACTTCAATTTTGATGTAAAACATAACCCTAGAAAAACCCCTTTTAGAGAATCTTAAAGTTTCGTTTTTTTTTACTTTGTTTTGCAGATTGATTTTGTTATAGGAAGTTGGATACATTGCAAGATCCCAACAGGAGTATCTCTGAATATAACAAGTATCTCTGCATTCTTAAACTCGTCAACAAAAGCTCCAAACTTTGTGGTCGAACTAATACAGAGTAGTCCCGAGTCGCTCGTGCTAATCCTTGACCTCCCACATCGTAAAGATCTCGTTCTTAACCCGGATTATCTCAAGGAGTATTACCAAGACACTGCTCTTGATTCTCATCGCCAATCTCTCCTTAAGCTACCTGAAGTCAAACCTTATGTGTCTCCTTCTTTATTTGTTCGCTCTGCTTTCTCTCCTACTGCTTCGATGCTTAAGATCGATGCGGAGGAAGAGGATAAGTTGGAGGAGATCTTGAGAGATCATGTTAGTCCAGCTGCTAAGGAGGTTCTCGAGGTTTGGTTGGAGCGGTGTGCGAAGGAAGAAGAGGAGAAGATTGTGATTGGGGAAGAAGAGAGAATGGAGTTGGAGAGAAGAGACAAAAGCTTTAGAAGGAAGAGCATAGAGGAAGATTTGGATTTGCAGTTTCCGAGAATGTTTGGGGAAGATGTTTCCTCACGTGTTGTACACGCTATCAAAGAAGCATTCGGTGTTCTTTAGATCATGTCACACTATACATCAGCTAATGTTCATTGTACTAGATATATACTTTCATCAATGTTCCATCAATACTAACCATCAGATCCAAAGATTTCTTTTTCCTTGAGCATGTGCAAGACTCTCTCTTTGGTTGATTCCATCTCTGTCTTGATAGACTCAATATCCAAATCGTGATCAGAATTATCATCTTTATTATTCAATATCAATTATTTTGCTCTACGCTTCCCCGAAACTAAGTGAAAAAAAGGAGATAACAACACATTATTAGAAAAAGGAAATAACACAGAAGATTTTTAGAAAAAGGAAAACAATAAAAAAAAGGAAACAACACAAAAGAGTAAAAGAAAAGGAAACTTCGAATCCCAAACAGAGTCTATAAATAAAGAGAGTCTCGAGCCTTCTCTTTTCTCTATGTGTAATCGTTTTAGTTTCAGAAAAACACAGAGATTGAGAGAGAGAGAGTTATAGAGTGAGAGATATGAAATTACATGCGACAATTGCTCTGCTTTTTTTACCACTCTTCAACGATTCCTGCTTCAATTTCATCTTTGATTTCTTCAAATTTCATGATTTTCTCTGGAAAAATCTTTGGCGTGATGGAAGAAGATGATTCTTCTTCTCCCTTCGTCTCTCGATAACTTCTCTCAGTCTCCGTCGTCTACGGAGGTTTTGTTTCACCTGAAAGGACGTCAGACCTTGTTTATAGTATCTTCAATGCTCTGGTTGAGGAGGACCATCGGAAGCTTTTGCGTTCTCGGTGACGGACACAGTAGTGGAGAAGAAGGTCACACGGTGGTGGAGAAGACGGTCTTGGATTGTAATCTCATCTTCAGCCCAACAAAAAGCCCATTCACATGCCCATGAAGCAAGTCAGAAAGAAAGCAATCATCAAAGAGAAAGGGCTTTTTTGTATGGGCCTTCTTTGCTATAAAATCCAACAAGGTACATATAACTTTTTTCATTCTTATTTTTTTTTCTTAAAAAATTAGGTTAAGTAAAACTAAAACTAATTAGTTTAAAACCTTCACTAAAAAAATAATAATGATTTTTACTAAATTTTTTTAAAAATTTAACACTTAAACTTTAAGAATAAAACCATGAAATTTCATTAAATTGTTTTAAAAATTAGTTTAAGTGTTAAATTTTAAACGCGTCGAAAACTAACCGCGCCTAGGCATCCTGTCCTTAGTTGGTCCGTAAGCTTTGGTGTTCGAAGTTCGGCAATGTTTTCACGTGATATATATTTAACACTTAAACTCATTTTTAAAAAATAATAATGATTTTCACTAAAATTTAAAACAAATTTAACACTTAAACTTTAAGAATAAAACAATGAAATTTCATTAAAGTTTTTTAAAAATTAGTTTAAGTGTTAAATTTTAGGGAGACTCACAAAAATGCCCCTTTTTCAATACCCCTTTTCAAAAATGCCCCCTTTGGCTGTCCATTTTTAAAAATACCCCTTTTTATGTACAAAATGACTAAATTACCCTTCTTTTAATAAAATATATCACAAATATATAAGGAAATATAACAAAATTAGGTCTACAAAATACAAAATATTTTTTGGCGGAAAAATTGATCCCGCAATTTTTCCCGCCAAAACACTTGTAAAACCTTGTAAAAAACCTTTAAAATACCTTGTAAAATTTTCCCGTAAAATTTTTCCCGCCAAAAACTTTTCCCGCCAAAAAAATTTTTTTGCGGGAAAAGTGATTCCGCAATTTTTTTGGCGTTAAATTTTTGGCGGGAAAATTTTTCCCGCCAAAAATTTACAAGGTATTTTAAAGGTTTTTTACAAGGTATTTATAAGGTTTTACAATGTATTTTAAAAGGTTTTACAACGTATTTACAAGATATTATAAGATTTTACAAGCTATTTTATAAGGTTTTTACAAGTTATAAGGTTTTACAAGTTATAAATACCTTATAAAACCTAATAAGTACCTTGTAAAACCTTTTAAAATACATTGTAAAACCTTACAAAACACTTGTAAAAAACCTTTAAAATACCTTGTAAATTTTTCCCGCCAATAATTTTCCCGCCAAAAAAAAAAATTGCGGAATCACTTTTCCCGCAAAAAAATTTTTTTGGCGGGAAAATTTTTTGGCGGGAAAAATTTTACGGGAAAATTTTACAAGGTATTTTAAAGGTTTTTTACAAGTGTTTTGGCGGGAAAATTGCGGGATCACTTTTCCCGCCAAAAAATATTTTGTATTTTGTGGACCTAATTTTGTTTCAAATAAGGGTAAAATGGTCATTAAAAATTAAAAGAGGGCAAACTTAAAAATGGACTCTCAAAGGGAGCATTTTTGAAAAGGGGTATTGAAAAAGGGGCATTTTTAACAATTTCTCTAAATTTTAAACACGTCTAAAACTAACCGCGCCTAGGCATCCTGTCCTTAGTTGGTCCGTAAGCTTTGGTGTTCGAAGTTCGGCAATGTTTTCACGTAATATAGATTTAACACTTAAAACTCATTTTTAAAAAAATAATAATGATTTTCACTAAAAATAAAACAAATTTAACACTTAAACATTAAGAATAAAACCAGAAATTTCATTAAAATTTTTTAAAAATTAGTTTAATTGTTCAATTTTAAATACGTCGAAAACTAACCGCGCCTAGGCATCATGTCCTTAGTTGGTCTATAAGTTTGGTGTTTGAAGTTCGGCAATGTTTTTACATAGATTTAACACTTAAACTTATTTTTAAAAATATAATAATGATTTTCACTAAAAATCTAAAACAAATTTAACATTTAAACTTTAAGAAAATAATATTTTTAACTAAAACCATGTTAATTTCACTATTAATTTTTTAAAATTAGTTTAACTGTTAAATTTTAAAAACGTCAAAAACTAACCGACCCTCGGCATCCTGTCCTTATTTGGTCCATAAGTTTTGGTATTCGAAGTTCGGCAATGTTTTCACGTAATATAAATTTATATAATGATATACGAAAACTAACCGGATTTTAGATCTTGTATTAGTCATTAGAGATTTCATAAATTCAACTTGTTTTCGCTTCGTTATGTAAATTTATCAATAAGTTTCTAATTTATCCTAAAAAAAGTTTTGAATATTGATTTTCCCACGGATTTTAAAGTTTTTACACAATTTTGCATTGAAGTTTTTTTTTTCAATTTTTCGTTCTCTAAATCATGTCATTAATACATTAGCGAATCAAATATATAAGAAGGAACATAAACGTGCAAAACTAAAAAGTTTTAAAGCTAAATCGCTTTCAAAAGAGTTAGCAACCAGACAAAGAAGAGACAGATCATCTCGCCAACCAATCTCGTCATCTCATGCATCATAAACTAAATTAACAAAATCATCCATTTAATCAGATCATCCGTTTTCTTCCTGTACAAGAAATGGTTAGTGTTTTCTTTTCTCGATCATCTCTTTCTTTAGATTCTTCCGACTACTCTGTTCATCGGTTCTGTTTTCCCTTTTGTCTTCGGGCAGGCGAATTACATGTCCGAAGCAGCACAGCTTAGAAGAGGTCTAAAACCTAAAGGGAAGACTTATGGGTTGACCAATCAGAAGAGACGAGAGATCAGAGAGATCTTTGATCTTTTCGACATAGACGGTTCAGGTAACTATTAAACCGATTCTTTCTCCGATTTACACCGGTTTAAATCAGAATCACATGATTTAGTGCATCATTTCATGTGTAGGTAGCATCGATGCTAGCGAGCTCAACGTTGCTATGAGGTCAACGGCAAATTTTCTATCTTTTCTAAGTTAATTTCTTCAAGTTCTAGTTAAGTAGTACTAACAAATTATCAGCTGATTACAGGTCTCTTGGATTTGAGATGAATAATGAGGTTTGTTTTTAAATTTCATCGGTTTAGATCATTTAAGAACCAACTTGAAACACTATTTAGTTTGGTTATGTTTTCATTGGTGCAGCAAATAAACGAATTGATGGCAGAAGTAGATAAAAACCAAAGTGGAGCCATAGATTTCGACGAATTTGTGCATATGATGACAACTAAATTCGGAGAACGAGAGTCCATAGATGAATTGTCTAAGGCGTTTAAGATCATTGACCATGACAATAATGTGAACAAGTCTTAATTAACCTGTCCTTTTTAAAAAATAATCATTTTGTTTGGATTAATTTCATTGTGTTTGACTTGACAAATTTTGGAATATGGTAGGGGAAGATTTCACCTCGTGATATAAAGGTGATTGCTAAAGAATTGGGAGAAAATTTCACAGATAATGATATAGAAGAAATGATCGAAGAAGCAGACCGTGACGGTAAGCAAAAACAAATAATAGTTTTGCGATATATGCGACTTGCTTAAACATCTATAATCGGTCCTTACAGTTTATGTTTTTGCCTTATTAACCTACGCAGAAGATGGAGAAGTTAACTTCGAGGAGTTCATGAAGATGATGAAAAGAACTTCTTACGGCTAAATGGTAATTGTTATGGTTGTGGATATTTGTTAATCACTTCAACAATAAAAAAAGTTTGCTTGTATAAAAATGTGTGATTTTTAAAATAATAATGTAATGACAGCAATTATTTTGAACTAGATAACAACCCGCACGATGTGCGGGATGAAGTGATTCAAGTAAAATTATTATGATTAAAATTATTATCCGGGATCAGGGGGGCGTTTGGGGTGCGCAAGAGGAGCAAATGTGCCGGGCCCAAAATTTTTTGGGTAAATTAAAGGGCCCAGTTTTTTTTTTTAGTATAAAAAATGGTAATTTTTAAAACTTTAAGATATCTTTAGCATGAAAAAGGTCCAAATATTTTATTTCGTATGAAAAATACTAGTTTTTAAGATTTTTTTTAACATGAAAAAGGCCCAATTTTTTTTTTTTTTTTATGAAAAAGGGCCAATTTTTAAGATTTGTACCGGGACTCCAGATTAATTGAGCCGGCCCTGTCCGGGATCCAAGATCCGTTTATGTAAAACGAAACATGTTACAATTTTTTTTTTGTTTTATTCAAATTTGGGACTATTTCATATAAGAATATGTTTTACCCGTGAAATATTTGAACCTTGAATAAAACTTCAACGTGATAAAAAAGTATTGACGAAATGTTACAATTTATGGCAATATGTCTTTCCGTATGTTTTAAAGATTTCGAGATTTTGTAATATAAAAAGAAATTTTTTTTTTAATAAGTATAAGAAATCCAAAATTTAGCAAAGATGAGATTTGATAGTTTCCAAGCTAAGATTTTGTAGTGTTCCGAATCTAAGATTCTTAGATTATGAATGGATTATTTACGAAATGGTTATAATGTGGCCAGATTTTGGTTTATATACAAATGTGGTTATAATGTTTTTCTTCGAAAAGTTAGAACTCCTCCAAAAAATAGGATTTTAAGTATTCGTAACATATATAGAAAAGAGATTATCTTATTTATTTAAGTAAAAAATTTATGAAAGATGTAAAGATTTTGTAGTTTTGAATTTGAGATTCTTGAATCAAATGTATATATTTTATCATTTAAATATAAACATAAATATAAATATAAATAAAAAGATTGTTTACCCATCCGCTAAAGAAAATTTATATAAATGTATATAAAGAAAAATATAAATATAAAAATATAGTAATATAAGATAAACAAAAAGTGTATATTTTTAATTATTAATGGGATATATGGATGTATGAGACTAATGGCAAATTCTGTAAATAGTCTAATAAATCTTGGGTAATTATCTAAATAGAAGCCAAATCGTTGTGAGAGCGACACATCAGCGTGGCAATCTTGTTAATAATACATGATGGTAAGGTTTTTTTAAAAAAATGTTTCTCTATTAATATATAGGGGATACGTAAATGTTGTTGGATAAACGTTTGTTTTATCATTTATGCAAGGAGTGTGCATTTGCACCAGGTCTTTATTTTAACTAACATAAAATTGAATTATTATTTTTTTATGTAATTAAAATTCATATTTCAAATATGAACAAGGATCATAATTTTTTTTCCTATTTTGAGGCGGCCATTTATAATGTCTTGGACAAAAAAAAATTGTTTCTATAATACTCATCATGCATAACATGGATTTAAACGATGTCGTTTTGGATCTGATAATAAGACGGGTCCCTTTCACATAACTGAAACGACGACGTTGTAGCCAGAGTAATAAATGTCAAAACGATGACGTTTGAGTGTTTAGTCCAACATCTTCTCCGTATTTGAGCCGTGACTTGGTAATCGGAGCGGAACTTCTCCGGCGGCGAATTGGGCAATTTGAGAAATTCCGATAATGGACTCCATGGAAGCTCCATCTCCACCTTTTCAATCTCCCTCTCGTTCCAGGTTTCAATTTTTCACTGAGTTTCAATATACCTTCTAACAAAATCCCCAAAAACCCAAATTTGTTTTTCTTTCGCAGTCAACAATTGCATTTCTACCTCGCCGTGGATCGTCCCCAATTCAAAATGGTATGTATATTTCACAATCTTTCTTCTAATTCTCATCAAAACTGAGATTCTGAATCGCAAAGTTTGGAACTTTGGGTGTGGGTACAGGAGACTGTAGTGGAATTATTGGGCGTTCTAGGTCGTCGTCCATGGCTTCCGATTGTAGTCTGTTGCAGCTCTCGTGATGAACTCGACGCCGTCTGTTCTTCCTTATCCACTCTTCCTTACATTTCCTTAGCCGCTTTGGTATCTATCTTTCTTCTCTTTAACTTTCATGTTTCTACTTTTTGGTTCTTTCGTTGATTACATCGATTTCGATCTTACGGATTCTTAGTGTTCTGCATCTGTCGAAATCTAATGTTCTTGATTTGAAAAGACCCTTCTTGTTGAATCACTTAGCTTGTTCATCATGATTTGAGTTCGATCTAACACTAGACCACCGTACATTGTCTTCCTCTCGATTGCGGTTTTTGATATCCGATTGTTATTGTTCTGTTATGTTCTTGATTTGAAAAAGACCCTTCTTGTTGTATCACTTTCTTGTTCATCATGGTATTAACTTACATGTTCTTCCCCCTAGATTATGTTCATCTTCAACGTCTTTTCGTGTTTACAGTACAGTGATCTAGCAGATAGAGAACGAACTATGGTTATAGAGAAGTTCAGGCAAGCAACAATCAACTGGAACCAGCAACTTAACTCTGTGGTGGAAGAAGGTTTGGAAGAGAGTGAAACCAGAAAAGAAGAAAATAAATCTCATTTGGTAGTTGTGACCGATGTTTGTCTTCCGTTACTCTCATCAGGAGAATCTTCTCTTTCCGCACGCGTTCTCATAAACTACGAGATTCCTATAAAGAAGGTTGGTATTTTCTTAATCAATCCCCAATTGTCAAGTCAAATGTTCACAAACCTCCTCTCATTCACTTGTTGTAATGACCATGTTTCAGGAAACATATACAAGGCGTATAACAACTTGCTTAGCTTCAGGTTCTTTTTTTCAAAACAAACTCTTTTTTGTTCATCAAACAATGTCATTTAACATTTGAGACTTTCTCTTAAGGTGGAATTGTCATAAACATGGTTGTTGGAGGTGAAGTCACGACTCTCAAAAGCCTCGAAGAAAGCAGTGGCATAATCATCGCAGAGATGCCAATCAATGTATACACTAGAATCAATCAATCAAAGAAAAAGCAAAGAAACTGTCTGCTGTTTTTATCTAATGTGCTTTCTTTTTGCAGATTTCTGAAATCTTATAACAACGCATGGACCTCCTACGATCTGAAGGATACCGCCCAAGCAAGGTTAAATGGTTCTTAAGCTTCAAATTATAGGTTACGGGACTTCTCTAGAGAAACTTTTAGTTTTTGTCAAGGCAGAGAAGCTGTCTCTCTGCTGCACTAATAGCTATTGAGTATTTGAGTTTATCACTTTTGTCTAAAACGCTGCGTTTTTGACAGTTTTATTTATTATGCAAAAAAATCTGAAGATTTTGGATTAAGGCATAAAGCAACAAACAAGATTCGATAAATACCAAATCTATGTGAATTGTCATTGTTGTAATATAAAAACTGTTTATCGTTTTTAATTTTGCGACGAAATTTCTTTTAGAAGGTCAAACCGAAGCAACTGTTTTTTTTTTTTTTTTTATTAACTTAAAAAGAAAAGCATTTCTTAGTTTTTGACTTTGACAATGAATTTGTCGAATACCACCTTTGTCAGCAACACCTTTGACCCCCAAATGCTATTTAACATTTCCTTTAATTTTTCTTTATTTGGTTGGATTGGAAACAATCAACTGTTTATTTTCAACAAAAAAAAATGTTTTAAAATAAAAATAAAAACAACGATATAATTCCTAGCATGTCACATATATATAGAAGAAAATATGATATTGTTCGTTATCATACATGAAAACTTTAAAATATAAGACCATCTCCATCGGAAGTGTCTAGGTGAGACACTCTCTAATAAAACAGAATAAAAAATTGAAAAAGGAGGATAGAGGACAAAAACTGTTTCTCATTTGAGAAACTCTGAGACACCCATTTTTACAGTTGTCTTTTTCTGATTGGTTTAAATAAACAATTAAATAATAAAATAATTAAATAATAAAAAATTAATATTATTTTATTTGTTAGACACTGACCGATGGAGATGCTCTAATGATCATATTGCATCCATCTTTGGTAATACATTTGGTGTCAAAATAAACGATATTTGGATGTAGAGTTAATGTAATTTTGTCTCATAATTTTTTATTGTCTTAAAGTTTTGTGTTTGGTAGAGGATCTAATTAGCATGAAAAGTAATATTAATGAATAATGATAATAAATAATAACGACCGATAACAACAACATCTATAACAATAAATTTATACTATTCTTCAGAGTATCTATCTAATAATGACTTAATCAGAAAAATCTATAAAAATAATGAATTCAAGACTAACATTCAGAGAGGCATATATTGATGTCCCAATCACAATAGTTTGCTTGTCACGCCATGAATAATATCTGCAACCAATTCCAATGACGTATTTAGACACGTCTTACCACTTTTTCTTCAACAATTTCCCCTATCAACTAAATAATTTATTCATGGAACATCCAAATAAACTATGAAAACTTTCTCTGAACATTTTTATCTATTGGCTTCTCGGCGTTTGAGTCTTTGCGTTTCTTGTCATCATCCCCTTTGTCTTTTTCTCATTTCATCTCATTCGTAGACTTGTACAACACGCCTCTCTCTCTGTCTCTGTCTCTGTAATTTTTCCACAGCTATAAAATCTGTAAAAATTGATACAAAAATATCTGAGCTTTCCTTTCCAGAAGACTATGGCTGTCGTCGTCACTAACCTAGGCAGCTGTCTGAAGATTTCTTATGTCATATTTGCCTTTTGTTCTGCTTTCTTTCTCGGTGCTCTCAAAGGTTTCAATTTTTCTTCTTCTTCTCCTTTTTCTTGGCTCTGTTTTCCTCTGCTTCTAAGATTGATTCTTGATGATGGGTTCTTTTCAAAAATCAATTTTTCTTAAACAAAGTTTGAATATTTTTTTGTTGCTTATGTAGGTTTGATCGTAGGTCCAATTGCTGGTCTAACATTAATAGTTGGGAATGTTGGAGTGATTCTTGGTTTGTTCCCTGCACATGTTACTTGGACTATTTACGCAGTTGCAAAGTAAACAAATTTCAACTCTTTCTCTCTAAAATTTCCCTGCAATTTCTTTCTCAAAGGAGAATTAATTTCATAAACATGGTCTTCTATTGTTTCTTTAAATTGCAGAACAAATAAATTTGACATTCCTCTGAAACTAGCAATCTTAGTGGCACTTCCTGCTTTATTTGGGATATGGTTAGGTCTAAGTCTAGCAATTAGTGTTCTTGTTGGTGTTGGCTATGGATTCTTCACTCCTTGGATCTCTGCTTTTGAAGCATTTAGACAAGACACTGAATCCAACAAGTTCTTCCACTGTCTTGTGGTATTTACATAACATTCCCCAAACGTATTTTTTTTTCTCTTAAGCACTTGTTGGTGAATTATATCACTTGACTCTGTTTACTCTGTATATTAGGATGGAACTTGGGGAACCATCAAAGGAAGTTGTACTGTGGTTACCGATTTCGCAGATTTTTGTTACCATTCGTATCCACTTTACTTAAAGGAGTTGCGCGAATCCCCGGCCCCAGATGAGCTTGAAACTCTTAGGTAAAGTAAAAACTTTTGTCCAAAAATTATTGCAAAGAGTTTTTGCTGATTCTTGTGTATTGATGTTTTTGTCTCTTCTTGCAGGTTGATTCATGTTCCTGGATGCATCATTGTTGGGATTATAGGATTAGTCATTGATATCCCTCTTTTCACTGCAATCGCAGTTATTAAAAGCCCTTATCTTCTGCTCAAAGGTTGGTATCGACTAGGTCAAGACGCGATTAACCGTGAAGGACCATTCCTTGAAATAGCTTGTATACCAGTTGCTGGTTTGACAATACTGTTATGGCCTATTATTGTCATTGGTTTTGTTTTGATGACTATCTTCTCCAGCATCTTTGTCGGATTGTATGGAGCAGTTGTTGTATTTCAGGTATACCATGATCATATACACCGAATCATTCGGGACAAATATTCACTGTTTAATCTGTAATCTGCAGGAAAGGTCATTTATAAGAGGAGTCTCTTATGTGATTGCAGTAGTTGGGGAATTTGATGAGTACACAAATGATTGGCTTTACCTTAGAGAAGGAACTATCTTCCCAAAGTATGTCTCTTTTCAATCCTTTTACATTCCCTTTCTTTTGCTTCATATTTCTAACACTGGGAAATTGTAATCCACAAAACACAGACCAAGATATCGGATGAGAAGAGGATCGTTTTCAAGTGAAGTATCGGTGATTGTTCACCCTTCAGATGTAAGCAGAGTCAATAGTTCCGGTTCTGCAGATGCTCCAGCGATGCTAGTATCGAGCCTAGTTCACTCTGTATCTGTTAGAGAAGCAATACAAGAAGTGAGAATGGTTCAGGTATATGTCAAAAAGTTTCAATCTCGATTCCGAATCTAGCACATTTTCTACAGTTTTTCATATTTGAAATTGTATTAACAGATTTGGGAGCATATGATGGGGTGGTTTGAGATGCAAGGCAGAGAGCTACTAGACGCAGGAGTGTTAACAGCAGCTGATCTCTATGAGTCTTTAAAGGGGAGACACGGAAACGAATCATCGATTATCAATGTCGGGCTTCCTTCTTACGCTTTGTTGCATACATTGCTTAGCTCTATTAAAGCTGGTACTCATGGTGTGCTTCTGCTTGATGGCTCGGAGGTGACCAATTTGAATAGACCGCAGGACAAGTTTTTGGACTGGTTCTTTAACCCAATTATGGTACTTAAAGATCAGATTCGAGCGATTAAACTTGGAGAAAGTGAGGTTAGATACTTAGAGAAAGTTGTTCTCTTTGGAAACCATGAACAAAGGATGGAAGCTTGGGATAATCTCGGTAACCCGCCTCAAGAAAACCTTCGAGCCGCTCAAATCCAAGGAATCAGCAGAAGGTAAAAGATTCAAACATTTTCTATCACATAACTTGTTTATAAAAATTCATCTCATTAAGACAAATAGACAATGATGGGTTTAAAATTTTTGATCTTGTGTTCTCTAGGATGATGGGAATGGTGCGGAGTGTATCGAAGCTTCCGACTTATAGAAGAAGGTTCAGACAAGTGGTTAAGGCTCTAATAACTTATCATTTAGAGAAACAAGGCTTGAATCGAACCGGTTCCATGAGTTCTGGAGATTTCATTGAAGAGGTCTAACCAAGGAGCAACAATTGTTGTATTCCTTTAATAACTTTTAGCGTTTTTTAATTTCCTTTGTAAGATGTGTTTTTGATTTCTTGTAGTACAAGGTGTAAAAAAGAATGTACAGAAGTTTTTCTAAATATGATTTCAAAGATTGTGAGGAAGAGAATACAAAAGCTTACAATGATGCTGATGTAGAGGAGGAGGTTTGAATGTCAAGACAGCTTCCGACCACTCAATCTTGCCGTAAATCTCAACTCCCTCCTTGCGCCTCTTTAAAGAGATCTCCGCACACCAAATCTCTAATTTCTCATGACCAAGAACGTCCCAGAAAAGTAACATATTGGGACCATAGTTACTCAGTTTGTGCCCAGGAAGAAATTTGTCAAGTTCATCACTTCTCCATCCATGCCTCACCCTCTTCTTTTTGCATGACTCCCTATGATTTAACATCCTCCCACCATAGTTGACGAGCTTGGAGGCACATAGAGTATCCGTTAGAGTTTTCAAGCCCATGACCTCTCTCCACACCATCCCCTCATGTTGTCGCCAATCCAATTCCCCTGCTTCACACCAGAGTATCCTCCCACGTGTTTCACAACAGTACATCACATTATCAATCATATACCAACCCCTTCTATCTCTGCATGTATCTGAATTCCCTGTTTTCCATATCCCTTCACTCGGTATGTAGAACATACCTCTACCCGCTCCATTCAAAGCGAAAACCTTCTCTTCCATCACCGCGCTTTCGAACATTAAGGGAAAGTTTAGGTTATACTGATTAGATGGCGGCATTGGCAAGTCATCCCAAGTCTGTGTCTTTGGGTCGAAAACCTCTCCCCACTTGCGGGGTTTTGAGTCAAAATCTCCACACCCTCCCAACACGTAAATCTTCCCATCCACCACGCCAGCCGCAGCAGAAGCTCGAGCCACCCTCATGGAAGGGAGAATGCTCCACGTATGAGATCGGCAATCCAGGAAGAAGACCCTCGACGTGTGCCTCTCGTTAATCCTTCCACCGATGACATAGATCCCGTAACCCAAGGCCACCACGGAGGATGCTTCTTGAGGCTGATATAAGTGTGTCCGTATTGGAACCAGCCGACGAGGACGATTTAGGGTTTTTGGGAAGAAACAGAACCAGCTTGGAGTTAGGTTTGGAGGGATACGTAAACATAGATAGATGCAGCTGTCAGTGCAACCAATTAGTGACCGGACGTCGTAGATCTCAGGAGAAACCACTATAGAGCGGAGACACTTGGAAGCGAGAGATAAGTATGCGTAGTCTGATCTTGGTACGCGGGCCAAACAACTCAGAACGATCTCATATGGCAAAGAAAAGAATTCAGACGTAGACGGAGAAGAAGACAGCTTCAACTTCTTCGTACGCGGTGGATCTTCGCCGGCGCCGGAATTCGACATCGGGTTTTGTTTTAACTCTGTTTTGGTTTGAGAGAGTATAACCAAGCAGACTCAAACAGTCAAACTCGTGTTTTGACTATTTGACTTTATATGGCGGCATTTTTGTTTTAAGTTAGGGCTCAAGTAAAAAAGCCCATATTCGTTTAAGTTTTGGCCCATTAAGAGCCCAATATCACAAATGGAAGCAGCTTGTAAAATTGAATTGTGTGAGGACGAAGAAGACGGCGAAGCGGATAACGAAAAGCTCGCCGAGAAAGCACAAATGGCGGGCGTGAAATCTCTGCAACCTAGACTCATCTCTTCCTTTCTCGGCAACAATTCTATTCGATCAACGCAACCACTTATTCATCTCTTTCGCTTCGATTTAGGTTCTTCTTCCTTTTCCATAATCTACTTCTTTTGCTACTGCTACTAGTTTTTATTGATGTGAATTTTAGTTGAGCAGATTTTACAAAAAAAGATCAAGACTTTCGAGTGCCCATATTACTATTTTGATTCCTAGACGAGTTTCGGAAGAGTTTTAAGCTAACCCATGAAAAGAACAGAGCATTTTAATTGAAACGAAATCAATGTGGGAATTTTTCTCAATTTTGAGCAGGAAGAAGACATGTTTCGATGCAATTATCAAGAACCTTTTCTGGATTAACCAATCTCTTGTTTAATAGAAGGTATTATGATCTTTGTTAGTGTCTTATAATTTAGCTACTTTGTGTTTGATTAAAAGGACACAATTTATGTGGACTCTGTTTAGCAGAGAATGGTGTATTAGTTTTCACTTTCTTGTTGCTGTTTGAAGGAATGAAGATGAAGTTATTGATGGCAAGAGAAAGCGTCTGAGACCTGGAAATGTATCTCCTCGTCGTCCTGTCCCGGACCATATAACAAAACCTCCTTATGTTGATTCTTTTAAAGCTCCCGGAATCTCAAGTGGACTTGAAATTCATGATAAGAAAGGTATAGAATGCATGAGAGCTTCCGGAAAACTTGCAGCTAGGGTTCGAGAATACGCTGGGACTTTGGTTAAGGTGAGGAAAGTTTTATACTTTCTGTCGCATTTGAAGTTTTGTAATGCTCTATCAATCATCATAGTTTCTCTATTTGGCAGCCAGGCGTAACCACAGATGAAATCGATGAAGCGGTTCACAACATGATTATCGAGAATGGAGCGTATCCTTCGCCTCTTGGTTATGGAGGTTTCCCGAAGAGTGTTTGCACATCTGTGAATGAATGCATTTGCCATGGAATACCAGATTCAAGACCACTTGAGGTGCGCTTTTTTAAAAGGTGTTTCTAGGGCTACACATACTTTTCTCTCTGTCCCTTACGAATCCTAATAATGTATGTTGTCCTTTGGCAGGATGGGGATATAATCAACATCGATGTCACAGTTTATTTGAATGTAAACTTTTCTTCTTTTGCCTATTTCTTGATTCTTCACTAGTCAAGTAAATTGAGTTTTACTCTATACTATAGATACTTATGTCGGATGCAGGGTTATCATGGTGATACTTCAGCAACTTTCTTCTGTGGAAATGTTGACGAGAAGGCTAAAAAGCTAGTCGAGGTATAATGTTGAACCTAAACAGTTCCATTTCTGTCGTCTAGGGAAAAATCATGTTTCTGTTTAGTTTGATGAGCTTCATACTTGGAATGTGCTCTAGGTGACAAAAGAGTCTCTGGACAAAGCTATATCAATATGTGGTCCTGGAGTTGAGTACAAGAAAATCGGCAAAATCATTCAGTAAGAGATCGATTTCTTCGAAAAATTAATCTTATATTGATGGATTTCTCATCTGACATTGAAAAATCAAATCTTCTGACATAAAAAAACACTTGTGCTTATGAAGTGATCTTGCAGATAAACATAGATATGGGGTTGTTCGACAATTTGTAGGCCATGGGGTTGGCAGCGTCTTCCACGCAGATCCAGTTGTTCTACATTTCCGTAAGTTTGTTCTAAAACTCAGACATCAAGTTACTGCTTTGTGGCCATTTGCATAGTTTCTGAACTTCTTCTACACAGGGAATAATGAAGCTGGACGTATGGTCTTGAATCAAACTTTCACCATAGAACCGATGCTTACGATAGGAAGCAGAAACCCGGTAATGTGGGATGATAACTGGACCGTGGTAACGGAAGATGCAAGCCTCTCTGCACAATTCGAGCATACCATTCTTATAACCAAAGATGGTGCTGAGATTCTAACCAACTGTTAAAAATGAATCTTAAATTGATCTTATTGGAATGGAACCCAAAGCCATAAGGTATGTAAGAATCATATTCTTATTCAAATATTCTTTTGCTCACAAGCAAACTGAATTTGTAGTTAACTAGTCACACAAACACAGATACAAGCAGATACATTAATTTTGGGACAAGTAAAAATTCAGATCTTGAGTTTAGGAGATCTTGATTCCCTGAGTTTCCTTTCTTCTGACAGAACTTTTGCAAACCTGTAATAATTAGGCAGTATTTTACTGATTAAATCCACTATTGTTATGCTTAAGTAATAATTTATGAGTTTTTGTTTCAGATAAAAAGTTATTAAACCTTTTGAGAGCTTCTTCATTAGTCACATTTTCAGAAATAGGTTGATAATGGCCAGTTTCGAGATTGACACGAGAGACTCTCTTCTTTAATAAAGCTTCACCAACTTCAACAAGACCTTCCATGTTCTTTTCTGTCGATATGTCCACCGAACCTAAGAGCACTTGCAATGGCAGCTCTATGCGTCGTCCCAGTCCATTTATTTTTTTTAAAAAAATCAAAAACCCTCATTAAACACAGAACCGTTCCCACACGAGAGAACGTTTCTTCACCGTCCCTCACTGCCACGTGTTCTCGCGTGATTGGTCGCGTGTTTTTTTTGTGCCGTCGATTGATTTTCGCCTTCCTTTTCTCTCGTCGGCGAAAGCTTTGGCTCAAGCTTTGTCCAGCTATTTCATCTCCTCTTCTTTCAAATCGTGTCTTGTATTTCACTCTCTTCCACTCCGATCTGTTGTATCGTTGAATTGAAAAAGTTTCCACCAACAACCGATATAAACGAGGTAGGTTTTTCCATCTGAAATTTTCAGATTTAGAGGATTGTGGCATCAATTTTGATCTTCCGCTATGAATTGATTTGGATTGTTCTTTTGATTGGAATCAATTTTTGAGAATTAGAAGTGTGGTTGCTATAGTAAAAGCTATAATTGATTTTGTTTTACTGTATGATCTTAAGTCATCAATTTGTTATCTTCTTTTATCGGATCTCATCTCTTTGGAATTTGTTATCTTTCTTGTGGCTGATTCGTATAGTCTTAACCTCGTAGACCAAAACAGGGTAACTTCATATACAAGCTCTGTTTTTTTTTCCGATATGGTGTAATCAATATAACTATGATCTAATATCAACTGAAATCATTCTTGGAAAAACCCTCCTTAACCTTATTTGTTAACACAATAGTTATGATGCTATAGAAGAATGTGTTATTTGTTGATACAATAGTTCTGATGCTAGAGAAGAATTATGAGTTATGTATTGTTTCATTTTGAAACGTCTAAGAGTTTCTGTTTATATTGTCCATTTTAGGCACTTGTGGATGCCCCTAACATGGAGAGAATCCAGATGAATTTAAAGAGATTGTCTCTTACTGACATTGTGATTGATATCAACAGAGTGCCCAAGAAGAAGAATTTGATTGAGGCAACGGACAAGGCTGGTGAGTTTGTTGTAGCTTACATTTGGTTATTTCTTGCCTTGTTTGGTTGGTTGGGTTGGGTCATCTGAATAAAACCATGTTGTGAATGTTTTAGTATCTAAGCTATTGGCTAGAAACCTCAAAGTCTGCGGGAACATAGGTACAAATGCAAAGAATTCTTTCCATGAATGTTTATAGTAAAATTTTTGTAGAAGGTCTTTGTTATTATCTAGTTAATACTTAAAAGTTAAAAGCTGATGTGATTAACTTTTCAGGAGTTTTTTCTTCTCATGGTGATCTTGCAGAGGACTTATCTCATATCAGTGATGTTGAGGTAAGTTATATAATGTTTACCTTAACGTTTGATTGATGCTTATTGTAGCTCCCACAAATTTCGACACATGTATTTAAATAATCATAGCATCTCTCAACCTTTCTCAAGGAGGATATAATTTGTTCTTGTGGAAGTTTATCTAATTTAAATCCCATCTATGGTTTTAGTCTCTGTATACCAACAGGTGCATCAACCTTTGAATCTTTCTTATTGGTTTAGTCTTAAGCGAGTCAGGTTGAACTTATAAGGATTAGGTTGTGGTTTATCTGTCTGCAGGTCTTGGTTCTCAAGCAGAGGATATATGGGCAAAGGAAAACTGTCAGGGAAATAGTTGGAGAGGAGCAGATGAGTCTGAGAATGGTGGCACAACAAGAGGCTTTCACATTGGTGGATTTTTTTGATGGATCTGATAAGTTTTTGTTTTTGTTTTTTTTTCCAACTTTTTGTAACTTTGTAATTTTCATATGTTTTCAATGTTAATGTTATATGTTTTATTTTAATTAAAACTTTTATATGTTTTTACTTATTAATTTAAATAATTAATTTTTTAAATATCAAAATATTATTATTTTATTCAGGGGACAAAATGTGAGGGACACCAATGCTAATACCAAACTTAAGAAACTCTGAAAATAATTTTATTATATTTGAGGGACCAAAATTTGTCCCACACCATTGCTCATGGTCTAAGTCACCCTTCAACGAATCGTCCTGTAATAGGAAAAATACATTTAAATTTTCCTATTTATATTTTTGGTCAATAAAATTGACCTTTCACTGACCAATAATACTAAATTTATGTGATTAATGTTTCGTGCAAGAAAATGCCATATATATTACCAACCTTTACAAGAAATCTTTTTAGCATTTGTTTATAAGATAAAACATAAGTTTTTATGGCCAAAAATCGGAATTTTGAACAATTCAAAGTACAAAACAACAAATAAAGTATCGAGTTTCGATAACCATCAAGTTTCTTTCATTAGCGTGGAAAATAAGTAATTACCAAATTTAATACCTAAACTGCAGACTTTAAGAAAATTCAGTAGCAAAAATGATATACAATCCAGAATTTAGTTGAACAAAACCAAAAGAGTTATAGTCTGCGATTATATGGTTACTAATTAATATGAAATCGGGATGTGACAGCTCGAACCCTAATTAAGGAAGAAACTCACATCGATACGTAAATAATTCTTCTCGGAACGAAGAGCTTGAAAGACGACAGAGCTTTGGTAGTCAACCATGTCATGAATGGCTTCACTGTAACAATCAAGAATTGGAGTTGATCCATTTTCAATGATCCAACATATCAATCCCCATTTCGACGCCATTTTCGCATTGTACTTTTCTTGATTCCTAATCGAACCTGTCCCAATCGATATCACCAAAAACCTCGTAAAATCCAATGGGCTTATGTCTCCCATTGCTGGATTCTTCTTAATTATCTGCTTTGTCACTTCCGCAATAGCACATAACGTCTGAAAAAAAATAAGCATACACCACATGACTGGTCAATAGTACTGAACAAGTTAGGGTTTTCAGATTTAGGGTTTTGAATTTACCGGGTTATTGGCAGCGATACCACCATCAATGAGGTTGAATTCATGTTTCTTTCCTTCATTGTCTTCGTTGGTGAATCGGTGAGCCGGAAAATAAGTTGGTGCGGCAGATGTGCTTATACATATGTCTGATAGTTTCGCGTTCATAGCTTGATTATTCACCGCCTATATATTTATGAGATTGGATCAATGTATACCTTGTGATGCAATTGCAAGAATATTCATGTAGACGGATTGATATTCATGTTACCTGGTAAGAAGAGAAGATAACTGGTTGGAGTTTCTTGATGTCGAAGCAAGGTATGACAACGTTTGTCAAAGATTGAGTTAGTTTTGTGTCTCCCAAGAAACCTTCAACTAAGTCATGAAGGTATTTCCCGTTGAACTTGGGTCCTCCTACAAGTCTTACTATGGTTTCACCCCAACCACAGAATATCCCTCTGCACATATAAAAATTCTCCGAAAACCGATTACTTAACCAGACTCTGAATCAGATTAAACGCAAATAGTTAAGAACCATACCGTGGTTGTGGGAAGATTTTGGGAGAATGTTTGAGATAAAAGGGGACGATTTCTTTGGCTTCGAACAAAGGGCGGTTGCGGTTGCGGCTATGACCACCGCTTTGGTCTTCGCCTTGTGCGGTCAACATTGCCACTATCAAACCTCCGGTGCTTGTCCCTGAGATGACATCGAAATAATCCACAAGTCTTGCGTCCTCACCATCCAATTCCTGTTTAATATACATTTACAAATAAACAATCAAACTAAAACACAATCTACGTGGAAAACTGGAAATTATAAGATTTTCAGTTTCAATTTTGTTTTTCCATTAAAACTTTGAAAGTGTACATGAATTAGATATCCTCTATTTGTTATTAGTTATTACAACATCAAATGTACTTGTCTGTATATAATTTGCATAAAACTTATAAAAAAAAAAAAATCAGTAACAATATACTAAAAAGTATTTACCTTCAAATGAGTTAGTGACATTTACAACACTACAGTGTTTCATACATAATAAAAAAAAATTCTATATAAAACTGGCAAAAAATCTTCAATTTATAACCAGTTAGTACATATACCGTACCTGAAGTTGTGATTCGAGGTAAGCCAAGATTGTGCCGGGAATGATCCCACGGATTCCACCACCATCGATGCTAAGAATGGTAACAAGTTGTCCGTACGAAGGAGGAAGACAAGCGACTGTTCTGTCTTGAAGATGAGCAGTTATGGATATTTCTGATGAACTTATTGATCCTCTCTCTGTATCCATGCTTTTAAACTCTTCTTCTTTATAATCTCAATCAAGGTTTATTTGTATGTTTGATCAAATCTCTTTTGGTTAATTAGTGAGTTGTTTTTTTTGTCCTTTTCAAGGTAGAGAAATGGCGATAAATGTGACAAAACCCTTAGAACTACCGTTACATATATATATAGAAAGAGATATATGTAGATTAGGAAGTCTATATACAACACTATGTTATGCATGCCCATACACACATCCATCACATAGTGTTTGGATGTTTTTGAACCGGTTTCTTGGTTGGGATGTCGTGTTCAACACTCTCACGCCCCATTACATTTGTGGACTTGTGGTTACTTTAGAGCATGTCATGTTACACACATACTTCTATATTTAAAAAGAACGGTCTAGATGACAGCTGTTCTTTCCAATAAAAACAATTAATAGACATATATGCACAAAAATTAGTAGCAGAAGTCACCTGAACATATAAGTATATATTTTAAATGTCTTTTTTCTTATAAAAATTAGTAAAAGATAAGATCGCTACTTTTGACATTTACATCTTCTAGTTGTGAAATTTATTTATTTCTGAGAGCTCAGAAATTTTGAAGAGTAATATTTTAGCTCCTTGCTTTTTGTCGACTTTTTAGGTTACCATCCTTAAGTTGGATTATTTCTTGGTACAATGTTTTTGGTTGCAGTTTTATATTCGGTTTCTTAAACTACTTATATAAGATACTTTTCTAATAGAACTGAAATCGCAAAACTAGGGAACTTCGCTGAAAAGTATATGAGGTTGTCCAATGAAAATATTTCCGTATAGGGACAACGAGAATCATACTTCCAAGCAAATGTAACCGTTACTCGAACCAATAAAAGTGGCCTAAATTATGGATTTGAAATGGTTACGGTTAATCTCTACAAGGATACAATATATACTGTATATTTTATCATTGTACTAACCTTATTATCTATTACTACATTTAATTTTGTGTAACTTTCGTATATATTTTCTCATTTTTATTGACTATATTGAAGTTCCACCAACTTTTAAACCTAGGAAATAAAACAAGTTACAATATTTATTTTATGTACCCATGCCGTGACAAGTAGTACAGAATCTATCTATGGTCCACTTTTGCGAGATTGTTTATATCTGCCAAATGTTTTTCGTGTTAATTAAAAAACATACAAATGTAATCCTCCAATATTATCTTACCCCTTCACACCTCTTATGCAATTCTTCACGTATCTCGTTTCTTGGCTTAACCTTTTACAAAAGATTAATTATTCTTTTGTTAAAAAACAAAATTTATGTTTAATCACCTAATTCTGTAATAAGATATATGAATAATATTCTTTGGCGTGTAACATTCATATGAGTTTGTTTATAAACGATTACTTTTGTCCACGGTTCTTGAAAGAGTCAAGTGCTTCTAACACTAAACATCCTCTTAAGAACGTTACAATTGTATATATATAATCAAATTTGACAAAACTATAAGATAATATAATTTTAAAGGTTGTCCACTTTATTTTGTTCTTCATTCGACCAATTATTTTATAAATATAAATGTGGATAGAGATTTTGTTTTTTCAACATCATGATGCTATAGTGATTGACTAATTTGATTTATAGAGAGGAAATAAGTTGATTCGTGAAGAATTGCATAACTCGACTGTTCCCAGTTTAGTCCACATAACAGGAAAATCAGCCTCTTAAAAGGGTTCATTAATTTAGCCTCTTTTCCTTTTGTGAAATCTCTTGTAATGGTTAATTTTCTTGACACTAATTCTATTGTTACAAAACGCTCTCTTTTTTTGTTCAATTAATCAAAAATACCCGTTCTCAATAACTTGATTTTAGACACATACTATATATGTATCTTCCTCTAACATATGGACTTCAATTGCTGATCAAGATAGACACTGTTTGAGGAAAAACATTGAGGAAGAATGTCTTATTCCTAATTTTTTCTTACAATGTACGATGAGTATGAACAAGATATATAGTTTAGGGCAACCAAATATGTAATCCGAAAAAGTCCGTTACTCGTTACTGAATTTGTAAAAAAATTTATTTATTGTTTTTCAATTCCGAAAATAATTGAATTAGAAATCCCAAAAAAAAAAAAAAAAACAACAAGGCGTTGTTAGAATTCGCCGAGCAACACACACACACACAATATCATCAGCTTTAAACTAAATAACAATATCATCTTGTTTCATACCAAAAAAAAAAAAAAACAATTTTATCTTGTACAATAAAAAATTTCACACAAAAGCACGAATGGTTTCTTTTTATTTTATCTCTGGTGATCCGTTTGATGAGTCTTTAATCATTGTGTCGCTTCTCAGTCTCCTTAACTTCCTTTCGTCCGAGAGAATTTTAGCATACCTACATTAGTTGTTTAAGATTACTTGTGATCCAAGAATTAAACCCATGAACAAAAACATTTGAAACTTATTAATCACCTCTTTAGTTGTTCATCATTGGTAATGTTTTCAGCAACAGGTTCATATGCACCAGTGTCGATGTTCATTTGCATGACTCTGTTTGTCAGGATCTTCTCTCCAATCCTTTTAAGATTCTCTAAGTTAGATTTTGTCGCTAGATCCATATTGCTTACATCTCCTTCCAATGTATCATCCTGCAATCGATTTTCATACATACAAAAATCGTGTCAAATAAACGATCAATTACAATTTAAGACACGCAGATATATTGATATATTTATATGTAGCTCTTAATTACATCGATTCTGAGGTACTTGTCTTCAGATTGTAGGGCTTTAAACACAACAGAGCTGTGATAATGGATCATGTCCCGGCTTGATTCCATGGTAATGTCTAATATCGGAGTAGATCCATCGTCATATAACCAAGATAAGATTCCCCATTTTGCAGCCTTTTTTGCACTGTACTTCTCTTCTTTTTTTGTAGATCCTGTTCCTATCGATATAACGAGAAACTGGTCAAAACCTAACGGCTTGAGCTTACCCATATCAGGATTGTGCTTCAAAATCTGCTTAGACACAGCAGTCATTGCCACCAAAGTCTATAAAAAAAACAAACACAACGGAGTTAGTTCTGTTTTGATTTAAAAAAAAAAAAAACTAAAACTAAGGTTTTATCAATTTCTTTGTATTCTCTTGGTTCTTGACAGTACCGGGTTATTAGCAGTAACCGCGCCATCAACGAGATTAAACTCCGTCTTCTTGCCTTGACTGTCTTCATTGGAAAAGTAATGAGGAGGAAAGAAAGTGGGAGCAGCTGATGTGCCGAGGCATATGTCTGATAACTTGACATCCAAGCCAGGGTCAGCCAACAGCTTCAAACCAAAAACAAAAAGTGAACTAATTAAGTTTGTTAATTTGGTTAAAACAAGAATTTATACTTTAAGTCTTTATATGTGTGTTGTGTTAAGAATAGAGACCTGGTAAGAGGAGAAAATGGTGGGTTGAAGTTTCTTGATGTCAAAGGTAGGTATAACAATGTTTGTGAGTGTCTGGTGAAGTCTTGTCTCTCCAAGAAGCTTACTTAGTAGAGTTCGCAGGTACTTTCCGCTGTACTTTGGACCAGACAGAAGCTTTGGGAGCTTCGGTAACAGAGCAAGCACGCCTCTGCATTTTTCATTACAATGTCTTTTTGAATTGCTACGTGTAATTTAATATATATATGTGCCAATGTTCATTAAGAAAAACACAATTCTTATGTGGGACATCAAACACGTAACAACGCCCACTTGTTCTATAAGTACAAAAAAACTTTCATTTTTTACTGGTTTGATTCATTCCTTAAATTTTTTCAAATAAGATTTACTATTTTCGAAAAAAAAAAAAGATTTACTATTTTCGAAATGTGAACAGAAAGGTCTTCTATTGTAAACAGAAATACCGGTACTATATAGTGAAATATAATTTCCTTACGTGGGCTGGGGAAATATCTTGGGACAATGTTCAAGGTAAAACGGCACAATGTCTTTGGCCGCAAAATGAGGTCGACCGGTCCCGTCCGGTACAGCCAACATCGCCGTCACAAGACCACCGGTGCTAGTTCCAGCTATCACGTCGAAGTAATCAGCAAGCCTCACGTCTTCTCCATCGAGTTCCTATATATATACCGAGAAAATTTTAATTTTTCAAAAAAATAACTACGAAAGAAAAGATGAAGTTTAATTACTCTGGTAAAGAATCAAATATGAATTCATGATCGTAAATCGATGCAAGGACTTAACTACTATAAAATTCGCATGGTAATTAGTACGAGTTCTGATTTTATTATATGTATCTTCTATCTAGTAATTTTGCATTCTACTGAAATAGATATAAACCTGAAGTTGTTTTTCGAGATAGGCAAGGATCACTCCGGCGATAATTCCTCTAACTCCACCGCCGTCGATGCTGAGGATGGTTACGAGTGATCCGCACGATGGCGGTTTGTTTTTCTTGAAGGACGAGCTGTTCTCCATAATAGTTGATAGATCTTCTTTTGAGTTAGAAGATTATAAATTGAAATTTGGTTAAAGTTTTGGATTTAGAGGTCAACATATATATATAAATTCACAATTTCATTCGTATAGATTTGAAAAAACGAAAAAAAAAATTGGTCAGACTTTTCTTCATACATGTCGTGCGAATAAGGATTATATATATAGCTAATTAATATATTTTTCCTTTGAATATGATAATTTATACTAGTACGGAACAAATATCAATTATGTCATCGAGCTTGATGAGCTGTCATAAGCTTAATTAATTTACGAGACAAATATTTTCTTTCGTGGACTTGCAATAAAGAATAACAGCCAAGCGAGGATCTGCATCCAAAAAATTCAAAAACTTAGTTTGGATTTTTTTGGATTTGCTGCGACAAATTTCCCTTCTGAATCCACTATTCAGACTTGTTCTAAAGACATCTGTCAATTGAATGAGAAGATGATCTCAATATTTGCTTTTATTGTTTTTCCTCTCCTTTTTAACAAGAATCTCTTATGTTGATTACATTAGAAAACCTAATTAGTAGTAGGAATCACTTAGCTAGTATAGTGTCGTAATTAGTAAAAAAATATAATACGTGGATTAATTAAGTTTTATCAGCGAAATATTGAAGTTTTTCGAAAAGGTCAATATGCGGTGAATCTATCTGCATGCTAGATCAACAGACTAGTATCTGTAAAAACTGTATGTTTGTGTTGAGTCATTTTCAAAATTTTGGGTTAATTAGCGAATCAAATATTCCAAAACCCAACGAAGCATTTAAATATGAATTAACGTTAGCATTATAGCATGCAAGCACGCTTTCTCGACCCCAACACCAACTTATTAATTATTATATCATCTGATGATATATAGTACATATCAACTTCAAGTCTTCTCGTGTAGGATAAAATTATTTGGTCAGACTTTTCTTCGTACATTTCGTGCCAATCATGATTGTAGTTTATATATTTAACTCCCTTTGAGATTGAGCTGTCACATATAAGCTTAATTTACGAGAAAATATTGTAATAGCTAGATAATATTAATTAACTAAGAATTCTTTCGTAGACTGTCCAAAAACATAGCAAACGAGATCTGCATAACAGATTCAAGACTAAAAATTTATTTTTGACTTTTTGATGATAGAGTTTGACTTTTTTGGATTTGCTAGGACACATATCTCCCTCCCTATCCAGACATGTTCTAAGTAACACCTGTCATAGAAGATGATATCAGGATTAGCTTCTGTTGTTTCATCTTATCATAAACGTAATTTTACTTTTTTAGGATTTGATGATTGTGACAATATAGTATTTACGTTCCGACTTTAAAACGATTGGGCTTCATCAATACTCGGGCCTCTATGTGGGTTTCAAATTAAGGCCCAATATTTGTAATTCATGTTTTTTCCCTTCACTGTCTTCGTCGGTGAACAGATGAGCTGGAAAATAAGTTGGTGCGGCAGATGTGCTTATACATATCATATGTCTGATAGTTTCGCGTTCATAGCTTGATTATTCACCGCCTATATATGTATTTATGAGATTGGATCAATGTATATACATGTGATGCAATTGCGCCGAAATATATATGAAGACGGATTGATATACGTGTTACCTGGTAAGAAGAGAAGATAACTGGTTGGAGTTTCTTGATGTCGAAGCAAGGTATGACAACGTTTGTCAAAGATTGAGTTAGTTTTGTTTCGCCCAAGAAACCTTCAACTAATTCATGAAGGTACTTCCCGTTGAACTTGGGTCCTCCTACAAGTCTCACTAAGTTTTCACCCCAAACAGAGATCCCTCATGAATCGGATTAAGAACCATACCGTGGCTGTCGGAAGATTTTGGGAGAATGTTTGACATAAAAAGGGACGATTTCTTTGGCCTCAAACAAAGGGCGGTTGCGGGTGCGGCTATGGCCATCGCTCTGGTCTTCGTCTTGTGCGGTCAACATCGCCACTATCAAACCTCCGGTGCTTGTCCCTGAGATATATGACATCGAAATAATCCACAAGCCTTGCTTCCTCACCATCCAATTCCTGTTTAAAATTATTTACCTTAAATCAAATGATTTTGTGACTTTTACTCCACTAGAAAGATTTTTTTTCATACATTTAATAAAAACAAAATCGATGTAAAATTGGCACAAAATCTTCAATATAGAATCCGTTCGTGCATATACCTGCAGTTGTGATTCGAGGTAAGCCAAAATTGTGCCGGGAATGATCCCACCACCATCGATGCTAAGAATGGTGACAAGTTGTCGTCCGTAAGAAGGAGGAAGACAAGCGACTGTTCTGTCTTGTAGATGAGCAGTTCTGATAACTTATTGATCTTCTCTCTGTATCCATGCTTTTACACTCTTCTCCTTTATAATTAATCTCAATCAAGGTTTTATTTGTATAACTTCGATCAAATCTATATTGGTTAGTGATTAATATATTGTTTTTCTCCTTTTCGAGATAGAGATGGTGATAAATGTGATGAAACCATTAGAACTACCGTTACATATATATAGAAAGACTGAAAGAGATATGTGTAGATTATGGAGTCTATATATAACACTATGTTATGCATGCCCATACACACATCCATCACATAGTGTTTGGATGTTTTTGAACCAGTTTCTTGGTTGGGATGTCGTGTTCATCACTCTCACGCCCCATTACACTTGTGGTTACTTTAGAGCATCTCATGTTACACATAAACTTCTATATTAAAAAAAGGTGTAGATGACAGCTGTTCTTTCCAAAAAAAATATAAAAAAAACAACTAACACAAATTAGTAGCAGAAGTCACCTGAACATATAAGTATATATTTTAAATGTCTCTATATAAAAATTAGTAGAAGATAATACTTTTGGACATTTTCATCTTTTAATCGTGTGATTTATTTATTCCTCAGTGCTTAGAAAATTTGAAGAGTAATTAATCTAGCTCCTCTTTATTGTTCTTTGTCGATCTTTTTAGGTTACCATCCTGAAGTTGGATTATTTTTGATACAATGTTTTTGGTTTGAGTTTTAAATCCGGTTTCTTATAATAGTTATATAAGATACTTTACTAAAAGAACTGAGATCGCAGATCACTAGGGAACTTCGCTGAAAATATATATGTGGTTGTCCAATAAAAATATTTACGTTCAGAGACAACGAGAATCATACTTCCAAAGCAAATGTAACCGTTACTCGAGGCAATAAAAGTGGCCTAAATTATGGATTTGAAATGGTTACGGTTAGTCTACAATTAATAGACCTATACGCTCACTAATTACTTTTCTCTCAATGCACTAGTTTTCTTTTTGTGATCATATTTAATCGAAGTCTATAATTAGTCAATATATTTTGATTTGAAATAAATTAAAGGCAAAATATAGTTTTTACATACTTGAAAGTAAATATAGTTTTCACATTTTTTTATTGATAATATCGAAGTTCCACCAACTTTTAAACCCAGGAAATAAATCAATTTACAATAATCCTTTTCTGTCAAAAGTAGTACAGAATCTGTCAAATGTTTTAGGTGTTAAGTAAAAAAATATACTTGGCTTGACCTTTTACAGAATTTATATTTTTCTGTTTTGTTAAAGAACAAAATTTATATTTAATCAAGTAGTTCTGCAATAAGATGTATGATTAATATTTTCTTTGGCGTGAACATCCATATTTGATTTTGTTTATGAACAATTATGTTTGACCCGGGTCTTGAAAGAGTCTTTTTGTATTTTTTTGTGCAAACTGGTCTTGAAAGAGTCAAGAGCTTGTAACACTAAACATCCTCTTAAGATAAGATAATCATCAAATTTGACGAAGTATAAGATAATATAATTTTAAAGTTGTCCACTCTATTTGGTGCTTTATTTGACCAAAGTTTTATATATGAATGCAGATAGAGATTATTAACTTTTTCCCAACATCATGATGGTATAGTAATTGACTAACTTGATTTATAGAGAGGTTCACTAAGTTGATACGTGAAGAATTAATTGCATAACTCGACCGTTCCCACTCTTCCCAGTTTAATCCATATAACAGGGAAATTCAGTTCTTAATAACAATTGACTTTAGACATATATGTATCTGTTTAACACAAATGGACTTCAATTGGTGATCAATGACATGCCTGAGGAAAAACATTGAGGAAGAATATCATATTTCTCTTTTTTTTTTTCTATTTTACGATGAGAATGAACAAGATATATTTTAGCTCAAGCAAATATGTAATCCGGAAAAGTCCGTTAGACCGTTATTACTCGTTACTTAATTTGTAAATTTTTTTTTTTTCCAATTTCGAAAATAATTGAATCAGAAACACCCAAAAAAAAAACAACAACAACACAACAAGGCGTTAAGAGAATTCGAGCAACACACACAATATCATCAGCTTTAAACAAAATAACAATATCATCTTGCACAGTAAATAATTTCACACAAAAGCACGAGTGATTTTTCAGGCTGTATTTCCTTTTATTTGATCTCTGGTGATCCGTTTGGTGAATCTTTCATCATTGTGTCGCTCTTCCGTCTCCTTAATTTCCTTTCGTCCGAGAGGATTTGCGCAAACCTAAATTAACAAATATCAAAGAAGGAGATTACTTGCGATCCAAGAAACTGATACATGGATAAAAACATTTGAAACTTATTAATCACCTCTTTAGTTGTTCATCATTGTTAACATTTTCAGTAACAGGTTCATATACACCAGTGTCGATGTTCATTTGCACGACTCTTTTTGTCAGCATCTTCTCTCCAATCTTTTTAAGTTTCTCTAAGTTAGACTTTGTCGATAGATCCAGAGAGCTTACATCTCCTTCCAATGTATCATCCTGCAACGGATTTTCATATATAAACAATCGAGTCAATTAAACGATCAATCACAAATTTGGGATATATTTATATGTAGCTCTTACATCGATTCTGAGGTACTTGTCTTCAGATTCTAGGGCTTTAAACAAAACAGAGCTGTGATAATGGACGAGGTCGCGGCTTGATTCCATGGTAATGTCTAATATCGGAGTAGATCCATCTTCATATAACCAAGATATGATTCCCCATTTTGCAGCCTTCTTTGCGCTGTACTTCTCTTCTTTTTTTGCAGATCCTGTTCCTATCGATATAACGAGAAACTTGTCGAAACCTAACGGCTTGAGCGTACCCATATCAGGATTATTCTTCACAATCTGCTTCGACACGGCAGTGATGGCCACCAAAGTCTATAACAAAACCAAACACAACAGAGTTATTTCTGTTCAGATTTTCGAAAATATAAAACTAGGGTTTTTTTTCAATTTCTTTGTAATCTCTTCGTTCTTGACAGTACCGGGTTATTAGCAGTAACCCCGCCATCAATGAGGTTAAACTCCCTAGTCTTTCCTTGACTGTCTTCGATGGAAAAGTAATGAGCAGGAAGGACAGTGGGAGCAGCTGATGTGCCGAGGCATATGTCTGATACCTTGACGTTCAAGCTAGGGTCAGCCAAGGCCTTCAAACAAAAAGTCAAACAACTAGTAAATTAGGTTGAAACAAGAGCTTTAGATTGTAGTCTATAAATGTGTGTAGTGTTAAGAATAGAGACCTGGTAAGAGGAGAAAAAAGTGGGTTGAAATGTCTTGATGTCGAAGGTAGGTATAACAATGTTTGTGAGTGTCTGGTGAAGTTTTGTCTCTCCAAGAAGCGTACCAACTAGAGTTCGCAGATAGTTTCCGCTGTACTTTGGACCAGACAGAAGCTTTGGAAGCTTCGGTAACAGAGCAAGCACGCCTCTGCATTTTTCATTACAATGTCTTTTCAATTTGATACGTATGTTCGAAAATGTGAACAGAAAGTTTATCTATTCTAAACAGAAGAAACACAAGTATCTAATTATTAATTATTTGACAATTAGTACATAGCGAAATATAATTTCCTTACGTGGGCTGGGGAAATATCTTGGGACAGTGTTCAAGGTAAAACGGCACAATGTCTTTGGCAGCGTAACGAGGTCGACCAGTACCGTCCGGTGCAGTCAACATCGCCGTCACAAGACCACCGGTGCTGGTTCCGGCTATCACGTCGAAATAATCAGCTAGCCTCACGTTTTCTCCATCGATTTCCTTTATATACGTATGAATTCGTTACTATATGGTAAAGAATCATATATGAATTCGTTATCATAAATCGATACAGGGACTTAAGTACTAAAAAATTCGCGTGGCGAGTTATGATCCTATCATATGTATCTACTATCTAGTAATTTGCATTCTACTGAAATTAATATATATATCTATAAACCTGAAGTTGTTTTTCGAGATAGGCAAGGATTACTCCGGCGATGATTCCTCTGACTCCACCACCATCGAGGCTGAGGATGGTTACGAGTGACCCGCACGATGGCGGTTTGTTTTTCTTGCAGGTCGAGTCGTTCTCCATATTGGTTGATCGATCTTCTTTTGAGCTACAAGTTTAAAAATCGAAATGTGGTAGAAGTTTTGCATATAGAGGTCAATATATATAATAAATGCACAATTTCATTTGTATAGATTTAAAATTATTTGGTCAGACTTTTCTTCATACAATAAGGATTATAATATATATATAGCTGATATATGTTTTCTTTGGAATATGATAATTTATAGCAAGTAATAGTACCCTATTATCAATTAGGTCATCGATCTTGAGCTGTCATCATAAGCTTAATTAATTTACGAGAAATAGTTGCAATACAAACAAATATTTTCTTCCGTGGACTTTGCAATAAAATCAAGAATAAAAGCCAAAAACTGACTTTGGATTTGCTGCGACACATAAACCTTTTGAATCCACTATTCAGACTAATTCTAAAGACATCTGTCCATTGAATGAGAGAGAGAATGATGATCTCAGGATTTTCTTTTACTGTTTTTCATCTCCTTTAGTAAGAGTTTCTTATGTTGTTTCATCTAATTATAATTTATGTAGTGAATCTATGCAACTCGATTAACAGAATCTGTAAAAACTGTGTTTTTGTTTTGAGTCATTTTTCAAAATTTTGGGTTAGCGAATCAAATCCAAAACCAACAAAGCATTGAAATATGAATTAACTTTAGCATTTGTTTTCGACCAAACACCAATTTATTTTATCATTTGATGATATAACCCTATATAATACTCCTCAACTTCACGTGTAGTATATTCTAAAAGATAAAATTATTTGGCCAGACTTTTCAATATATACGTACATTTCGTGCTAATCATGATTGTAGTTTATATATTTAATTCCCTTTGGAATTATAGAATGTAAATTTAGAGACGATATCAACGGTGATCCCACAGAGAAGAATCCGCCAAAATGATCCTTTATTTCCTTATATCTTCATATTGTGTAGCGAAGTACTATCTGGACTTTGCGAAAAAGCTCAAGAGGAAAAGAAGCTCACAGGGATTAAAGTTGGTAAACAGAGTCCCCGGATATAAGTCACTGCTGATGACAATAGTATTTACATAATTTCTGACTTTGAAATATTGGGCTTCATTAAATACTTGGGCCTCTATGTTGGCTTCAAATTAAGGCCCAATATTTGTAATTAAGTTAGCAAATTATGAAAGTCTCTAAAAACTAAAAAAGGACTAGCTAGTGATCATTAGTGAAGTTGACGTTGACGTTGACGAATGACAACAGTACTACATCTCCTTCCTTATCTAATAAGTTGTTCTATCACAACGAGACACTCCAGCCTTTATGATAAAGATGTAACTTCGTCCATTTATTTATTTCCCAATAGCTTTCTTTCAACCTATTTGTTCTTTCATTTAGTTACTATCCATCATGTGTCATGATTAATAAACTGAACCAAAATTTGTTCTTCCATAAGTTTTTGAATTCGTTTGCTAACTTGCATAATAAGCTGTTGTTCAGAGTATTATAACTACTGTTTCTGTATTAAAGAATTGTTGTTTATTTTCTTCTGTTTTATTAGAAGAAAAAAAACTGACACAAAAACATTCTTTGGGCCTAATGATAGAAAACAAATACTTTTTGACAAAATATGTGATCAATAAAAAAAGATTTGTTTTGTATAGTAATGTTGACAGATACCATATACACTTCAATAGCGTAAGGTTTTTTGACATGTAATTTCACTTGCATGCGCTCATAAGTGATAGTGAACATGCCATATACCACGTACGCTAGCCCTAAATGGACCCTATGCACTTGTCTTATTGGACCACATTGGTTATCAAAAGGAAGAAAAAATTGACTAATCATTGAAAAATTGGGGACCGATCGATGGATATGAGCTGATTTTATGTGCATAAATGTGGCAATATACAGGGAAAGAAAAAAAGGATATAATGTATATTGCTCCAAAATATTTCCTTATATGAAATTACAAATTCATCACAAGTGCAAGTTTATGTTTTTATAATTGTGTTAAGAGTAAGATCCTCTCAGACGTGGTCATGGTTGTACGTTACTATCAGCACCACATAGGTCCATTAATTGGCATGTGATGGGAAGAGGCTGGATGATCAGAGGCGACAATTATGTGTCATCTAATATATTTATTACATCTATCTATAGATATCATATATGAACGCATATTGTGGTAGTGCAAACATATGTGATATCTATCGATTCAAATTCAATTATTGAAGTAGTCCAATGTCACAAGCCTAACTTGTCTAGAGTCGAATTCTCATGTGAGAGATGAAAACGTGGTCTTGTGAAAACATTGGAAACATAGATGGATCTAACACATAATATATAAAACATGTAACTAAAATTTTTTGGGTTGAAAGATCATGGTCTTTAAGAGTAAAAGGAAACATATTTGCGATAAATAATTTAGAATAATATTTTTTCACGTAAGAAAGATTATGGAAAAACACATCTATTTGTTTTTTGGATTTTTATGAATTAATAGAAATGCACTTGAAGCTGAGAATGGTCCATCGTAGAAGGAAATTGACAAAAGAAAATTTGTGTAAAATGTTTGTAAAGATCCCCAATATTTTCTGATTTATCTGTACATATTGGGAAATAAATGACGTCGACCTTTTGTGGTGTAATGGTAACACAATTTTTGAATTATTATTTTTTCTTAAATAATAATACAAACAAATATGTCTCTATACATATCGTTTTATTAATTAATGAATGCCATAATTGCTATTTTAAAAAGAAAATCGAATATAAATGATATAATTCGTGTTTACCTCTTTGATCGCTGGGTTAAGTCCAGGCCCAATACGGGCCGACTTTATACTGGACCACAGTGTCTGGGTCCAGCCCAAAAGTAGATGAAAGTAAAAAACGAAAAAGAAAAGCAAAAGGGAAATTACTTAACTTCAGCTTTGGACCATTTATTTATTGTAATAGGTTAATGCACTATCTTCGTTTCTGTTTGCAGAAATTGAGAGATCCCATTATGTTGATTCTGCTATTAATTTTGCACTTATTTATGTACTCTATTTCAGATGGAATGTTCAAATTTATGATTGATGCAATATATCGATCCTAGACTTTATACTTATAAATTTGTAAATACAATAAATGTATTTCTAAGTTTTCTCTAATATTATATTCTAACTTATAGAGAGCTAAGTGATATAATATTATTTGTTTACCATGAATTTTCTAATTCATCATAGTCCGACTTATTTTAAAGTTAATAATTTTTGTTTACAAAATTTTCAAAAACTTATCACATAAGGACTTAAAAAACCAAATCAAATTTTAATATATTAGAAATTTAGAATGAAGCGCGATGAAAATATGTGTTTCATCTTTGGACTTTGGTAAAGGCAAATGCAAAAAGCTTTAAAAAAAAGAAAAGAATACATAAATAAATAAATGAAGAAGAGGAAATAATGATTCGGATTGCGAGACGCATGGCTTACATTGTATTATCACTCTTTAGGATTAAATTGATACACGTCCGAAGTTTCTTTTTAGTTATATGTGTATATATCTAGATTAGTAGACATTACAGTAATGTGATATCAATATTTAGTTATTTTTTTAATAGTGACCTAATTGTTAGGTTTGATACTGAAAATTCTATCATTGCAAGAAAGAAATTTCCATGCATAAAAATTATATGGAGAGCTAAACAAATACAGTTAAAATACAAATGCACACCATTATTTTTTGTTTTGTTCTCATCTATTTGATTAAAAATCAGATATTCGAAATTCTTTTGATATAAGAAAAGTAAATTGTATCACTAGAATGTAATTACATGAGTATTCCGTAACAAAGTACTAATGTCATGAATACAAAGAGCATGGTTTAAATGGGTCCACTAGAGAAAAATGGAAAGCATGATCAGTTAAAAAGCAAATTTTGTTAAAGCTTTGTCACGTGCTAATGCTTATTAGAATCTGCCAAAGTATCATTTAATTCTCATTCATTTATTTATTACCTAATCCACCGTTTATTTTTATATGTCATTGATTAATACTACTATATCAGGCCATGTTAGTTGATTTAAATAATCGAATTATTGATGGTATAATATTACCACGCTTAGCCTCGGAAAATGCAAATCTCTCCATATATCAAAAATTTGTCACTGTTGAAAAATAATAATTGTAATCACTTTTTTCATATTTCCCTTTTTCCATGGTATGACATTGCCACTTTTAATGAGTTTCCTTTTTGATCTCAGGACCCAACATGTTCCATCTATTTCTGGCTTTTGATGATTTTGTTTTAGAGATGAGTTTGTTTGTGTATACTAAGGTTTATAGAAGAACTTAATAATGTCATTAACTCATTAAATTGAATTAATCTACCTTCATTTTCATCTAGGGATAATCAAAGTAGATTTGAATAAATGCATATCAATATTTACCTTCATTTTCACATTTGCTTAATTAATTACTTTTTTTGTGTGTGTGTGTGGATCACCCTATTTGACAGCAAAAAAGGAGAAATGAAAATCAAATGTTAAAAAGCTTAGACTAGTGAGATGTCAGCATCTTTGGAGTTTTTACTTTTTATAATTTTTTTCTTTCTTTTAAGCATCATAATTAATAAGCACGTTATCTTTGCTTTCTCAAAAAGGTATCAGAAGTTAGCTCTGCAAAACGCTTGTGTTTAAGTTTAAGTACAGCCTGCATAATTGATTACATAACAATTACTACTTATTTTGGCTTAATATAATCACTAATCAATTGGTTATGTATATATGCCCCTTAAACTAATCAACAAGACGTAAGGTTTACTTGATATGAGAGGTACTTTCATAGTATAACACAAATTTATTAGGATTTAGATTTGCAACTAGAAATTATTTATATAGAATAGTCTAATGACAGCTTTTAAACTGCTATTATTAGAGTAGACTGAATGAATAGTAGTGACCATTGACAACAACAACAAAAATAGCAGTGACCAACTTCATTGCACGAAAAATTATCACTCACTACGAAAACTCGAAACTAAAAGGCTGGAAACCACCAAACTCCACTATCATTATTGTTAAAAACACGTTCAAATCTTACAAAATCATTCCGAATGACAATTGTAAATACAAAACCTATTTACTATCTAGTTCTGAAGCAGTATAAAATAAGATTTTTAAAATATTATTTCAAAGATTTTTCAATCAACTGATCACATTTTATCTTCATTCGTTTAATTTAAAATTTCGAAGTAAAAAAGTATATTTATAAATTCATAATTTTCTTAAAATATATATGAATAGAAGTTATATACTGTAACTATTTATTTATAAAAATTATTTATATTTATTTATGTCGGACTATTTTTTGACAACTAAATTAGTACTCCCTCTGTCCCATTTTATAAGATGTTTTGTGTAAAAGCACAAAGATTAAGGAATAATTAATGTTTACTTTTTTATAGGAATTCAGCCAATAGAAAATAAGACTGCAGAATTTAGATGGTCATAATATACTAAATAAACATAAATTATGCATAGAAATTTGGGAAAATCTTATAAAATGGAACAAAAAAAAAATGCTAAAACATCCTATAATTTGGGACAGAGGGAGTATAATTTATGTAAATAAAAGAAGTGAAAAAAAAGATTGAGAGAAAATGAAAGCACCAAGCCACTAAAAACCAAATCACAATTAATAAAAAGATAGAGAGAAAAAGTCGTTCTCTTTCTAGTTGTCCTCGTCTCTCACAATTCTCCACCAGCTCGACGAGAGCGCTCGTCACTCAGATCTCCCATCTTCTCCGATTACAAAAAATATCATTTCACTTTTCAATCTCAAATTTTACACATTTAAAAAAAAAAAATCTCTAATAAAATTGAAATATAGAGATAGCAGAAATGGCGATTAAACGTTGTTTTCTGCTACTTCTTCACCTCCAATGAGAGAGATTCTGTAGTTTTCTTCATTGCTCTGTTCGAGATTATTCTAGACAAAATATTGGATTAAATATACAACAAATTGTGGATCTTTGGGAAACATAAGCTTGAATTAAAACACATGCCAGCCTTTTTCTGCTTCTGGTTCGCTTTTTCTTCAAGTTTTCCCGCTCTGTCTTCATAATTCATCAAGGTACTAAATTTCTATCAACACCCATTAATTCTTTCTCACAAAAGTTCAAAACTTTTTTTTATCTCCCCAGTTTTCTTAATTGTCCTTATTATAACTTAAAAACATTTAACAGTATCTTTCTTTCTTTTTACTTCTGTTTTGTTTTTCTTTTTTGTTTTATCTTGATGGGTCTCTCTCTCTCTTGGGTTTATATCAGTTAGAGTGGAGAGAAAGCAAAAGTTGAAGAGATAGAGAGAGAGAGAGAAGGGATGAACACTAGTGTTCGAGCTGTTCTTTCCTCCATGAAAGCTCCTTCAAAGCATGACACTACTCAAGTAACTTTCTTTTTTTGTCTCTCTTTATCACTTTTTTCCACTTTTATTAACTCAATTTTGATTGCTTTTCTCTTTGGGGATATCTTTCTTGGTGGATTATGCTTAGTCTCTCATAAAAGTTTGTTCCTTTACATTGATAACATCTGATTTCAGATATTTCTTTAGATTCTTGGCTTCCACATTGGACTATTTACCAACCGAATCTTTGCTTTTTTTTTTTTTTTGTTTTCTGAAAAATAGTTATTCCGTAGTGATGGTCACAGTGAAAGTGATCGATACTCAATTCTTATCCTTATTCTGGAAGTGTGTGTTGTTTTCCACTATCAAAGGCTCATAAAAATAGTTTCTTTATTAGCTCCAATTCTGTTTTGGTCTATATGAGTAATGATGTTTCGTGGTATTCTGAAATCTGCAAAGGAGGAGAAGAAGAAGATGGAGTCTCAAGGCAATGGAGCTGTTGCTACTTCAGGAAAATCTCTGGTTAATCGTCGCCGAGCTAACAAAGAAAAGAAAATGGATTTGCTACAAGATGTATGATGACACTTTCCTTGAGTTGATTTGATGATTTGGTGATGAGTTGAGTCTAAAACATGTTGTTGTTTGTATTAGGTTGATAAGCTTAAGAGGAAGCTTAGACAGGAGGAGAATGTGCATAGAGCATTGGAGAGAGCTTTCACTAGACCTTTAGGAGCTTTACCTCGTCTTCCGTCTTATCTTCCTCGACATGTAAGACCCCAATGCTGGATCTTTTTGTATTCCATGTCTCAAACTTGTTGTTCTTTGTGTTTGATTTTTGTTTCTTTCTTTTTGGGTTTTGATAAGACATTGGAGCTTCTTGCTGAAGTAGCTGTTCTTGAAGAGGAAGTGGTTCGGTTAGAAGAGCAAGTTGTAAGCTTTAGACAAGGTTTATACCAAGAAGCTGCTTACATATCTTCAAAGAGAAATCTGGAGAGTCCTAATAACAACAGTTTGAATGAGAATTCACCCGTTAGAAGCACTAAACACCAGAGATCGAAATCCATGTCGCAACACGAGTTCAATACTATGATCACTCCCACTAAAAAGCATCAACAGTCTCTTAGCAGAAGCATCTCAAGTAGGAAACTCTTCTCCTCTGATCAAACAGTTAATGACCGAAGTGGTCAGAGAGTGGTAAATGGCAAACAAGCGTCGCCTAAACCAAATCTAAGCAGTGTTACTAAGCCAGTAGATGTGAGGGGGAAAGAGAATCAGACCTCTAGTAATGCTTCAAAAGACAAGAAAAATAAAGAATCACCTGAGAAGAAGCTTGGCAGATTCTTGACATCTGTGAAGAAGAAGAAACCTTTGATTAAGCCGGAGGCAGCAGCGGATAAACACTCAGAATCAATCAAATTACAGGTATGTACAACATTTATGCTTGCATTAATGCATGAATCTATAGAATTTTTCTGAAAGTTTTAGCCTTTTTGTTTTTTGGTTGTTCAGCTAGATGATAGATTAGCAGATCAGGACAAAGCACAAGAGAGTGTGTCAGGATCATCTTCAGAAGACAAGACAGTGCAAAGTGGAAATGTAGCAAACAGAGTTTCAGAGGATTTACTGAAATGTCTTGTGACTATTATCTTGAGGATTAGCTCGTCGAAGGACATTGTGTTGGATCCATATAATAACTGTTCAGAATGGAGAACAAGAGAGCTTGGTGCATACAAGCATCTTTCCTCGGTTGATGCATCTTCAGTTGATCTTGGACGAAGAATCAATGCTTCATTTCTGATCCATCGTCTCAAGTAAGTTTCTCATTTTAACAAATGGTATGTAATCTTTTAGAATGATTGAATACTCTAGACTCATGTTTTCTGTAACTTTTTCTATTTCCAGGTTTCTGCTTAATAAGCTTTCTGTTGTCAATCTAGACGGTCTTAGCCACCAGCAGAAGCTTGCATTTTGGATAAATACTTATAATTCATGCGTGATGAATGTGAGACTTCTATGATTTATTTATATGATAGAGATAGAGAAACTGTCAGTAAAAATGTTTTAAAAAAACTGATGTCTTGTACCCAATATACCTTCATAGGCATTCTTGGAGCACGGAATCCCGGGGACCCCTGAAATGGTTGTAGCTCTGATGCAGAAGGTTTAGATACAAACCATAATTTGACAATATTTTCGCTTTAACGTGTTTACCGGCTTACTATATTCAGCTTCTCTTTGTTGTTTCAGGCAACAATAATCGTAGGAGGACACTCGCTAAATGCAATCACAATCGAACATTTCATCTTGAGACTTCCATACCACTTGAAATTCGTAAGTGCCTTTCCTTTTTTTCCACCTTTTCTTTAAACTGTATAGCATTCCTCAAAGTTATGGTTCTTATATTTTGTTCTCTGCTTCTTCTTTTGGAAAAGACTTGTCCCAAAACTGCAACACATGAAGAGATGAGAGCTCATAGCACATTTGGATTGGAATGGTCAGAGCCTTTAGTCACATTCGCTCTCGCCTGTGGAAGCTGGTCCTCTCCTGCTGTAAGTTGAGCTCAAAATCATATATACGCAAAACTTGGCAAAGATGCAAACTTTCAAGTAAAACTTGCACAAACTTCCATGAAAATGGATTATACGTAGCCAAAATACCCGAAAACTAACTTTGGTATCTTCATTATTGTGAAACTTCAGGTAAGGGTCTACACAGCAGCTAATGTAGAGGAAGAGCTAGAAGCTGCAAAGAGAGATTATCTTCAAGCATCAGTAGGGATCTCAAAGAAGAACAAACTAATGCTTCCAAAGGTATTAGATTGGTATTTACTCGACTTTGCGAAGGATTTGGAATCGTTACTCGATTGGGTTTGCCTTCAGTTACCTGATAAACTAAGAGAAGAAGCAAATAAGTGTACGGAGAGAAAGAACAAAGAATCACTAATGGAATTGGTTCAAGTAGTACCATATGACTTCAGTTTCAGGTTGCTTTTGCAACAATGAATAAGAAAAAAATGTGAAAACATTGTATAGATTTGGTTTGGGGAAGGGTAAAGTAGAGCGCATGAGTTAAATATATAGATATGGTTGTGTTCTTTTTCTACTATAAGAAACTATAAAAGTGATGTAAAATTCATTCAATTGATTTTTATTTGTAATGCTATATATATGTGTACACCATTTTTTGTTTTCTTGAGTAGAGAGTTTTGTCTTATTTGTTTTTTCTTGTCTCTTACTATTTTTATGGTCGGCATTCTTGTCTCGTACCATATTTATTTTGGTCGGCTTGATCTAGTAGTTTTATAATTTGTTCTTGTATTAAAAAAAAAAAAATTGAGAAGACTTCCTCCAAAAAAAAAAAAAAAAGGTAAACAAAGGTACATATATATCTAATCGTAATGTAGTTAATGGGCTTAGAATAAAATGCCAACGAGAGCCCAAAAGAAGCCCATTAATTATAACAGGGAACAAACCAACTCTCTGTAGTCTTTTATTATAATCGTGGTGGTGAATTTGGGAATTTTGCAGAGCCGTTAAACCCTAGAACGGAGAAGAAAACCCTAGACCGGCGAAGAAGATCATCCGATTCGATGTCGGATAATAAAGACCACGATTCTGATTCCGATGCTCCGGAAGAATTCACCCAAGAGCAGGTAAGTTTATTCGTCCTGTTTGTTGAAACATTCAATCAAAATCGCATTTTGCTTAGGGTTTTTTGTTTTGTTGACTTTGTTTCAGGCGAAGCTAGAAGATGAAGCATTGAGGAAAATACAGAGAGAGAATAAGACTAGGTTTGTCTTCACTCACACTCATTGCATCTCCCTCTCTAGCTCTGCTCTTATTATGGTTCATTAGTGATTTGCTTTGACTCTCTTTGTTTGAGGACTTGAAAAAGTTTGAAGAAAGCAAAAAATAAGTGCTTTGTGAATTAGCAGTTTATGGAGGAAGATAAACTATTCTTCCTTTGATTGTTACTTCTTTGTATATCTGATTACTTTGAGCTTAGCAAAACTATCCAATGGTTGTTAGCTATATGTCATTAACCTTAAATCTGCAAAGCAATATCTGTTCACAGTCCGTTGCCATTATGTTCTATTCTTTGATCCTAAGTTTTGTTTGTGAACTTGTTGATCTCTACTAAGCTTCCTTAGAAGGTCTAAGTTAGGAATGTGTGGATTTTTAATATGGGATTGCTTTCTCTTATGTAGGATTTCCCGTGAAAAGAAAGAGAGGCGCAAGCTTATGGCTGAGAAAATAACGCCCCGAAAATCTCGAAAGATTGAAAAATCCGAGGATGTAGAAAAGGAAGAAGAAGAAGAACCTGAGAAAAACTCTGAAGCTCTTGCAAAGAAGGGATTCCTTTCCAAAGACATCATAGACTTTCTTGCAGAGCGAGAAAAGTATTAATACTTATTATCCTTATATTTCTTGATACATAAACACTTTTAAGCTAGATAGAAAGAATGTCTAAGATTGGCTATATCTTTCATTTCACAGACAAAATGCCGAGTCAGATTCTGAAGAAGATGAGATCATAGACGAACTTCCGAGAAAGAAAAAGCAAAAAAGCTCAGGGTATGATCTAATCTATTCTCTGCTTACATATTTTAGGATCCCTCTTTGATTTTCTCTGATGAAGTCTCTCTGGTCTTGTGCAGGATCGAAACAGTTATTTACAAGGACATTCCACCACCGGAATGCTTGAAAACCGGGTTAGATTTCTTGAAGATGAGGAGAGCGCAAGTCCCGAGATCGTCTTCAGTCATCAAGAACTCCGGCCAAGCTCTTCGACTTGCCACCGGTGCTGCTTTAGCCAAGAAGCAACGACAGAGAAAGTGAAACTTAAGATGTAAAATTCATGTGGGCTCAATTCCATAACATTTTTGTTTGAGTTGGCCTTTTTGGCTACTTCTACTGCTACCTACATGTATCAGATTATTTATTACTAATATTGTTCAAACGCTCTCAACAACGCTCTCAACATTAAACTCTTTATAAAATACATCAACGTTAAGTCCAATAACACTAAGAAACTATAGGGGAATGTTTAGGAAGAATCTGAGTTTATTTCTTGCTACTATGACTATATATAGAATCTAAGTGTATATATTGATCTGAATCAGTTTTGTAGGAACTAAGAACAAATGCTACAAGTTTCTGACAATTTCAGAAACTGTATTCTCACAACAACAACAAAAAACACAAACAAAAGCAGAATTAACCAAAAGGTGTGAATCTTTGGATCAATAAGTGCTGCTTTTAGATTAAAAGCCATAACCAAATCTCTCAATTCACAGTTCTTTACCCTCTTTCCATCTCCGGGGAACCGAGCCAAACCGTCTAACGGTTCAGGCGGGTCAACCACATTGATTCTTGATGATGCATCTTCGGTTATGTCAGCCTCTCCAAGTCACCCTCTAAAAGTTACGGCTTTGTGCTTTTTTACTAAAAACTCACGTCTCTGAATCCTCTGCTTCTTCTTCTTCGACAGTAGGAAGCGAACCTTCTCTGCTGAAACCAGGGGTTAGGAACTTGGCGACGAATGCCCAAAGCTTGTAAACATCTTCAAAGTTTGTCAAGAAGCTAAGAGAAGCTGTAACAACCTCAAATCTTATAAACCCGTTTTTCCCGGCTTCATTCTGCAAGTGCAAAGCACTATCTTCTTTAGTCCGAGCTCTATGGTTTCTTGGTTTATCATCCACTATGCGTATGTGACTCAATATACCAATGCCGAGAGATATACCTTCTCTTTCACCGAGTCTCTGAACAATTTCCGGACTAACAAAGCCTTTGCTTTTATCTCTCACATTGAATGCAACCGCTGCTCCTCTTTCGTATTTGATCTTCGGCCCATAAATCTGCACAAGATTCATGTTTCTGCCTCCTGATTCAGGCACTTGTAGTTGCAGTAACGATATCACAAGCCAGTTAATCAGAAACCTGAGTCTCGTTGTGGTTCTATTAAGACCTAACATATTCACATGATCAATATGTCTGCAAACAATCTCGGTTTCGGTATCTCTCCTTTCCCATTCATCATCTGCACCCTCATCATCTCCATTTTCAACATCACTCGTGTTATTGTAATCTTCATCATAAATGCTAGCTAGAGAAGCTTCACCGGGCTCTACTATGCTATGGCTAACACGTTCCATGTTAAACGAAACCCGTCTTCCTTTGCTCGGATGTTCATCCTCCACACCCAATAGCCTGCTTCTACCGCCATCTCTTCCTCCCAATAACCTGAATTCTCCTTCTGTTTCTCGTCTAATAGCACTGTCTTTGATTTCTGATGAAATGTTGGATGATTTCAAGCCATTTGCCAAGCTATGACCGCAGTTCTCTTCCTGTATCTCTTGAACATGGAGATGGTTACTAGAGCTCCTCCTATTCCGCGATGGAGTTGAGTTTGTCCCGTGCTCTGTAACTGACATAACGGCAGCATCAAATGAGAGAACGTCATTACCATCATACAATGGACTGCTGTAACTCTTCGGTATTAGTTTAGGCGACTGTCGTTGTTTCTGGTTTCTCTTGTTGGTCAACCAAATTGGTGGCAGCGGAGATGCAATCTTATTATGCTGATCAGAACCAAGAGGACTTTGACCCAAATCAATCCAAAACGAATTGTCCGATGACTCATCTTCGCTAAAAACCGGGCTTTTCATCAATTCTCCAACCGAAACACTTTCCGTTTCTTCAAAAATTGTGGTGCTAGTAGTTCCATCTCTATCAGAAGATATGTTATCTTCTAGGAGCTCTGTTTCAAACACATCCCTCACTTGTGCTGAAGTGTATGCACCTGAGAAAGCTGGCATCTGAGTTCCCGGACGATGAGCTTCTTTGGTTTTATCGTCATCGTGATCTTGAAAACCAACCAATCCGTCAAGACCATCTACCGAATCACTAAGATATAACGGATATTGAGGCGTGATCTTCACTATACCTGATCCTGTTTTCCCAGATTGACTCTGAAGGCTTCCCATAACTGATTTTTTAATCAACAGGCAACCAAATCCCGTCGGGTCATGCCCAAATACACGGTAGAACGAGGTAATGATAAACTCAGGCCGGAACAATGACAAACCGAGCGAATCCATATCTTTGGGACCTAAAGAACCAGCATCAAGCAACACATGCCAATGGTTCTGCTGAGCTAAAGCCATCCACTGATAAGAATACTTAGTACCTGTAACACGAGACTGAGCAGGAAACACAAACAGCCCAACCGCGGAATCCTTCTTCTTCCTCTTCTTATAAGACAACCGTTTCTTTAAATCAGTCGAACAAAGCTTCAAAGTAGGCCATTTAAACCAAGCGTTATAAGCCTTTGCGCCTTTCTCCCTCGCGGTCTGCGCCATCCAATTCACAGACTGACTCTCGTGATCAAACATTGTCAAAAGCCGCTTATTCGACTGAAAAGGATAAGATTCCGCTAACAATCTGAAAGCAGAGCCTCTACTCACTGTGAAAACAAGACCATACTCATTCTCAGGGATGTTCAAATAGTCCATGATCCTAGTTTTGATATCATGTTCCACAGTTCCACTCTCAGCTCCACCGTATAGGGCGTGGTTACTCAAATTGGCAGTAATCTCAGAGAGACTAAACGTACAAGTATCCCAATAATGAAGAGTCTGAACATAAGAGAAGAGACCAAATCCACAGTAATCAAGACATACCTTTGAAGCTGATGATGATAAGTGACTATACTCATCAGATCTTAACTGATCAATCTTCTCAGAAGCTTGATACTTTGGGTACATTCTCAGAAACTTAGTCAAAGCTTCACGGAGCTCGGGAATAGAGTCTTCTGATTCGATAATACGTTCAGCTGCTAAAGCAGTGGCGCGTAGAAACTCACGCTGCGCGTGGAGTCTAGCTAAGGATCTGGAACGACCCAAGCTTCCATCACCATTATCTTGGTCAATGTCTTGGGATTTGAAGAGTGAACCATTTTCAGAAGCTTCTTCTAAAGCTTCCCTGAGCTTATCTTCATACAATTTCCGAATCAATGCAGCTTTTTTCTTGACATTGAGAGACGAATCAGAGCCATCTCTTCTTCTTCCTCTGCTCTTACTCTTGTCTAAGATCAGAGAAGCACAGTGATGAATTTGCTTCCACAGAGAGAAATGCATTTCATAAACCAAAGAATTAGGAGATTTCGGCGAAAAGGGTCATTATAAAACCCTAGAAGGTACGAATTAGGGAGAAAAAGAGAACAACTTGAAGCAGATCAAAGAAGAAAGAGCTCAAAAATGGAAACTTTGAGAGAAAACAAGAAAGATTAGTGGTTCAGGCAAAGAGTGAAGAAACGAAATTGACGGAAGAAGGAGAAGAAAGTAAAAGGGGAACAATTTCAACGAACAAAAGTACGAGAAAGACAAACACACAAGGAAGAAGGAATCCAAGAAGAGTCAAAAGGAGCTCAAACCCTAGGACCAGTCTATAGTCCAAGGAAGAGAGGGAAATAAATAAATAAATTATATAAAGCAAAAGAAGAAAAAACAGATCCCAAAATTTTGCATAGAAATTCAGAAACCACTCTCTTATGAGCAATCAATTTAATAAAAGAGAAAGCAAGAAAATTTGTGGAGAAGTTTTTCAACAATGGACCTTTAAAGGAAGTGTCTTTGAATATATAAAAGCAAAGGTGACCCCTTTCACCACCACCAATCTCTCATTTCATTTACTACTACTACAAAGACACACTGTTGAAGAAAAAGGCATTGACTTTAACAATACCCAGAACCAAAGTGGTGGTTCTTCATGAGCTGCTAATACAATAATAATGTGTGGTAATAGTTGTATCAATTATTCAATTTCCTCTAATCTTATTCTAATAAATGAAAAGATATAAGGCTAAGGTTTCAAGTCAAATAACACAGAAAAAAAAGACATAAAAGGACCATTTAGTGGGAATATTAACATAGCATATACTATTTGACATTTATTTTATTTAAAACAAGACAAAAAAAAATGACACATGAAAACACAATGTTTTGTCTTCTTTTATCGTCCCCCGAAAGAAACGCATTAACTAGTCAACTCTTGCTATTGCGGAATTTTTAAGGATATAAATAACATTTCTCTTTTGCTCTTCTCTAAAGTCCAACAAATGATGAGAAAAAAAAATGATTAAATAACAAAAACTATCTTTGTATATATCGCTGGCTGCTTGCAGGAAGATAATAATTCAAAACTTTTCACTAATTTACTATACAATTGTACATATGTTAATAATAAGTCATAACTTTTATTTATGATTACTATATGACTATAGTAATAAATATTACTATATCAGACATGTTAGTTGAAACAGACGAAATATATATGCCTACATTAATGTAATGTTGGGGTGTGGGGATACTTTTGCCTACTTTGGACTCCATAGTCCATACAAAAACAATAACACTATTATTTTGTTAGCATTAACCAAAAAAAAAAAAAAAAGAACTGAGAACAGGTTGTAGTTGGTACACACCATTAGACTCAATGACCAACCACAAAACAGTAGTGGGGAAGTTCTGCATAGAAGAACAATTGATTAATTTGCTTTTTCACTTTAGTGCAAAAATTGAAATATTTGTTTGATATATAAAGTTCTTCAATGCAGACTAAATACAATAAAGGTCTTTACTAATTTAGTTCTACTATCACGAAACCAAGAAAATTTTGTATATGATGTAATAGTGTAGTTCATCGATAGAGAGTCAAGATTATATATATGTTTTTTTTTTTCTGCGATTATATATATGTTTATTATGCATTGCATGGAACACAATGTGTTATTGATAAAATAAAATGCTCTCTGTCTTTTCCTATTTCTTATAGAACTTAAAATGGAACAATTTAGTTTAGTTACTTACTATTGTTTGGTTTTAAATCCTTTGTCCTTTTCAATGAGGCAAATTATGTGTAATGCTTTCATTCTCCCTTTTTGTGTTTATTTGATGATAAATTAGAAGAATTTACTGATGTATTAAAGGTACTCCTAAGTCCAAACGAATAATTTACTTTAAATTTATAAATAGAAAACAAAATTCAATATAACTTGAGAACTTTATCATTGTGGTACTGTACGAGTAATAAAGTTGTAGCCCCTAAAATTTCAAATTTGAATTGTGGTTTAGATGGAATAAGAGCACTGCTTTAGAATAATCGAATGCAATGTTAATTTGCAATTAAGCATTAGAGATTCCAGAATATAGTTAAAAGTGTAAAGAGGGATCTTTAAATTAAATTACTGAAACGAAAAGTATTTAAGTTACTTTGTTGTATGAAGATTGATGTAACACAAATTTTGCATAAATATAAAAATAAATTGAAAAGCTTTTTGGATATTGAAAAGATAAAAACCAGAAAATCTTGAGGTGCAGAGATTGACTTAATTTTCAGATCGGTTCGGTTTTGGTTTAGGCAAATTCATTAACCGTGCAACTAGCATCCATTACATCAGATCAGTAACAGCAACAAAACACAAAATTTGACAAGCCGTCAAGTTCTTACATGATCCATGCCTACAGGCTACTCCGTTGGAAAAAAAAAGAAGGAAAAAAGAGATTCCATTTGATTAGCCTGAGAGTACAGGCAGCAAAAGCAGAGTTCCATTCACAGTCTTTTGAAACTTCTTTCTCTCATTCAAGCTTGAATCTTACGACGTTGTCTCAGTCTTCCACCAATACTATTTGGGTTTGGTTCAAGAGACATCTTTCGCTTGCTTCTTGTTTCTCGGTTCTCTTTGTTTGCAGAGTTAGCCCTTCTCTCAGTCTCACAGCACTGACCCTCAAGATCGATGATCACAGGTGGATCCATCTCGTTCACATCTAATGGCTTGACATCACCTAGAACATGACCATCAATCACTGAAGTTTGGTTGTCCCCAGAAGACAAGAAGCTTAATGACTTTCTAGCTGAATCCGGATTCTTATTTGTGCCATCATCATCAAGATTCTCGTCAATGTGATTGTCCTGAATCCCATCAGTTATGACAAGGAGGTGATCTTCTTCTGATGATTCCTTTGCTTCTTTAAAAGAAAGCGATCTCTTAGCAGAACCTTGACTATTTGCAGCGCCTTCAGTTTCATCATCCTCACTTGTTTCCGACTGCTTGTTGGTTTGAATCAGATAATGTGCAACAGACTTGTACCCGAGTTTAAGTATCTGATAACAAAAAGAATTCAAAGGAAACGCCACTAAATTTTGAATCTATCCAAGGAATCAAAATCAAGAATTTGCAGAATGGATAATAATAATCGATATTGCTACCTTCCTGTAAGCTGGGCCAGTTGGGAGCCACCCTTTCTGTGTACGACATAAACTGCAGTTGCAGATATCGCGGCAGACTGGACAAATCCAGTCCGGATTTTCCAGAGCTTCAAGAACATGTTCTCCATATCTGTTCAAACACCAAAATATAACCTAAAACATTGAGAACCAATCTTCGTTTTGCTGAACAAAGCAAGATTGTATTCAATTGCTAAATGATTCTTAACAAAAAGACTTCTCAAAACACAAGACAGACAAGGTTGGTGGCATGGAGGCTAATGTACCTCATATATAAACAATCTCCACAGAATTGACCTCGAACCGAAGGGTTACACTGGCTGCATTGGGTATGATAACCGAGCGTCTTCTGCCTGTAAAATCCACAGTAACCATTAAGCACATAAGCCTCAATCTAACCAAATCAAGCTACCAATTTCAGAGTTAAAGCCAAGTGCACAAACCTGCACTGGTGGCAAGTCTTTCCTCTAACAGGATCATAAATCCGTTTCCCATCTTTGTCGTAACCATGGACAAATAGCTCCCAAGTTCGTTCTGTGTTACCTAACAGTTTCTCATGTTCCTCAGTGTAAATCTCTGGCCTTACGCCTTCTCCTACCCACAAAACACTCTCTTCTTTAGATGCTTTACCCTTCTTCTCAGGTTCCTCTGCGTAGCTAACTGGCGTTGCGTTCTTCAACCTAAAGACCACAACAGAAGGCAATAAAAATCATTACTTTCTATTAAAAATCTTAGTTTTCTTGATTTTGAACAGAATCAAAACAACGAAACGAGAACCATAGAGATTGAAAACGACGAGAGTACCTCGAGGATCTCCGAGTAACTGGCGGTTCCTGCTTCAATCTGATAATAAAACAACGAAATGATAAACATTGATTTCTACTTAAAAACCCTAGATTTTTCTCTAAACCCCCAAATTTTGGAAGATTGAAGCAATATGAACAAAATCGAGAAAACTCAGAGACTGAAAACCGAAGAGAGTACCTTGAGGATCGTCTAGTGGAGACGGAAAGCTGAAGAGGAGGAGTATCTCGACCCGGATTCGGATTAGAGTTACAGTAACGCCTTTTGGCGGGTCGGATATCGGATTTGAGTTTGAGAGAGAGATCGAAGATGCCGAGATTCTGCATCCTCTGAAGATTCTCCTTGATCCTGTCTTCTCTGCATTTCTCGTAGATCGAGACGTTTGAGTTTCCTCCTCCGACTGTTGGATTAGGGTTTGAGATGGGAATCGAACATTTGGCTCTCGTTCTCAACACAGGCATTGTGAGATTGATGAACTGATTTTGGTTTCAAAGTTCCAATCTTTCCCTCTCTCTCTCTTTGGATCTCTGGATAAGAAGAAGAAATGGTTTTTTCAAGGTCAGATTTTTTTTTTTTTACTTTAGTGAGTGAGTGAGTGAAGAGGAACAGCAACGGTCGGGTTTTTTTACTCTTTTAAAATTCAAAATATTTTTACCTTTTTTGGTAAATGTGCTTAATTTGCTAATAAAATTATAAAAATGTTGATTGGGTGTAAAATGGAAATTGTGACCCCAAAAAAAAAAGGATGCAAAATGGAAATCATATTTATTATACAGCTGTAATATAGAGCTAAATTGTGGGAATAAATAAATATCTCTAAGTAAATAAATTAATTTTTATTAATGGGCCTTAGGCTTTAATAACGGCCCATATTTGATCAAAATTGTGCTGCGAAGAAGTAGCCGCCATTCTTTTTTTTTCCGTTCGTTCCTGGAGATTTCGTGTATATATATATCTTAGGTCTTAGCTTCTATCTTCGCACTTTTTTTTTTCTCTAGACGAAGCTTAACGATCGTAATAGTCATGGCGACCGCTTCAGGTACCACGATTCCTTCAATTTCTTCTTCTATTACTTGAACCTAATTCTCAATTTCACTGTTAAATTCCCGTTGGTCATCAAGAATCTCGCTTCTGATATCTTCTTCTTTCTTTAAATTTACACACTTGAAAATTAGGGTTTTTACTGGTTTTGGTTTTTGGTTAGATTCAATTTGGTGATACTACTTAGGATTCTGATTTAAAGTTTGATGCTTTGGGTGATTGATTTTCTTCTCTTTGTTAGTGATCGAATTCTTGATTGTGTTTTCAATGTTTGAATGTTGTCTGATATATGTTTCTATGTGATCTGCAGTTGCTTTTAAGTCTAGGGAAGATCATAGGAAGAAATTAGAATTAGAGGAAGCTCGTAAAGCTGGTCTTGCTCCTGCTGAGGTCGATGAGGATGGCAAAGAAATCAATCCTCACATACCTGAGTATATGTCAAAAGCTCCATGGTATCTCAACTCTGAAAAACCGGTATGCCAAAATTCTCTCTATGTTTTCACTTGCTTTCTCTGCATTGTCTTTGGTTGAAACATGCACACTCAATACTCTGTAACTTTTTTTGTTGGTTCGTACAGAGTTTGAAGCATCAAAAGAATTGGAAAACTGAACCCGAACTCAAAAGAATATGGTATGATAGAGGTGCAAAGATCCATCAAGCCGAAAAATACCGCAAGGGAGCGTGTATAAACTGTGGTGCAATGACACACAGTTCTAAAGCATGTATGGATAGACCTCGTAAGATTGGAGCTAAATACACAAACATGAACATTGCAGCTGATGAGAAAATCGAGAGTTTTGAACTTGACTATGATGGCAAGAGGGACAGATGGAATGGTTATGATCCTTCATCTTACCGTCATGTGGTAGATCGTTATGACGCAAAAGAGGAGGCACGGAAGAAGTACCTGAAGGAGCAGCAACTTAAGAAACTAGAGGAGAAGAACAATAATGAAAACGGTGATGATGCAACCAGTGATGGGGAGGAAGAAAATGACGACTTAAGGGTCGATGAAGCCAAGGTTGATGAGAGCAGGCAGATGGATTTTGCAAAGGTGGAAAAACGTGTTCGAACAACTGGTGGTGGTAGCACAGGAACTGTTAGGTATGGACTACTCTTCATCAAATATGATAACATAGGTTTAAATTGGTGCTTTTACTTGATGCACTAATGGTGTTACCTTTTTCTTAACTTCAGGAATCTGCGTATCAGAGAAGACACTGCAAAATACCTGTTGAACCTTGATGTCAACTCAGCTCATTATGACCCTAAAACTCGATCCATGCGTGAAGATCCACTTCCAGATGCAGATCCAAATGAAAAATTCTATTTGGTTAGTTTCTGATCGTCGTGAATCATGTACTTGTATCTATAATTATTTGATGATATTAAAATACTAACCATCTTTTCTTTCTTACCATCTATCCAGGGAGATAATCAATATAGAAACAGTGGCCAAGCTCTGGAGTTCCAACAGCTAAACGTCCATTCATGTGAAGCATTTGATAAGGGACAGGACATGCATATGCAAGCGGCTCCTTCCCAAGCTGAATTGCTCTATAAGAACTTTAAAGTTGCAAAGGAAAAACTGAAATCTCAGACAAAGGACACAATCATGGAAAAGTACGGGAATGCAGCTACCAAAGGTGAAATTCCGATGGAGCTTTTGCTTGGCCAAAGTGAAAGACAAGTTGAGTATGACAGGGCAGGCAGGATTATAAAGGGACAGGAGGTGATAATTCCAAAGAGCAAATATGAAGAAGATGTTCATGCTAACAATCACACAAGTGTTTGGGGATCATGGTGGAAAGATCACCAGTGGGGATATAAATGTTGCCAGCAGACCATTCGCAACAGCTACTGCACAGGTTCTGCTGGAATTGAAGCTGCAGAGGCATCCCTTGATCTGATGAAGGCTAATATTGCTCGCAAAGAAGCTTCTAAAGGTTTGTGTTGTATGACTCTGTTTGTTCTTCTAGTCTCTTGTTTTGTTCCTGTTGCACTGAATGAGAAAATTATTTTGTAACATTGGTTTATTTTGGTGATCAGAGAGTCCGAAGAAGGTTGAAGAGAAGAGAATGGCGACATGGGGAACCGATATTCCTGAAGATTTGGAATTGAACGAGGAGGCACTTGCCAATGCTCTTAAAAAGGTAAGAGACCACAGTTTCAGTTCATAGTTTCTCTTGGCAAGACTGTTTCTTTACCCTGCAAGGTTTATCTGACATGTTGTTGTTTGTGTGCAGGAGGATCTAAGTAAGAGGGAAGAAAAAGATGAGAGAAAACGCAAATACAATGTCAAATACACCAACGATGTGACTTCGGAAGATATGGAAGCTTATAGAATGAAGAGAGTTCACCATGATGATCCAATGAAAGATTTCCTCGGCTGATTTCAACTCTTTCCCTTTCACCATATTAACCTGAAGAAACCTTATTTTTAACTTTTAAGTCTTAAATAAGAGACCTTTCTTATTCATATCATTATTTGTTACTGTCTTCAAGATTCATTATATAGGACAAATTATGATTTTAACAAAACGTATGAATCTAGAATAAAATTTCTTAGCCAAACCAAATTCAGCATATTGTATATAAACCACCGCTAAACGGTATATGAATTTTGGTCCAATCAAACCGAATCCCTTAAAAAAAAATTTAAAGGTAAAACTGGTTTTTGCAAAAGAGCCCTCCAAGTTTGTTACAAAGTGAAAGAAAGCTATTAAATATTCATATCTATAATTCTATCCCGTCTCCAACTACAATTGATTTTAACGAGAGGGGCTTTTGAATTTTTTTGCTCAACTTCCAAATCGTCGCCGGCGATATAAACCCTAGATTTGATTCGCCGCCGGTTATATCCAGCAATGTCGTTGTTTACCCCACAGCAACAACAGACGCCTCAGTCGCTGTTTCAAACTCAGCAACAGTTGTTTCAGCCGCAGCAAACCAATTCCATCTTCTCCCAATCGCAACCGCAGCAAACCAATTCCATCTTCTCGCAACCGCAGCAGCAACAGCAACAACAACAGCAAACGTCGTTGTTTCAGCCGCAACAGTTCCAGCAGCAGCAGCAACAACAACAACAGCAAAATCAGCAACAGCAAGTACAACAACAGTTGTATTTGTTCACCAACGATAAAGCTCCGGCTAATTACAGTACCAAGTGGGCCGATCTTAATCCCGATTCTCAGAAACTCTTGCTTCAGATTGAGTATGTTTTTCTTTAAAACGCGTAAATTCGTTTCCTTTTTCTCCTTAGGCTTTGCTTTAGAGCTTACGGTTATTTGTTGAATTGTTCTTGTTCAGATTGTGATATCTTAATAAATTTAGAATCTTTTTGATGCCGTTGATGCTTATCGATTCTGTGTGTTATCTTTAGAGAGAAGATATTGGAGCATAGAAGTGAAAGTCAGAGATTAGATCAGTGTAGTCGACTTTATGATTCTTCTGTATCCAGTGAAGGGTTTGAGTTTGATGCTAGCCGCATTGTTCAGGTTTGTGGATTGTACCGTTTTATTGTTTCTTAGAGGAATCTTCTGGTTAGCTCAAGTTTGTTTGTGTAAGAGCTTCGTTTGTTAACTTGTGTAGGAGCTTGGTGGGATTAATACTGCCATGGACCGACAAAAAGCTGTTCTCCATGAGCTTATGATTGTTGCCAAAGATATGCTGCGTAATGCGGAGATTGCAGTTCGGTCTTTTATGATGCTACAGCCAAGATTTCCTCATTGGAAACAAGGAGGAGGAGTTGTTAGTGTTGGTTCTCAACCATCCCAGGGGCAGGGAACAAATCCAGCTCCAGCTTCCTCTGGTCAACAACAAGCAGTTACTACGATGGTTCAAGTTTCTGATTTTTACCGTGGGATTCCAAAGAAACCGACAGCTTTTCTACTGCAAACAGTTGGAAGGTTTGAGAAGTATCTAAATGAGTGCCGCCAATGGGTTGAAGAGCTGGAGCAATTGCTCGCCTTGGATTCTGACAAGTATAGTCGACATGCTTCCCTTTTAGAATCTCTTCCAAAAGTCATGTCTAATGTTCATGACTTCTTTGTTCATGTGGCTGCTAAGGTAAACCGCTTAATGATTCTTTCTACTAAACCTCCAGTTTAGAAACCCTTTTTGAAATCTGTGTAACCTTTTATTGGTTTGAATTTGTTGTGTTCAGGTAGAGAGTATTCACCAATATATTGAATCAATGAGAACATCGTATCTTGCTGACCAGCGCCGAAGAGGAGAATGCCATGATCCGTTTCTTGAGGCTGATCGAAGGGAGACAGCAAAGCAGGAAGCAGCTGCTAAAAGAGTCCACCCAACTCTGCATCTTCCTGCTTCTACTACAAGTACACAACCCTCAACACAGGTTGCTGGGCTGATTGCCAGCTCAGCCACTCCTGGGGCTTCAAATCCTCCACAGACATCTGTTCCAACATCAAACCCTTCTTCAGGAGCTGGTTTTTCGTTTCTCAACACACCTGCTTCTGGACCTTCGTCTTCTATCTTTGCTACACCATCTTCTACTGCTCCTACCTCGTCTTTGTTTGGACCATCCCCTACTCCCGCACAGACACCACTTTTTGGGTCTTCCCCGGCTTCTACATTTGGTTCCACTCAATCTTTGTTTGGCCAGACAACTCCATCACTTGCTATGCCTTCACCATTTGGAGGTACAGTTCATTGTCTGTTTCCCTAATTCTCATTTGATATAGGTAGAGTTGATATCAGGATTTGTTCTTGTCGTAATCTTGAGTTCTGCTATTTGTTCTTGTCATAAATAAGTTTTGTTATTTGTTTCCCCTTAGGCGCTACACCAGGATCAGGAGCCAGCTTTGGTTCTATGACAGTAAGTACATTTTTCGGCTGTAAATTCTCATTTTCATCAGATAAATTTTGTTAGATCATTATGTCCTAATCTAACAATTGCATTCGATTTGTGCTTCCTTCAGTCACGTCCTTGGAATATTGTCTGATACTGAACTTTTTTTCTCTCCCATTGCAGAAATCTTCAAGGCCAAAATCTCGAACTACACGCCGTTAGACACGGGGTATCCCAAGTTTCATCCATCAGACTGTGACAACATGTTCGTTTACATGGCTGGAGTTCATCATCACTTGGTGAAGTCGAGTTTGGTGCAAGTCGAAGCAGATCCGCATTCTCTGATGCACCAGTTTGTATTTGTGGCGTTATTCATTGAATTGATGATTGAATGTTCTTAAAAAGCACTATCTTTGTACCTCATCTTGACAATGCTATTGTTGTAGAAATGAGTTTTTTTTCAGGAATCTTATTCATATAAATAGTCACCCCCATGAAACATCTTTGCCTATCATGGTGGTGAAAACTGAAGTTTGCTACTAATACCTCAATTTAGGGTATTTGTCAGCAATCCTTAGAAGACGATCACACAGTTCAAGTGGCTTGGAGAACATCGGCATATGATCTGCATCTTTGATCTCCATCACTTCTTCGACCGGAAAGTTCTCGATAATCCATCGCTGAAATTCTTCAGTTAAACCCTTGTCTTCTTGGCATACAATATACACACGAGTAACTGAACCATATCCTTCCTCCGTTAAGCTTCTAGTACCCGTCAGGTTTCTGGTAACCGCTGGTCCGACTCTCACCAATGTTTTGACCAATTCAAAATCCTAACTCAATCACCAAAAAGGTCCCATTTAGGATTTTGAACAAAAAGAAAACAGAGTATTTCTTGAGTCTTACTTCGATTGGAGAAAGTTGATACATCTTCTTGGCTAAGTATTTAGTTCCAAGAAGAATAGTGGTTAGAGGACGATCATGTGTCCCATATGTCCCAAACTCCATATTTAACCTGTCTTCTTCCATAACACTCCCGAGATACTGTGCCATTACACTCACAAGTCAGAATCTTGATTGGATAATAGCCAAATGATTTCGTTATCATAATCAAAATCAATAGAACTAGTCAGTTTTGATGTACCTTTTCGAAAACGTAAGAAGGTGGATTCGTTGTATCAGGCATGAAAGAGGTTATGAAGACAGCAACAGAGATCTTACTAGGAAACATGTCGGCTGCAAGACCAACTGATATCCCTCCGAGGCTATGTGCAACGAGGATAACCTTATCCTCTGAACCAAACGACTCAAGAACCTTAAGCAACGGCTTAGCGTAATCCTCCAAAGTCTGAATCTCTTCCACTTTGCTCATGTTCACACCAGAAGCCGTAAGATCAACAACGGTCACACGGTGGCCTGAAGCTTCCAGCACCGGTTTGACCTTGTACCAGCACCATGCGCCGTGGCAACCGCCGTGAACGAGCACATATTGTTTCATGTTCTCTTCCTCAATTGATTCTTATTTTTCTTTTCTTTCTTCTATTCTTGTGGTTGCTTTGTTGTTCTTCATTTATGGTGAGACAGTTTCTCATTGAATTGTCAGTGTCACTTTCCAATTATTTTGGACTCATTAGACATTACTTATTACCTCGTGACTAAATTCTATTGTTGTGGTTGTTTTTATTGATACTGAATGATGGAATGTGATACAGTGATAGTATCGTAATGGAATTGTATTGTTTTTATTTTTGTTTTCAAAAATCTTATTCCAATGAAAATTATTGGTATAGGGTATTAATACTGTAATACATAGTCTTGCTTACGCATATTTATCAGCAATCTTTAGAAGACGATCACAGAGTTCATGAGGCTTGGAAAACATAGGCATATGATCTGCATCTTTGATCTCCATCACTTCTTTAACCGGAGAGTTCTCGATCATCCATCGTTGAAAATCTACACTTATACCTTTATCTTCTCCGCTTACAATATACACACGACTAATCGATCCATATCCTTGTTCCGTTAAGCTTTTAGTCCCGGTCAGATTACTAGTTATAGCCGGTGCAACTCTCATCAACATTTTGGCCAATTCATAATCCTAACAATCAACAAACAATGATTCATCAAAAAAAAGAGTCCCAAATTGTGTTTTGGTTATAAAAGCAGAGCATTTTCTTGAGTCTTACTTCGATAGGAGAAAGTAGATACATATTCTTTAAGTAATTAGGTCCAAGAAAAGCAGTCATTAGAGGATGTTCGTTTGTTCCATAGCAAGAGCAGCTGGTATTCCTCCAAGGCTATGAGCGACGAGGATTACTTTATCATCCGAGCCAAACGATTCAAGAACCTCAAGCAACGGCTTAGCGTAATCCTCCAAAGTCTGAATATCTTCTACTCTGCTCATGTTCACACCAGACGCCGTCAGATCAAGAACCGTGACACGGTGGCCAGAATGTTCCAGCATCGGCTTCACCTTGTACCAGCACCACGCGCCGTGGCAGCCTCCGTGAACAAGCACATAATGCTTCATCCTCTCTGTTTCTTGTTTCGTGAGTGTTTTGCTTCTTTTTTTGGTGTGTGGCTGAAGTGATGATCTCAATTTTTATCAGTGGTTACGGTCTCGACATTATCGCTTTAAAATGTCTTTGTATTATAGATTTTTTTTAATTTTTTTTTATTTTTTTGTGTTATAGATTTCGGTTTTGGATTCTTCGTTATTGTCAGTCAACCACTCTGTTTCGTGGCTATATCTATCTACTTTTAGAATTTTGAATGAATACATTTTCTTTTATCGACAAAACGTCTTTGTCAAATCTGAAAATGAGAAAGAAATCAATGATTAATACTAATATTAAGAAACAAATCCATTACTGTCCATTGAAATGGGTGATTTGATTGATGGGATTTGAAAATAATGTGAGATAAAGATAAATTTTGTAATAAATTTCTTTGGTGAAATTCACATAGAAAAATCTATGAGATTTTGCAAAAATTAATTCCTATGGATGTGAAATTATTTTAAAAGGCATATTGATAAGTGATGACTAGTTAGGATTGGTTTGAATTCAGTTTCATTTACATCAAAATTTGATTTCAAACTGAGAAGTTCTAGTATCAAATTTGGTTTCTAATTCAGGAAGGTGGTTTAGATGCATGAACACAATCTGAATTTTAAGGGAGCAAAAAAAAAGAAACAAATCATTAGACAAAAGAAAGTTTTTTCCTTCCTTCTTATTTTGTCTTTTTATTGAAAAATCAATAGCTTTTCCGTTTTGACTACGTTTGTATTTTTTTTCCACTCCACTTAATTGTGACCTAATTCAGTAGAAAAGATAACAATGATAAATGTGAAAGAAAAAAAATCTCTAAAGGGGACGTTTGGCTTTGCCGCAATAAAGAACGTTAAGAGGCGGTTCAGCTTCAGTGTAGGGAGACTTCTCATCGTTCCAAACACGAACATAAAGCTCTTGTCCTAAATACCTCCTCGACCATATTTGTGACCTTAGATTCCACATTCCTTTGTTATCCAATGACACCAATATGCTTGTCCACGATAACGGATACACCTTCACACACACACAATCATCGTTAATTTACTTAGAATATTCAATCGTTTTGTTTCTAAATAGAGATTATTACCTGAAAAGTGTGTCTTGGAACAGCATCAACCAAGTTGTAACGTTTCCTCATGGTCACATTCCATGTTCCTGATCCGTATCTGAAAAAATAATCAATTACGTACGGTTTAAGTTTGAATAACCGGACCCGGTTTAGATAACAGTGAGGGCAAGGTGCTTGCTTACCCGACAGCATAGGCGCTAGTACCGTCCATGTGCCAAGATTGAATTGATCTTTCGTCGTTTTGGAAAACGATTTCGACGAACTCATGAAGTTCAACATCGATGACCGATGTACCAAAATGAGCGGGTCCGGTTGTAGGAGTGCTAATGATTGTCTTGAGATCGAACACGCCCGAGATGTTGTACCAATCGGCGAGTTTTAATGGTGTTGTTGGATTGATGTATGATATTCGGTTTACTGTGTACCGAAGTTTCCCGTAGATCAATGTGGCCGCATTGGCTAGGACTAGAGTTCTGTTTATCGGTATAGTCCCGTAATGAAATGATCCTTGTGGGTTTGGCCTTGCAGCATTTGCCGTCAAATTCATCCTAAAAATCAGAAAATTAACTCAAATTAAACAGATCCCATCTAAATTTGTATGGTTTGGTTATGTTCGGTTTGGTATGAATACCTTATGGTTCTTGCTTGTTTCATAGACCAATGGATATGGTAAGTAGGACCAATGGGGAGGGGGCCATATGCAGCGTTTTTGGAGCCTTGGTAACGGAGACTCGCGGTTGTGGTTAGTACCGGTTTAGTAAACCGGGTTGAGGCCACGATGAAATAGTCCCTCACAGAAGCTTTTAAAGTGACCAGGACGGTCATGGACTGACCAACGTGGACGTCAAGCGACTCATAGTTCTCCTGAAGAGTGTGAGCGCCTTCTACTTCAATGAGGCTCATTGTGTGATTTTGAATCCTAAAATTTATCGATGTCGCTATACCGACATTCGATACCCGGAACATATATGTTTTACCTTAAGATAGACAATGAAATTAAATACATAGACTTAGTGCAAGACCATGCATGATGTAAAATTAAAGGCTGATATTGATGGATTTATGTGATGGCATTACCTTGTTGACCGGTAAAGATTAAACCTTTAGAAACTCCATTGATGAGAAGAGCATCAGGAAGAGGAAGAACAGAGCCTTCGTCGAGCCCTTTTCGCAAGTCCTAGTGATCACAATAATAGGTAAAGAAAAACATTAGTATATAATACAATGACGCTTTCATGTGTGCACGTGATACATATGTCATATGTGTATAATACAATGACGCTTTTATGTGATATTTATATATATATACATATAAACCAAATTTAAACATCAAATTTACTTTTAATTCATTTACATAGGACTTTTGAATTGATCCTGAGTGCATGTATATAGGCTTTGTATTGGTATGTACCTTGTGGGTCATATTTGAGAACCAGTCAGAGACGAGGAGGGTGAAATCTCCATCGGGTGTTGGATAAGGAGTCGTAATAACAGCTCTCTGGTTAATGTTGAGAGCACCAAAAGCACCACTGGCTCGGTGCATCGACGTGGAAGCGAAGTAAGTGTAAGTACCGATTTGGTCTTTAAGTTGAAACTGGTAAGTCCAGTTCGAGTTTGGTTGGATCGGACAGTTTGTTCCCAATACTCCATCTTGCCACGATGTCCTCCTCTGCTTCACTCCATTCCTACACATATATTACAAAACCGTGTTAAAGATTTTTTTTCCAAATTTGTCTAAGCGCAATTAGCACAATCAGTTATATAGTTAGAGTTACCAGGTAATGAGGAATGGCTCGTCGAGCTTGTTAATGAGATTAACAACAATGTTGTTGTTTGTGACCGCTTCAATCGCTGGACCAGGGAACTGTCCATTGATAAGAATGACCTACATCGTACCAAAATATAGAAATTGCATGAACTAATGTCAAATTTTTATAACAACAATAACATACTTAAAAAGAACAAAGAGTGTATTTATTCATACCTGTTGAGGAACACCTAAAGGAGATCTTGTACCATAAGTAATAGTCCAAGTATAGAACATATATGGGTCTTCTGCATTAACCAAAACAGAGCCTAACCAAAACAGGGCTCCTATGAATAATTTACATAGCAGCAGATTGGTCTGTTTCATTTTTGTAAGACGAATAGAATCTAATCTTGATCTCTCTCTCTCTCTACAAGATTCAAGATCAAGAACTAGACTATTTGTTTGTTTGTGAGTATATGTTTTGGGTTCCACCTAAGGACAATCTTATATACATGTACGAAGCTAGAGATGGGACTAAGTAAGTGTCAGTATATTATTAAGTTTTGTCAGCGAGGACGACGTGAATCCCCATGCATCACACAAAAGCCTCAATTGCTCTTTTGCGGCGTACTTCATGCAAAATGCTTGCCTTGACAACTTTTTATTTTAAAATTTTACGCGATTTAGTTATATATGAGATTTGTAATTATCATAGATATGTGTACTAACTAGGATTACTTAAATAACCAAGTTTTATTTGTCGGCAAGAGTATATATAACCAAATTTTTTTCTGTCAAAAGAGAATATAACCTTCTTCTGTTTTTGGCAATAGAGTAAATTAATAACCATTTTTCTATATCGAATAAAAGAAGAAGATGACCAAGTGTTACATTTGACCCACTAATTTTGAGTGAGTAATTGATCCAGTATATAGTTGATCTATACACAATACACTAATAGCTTATGCAATTTAAGTTTGGAATTTCTTATCAGAAGTCAGAACTATGTTGATGGGGAAGAAAATAGCTAAGGTGGCAAATGACTTGGTAGTTGTGCATACAAATTTTTTAGGAATTAACAAAAAATGTGTTTTGAGATTTGACTTTGGAATTATAAATTACATTAAAAGGGGAAAAAAATAGATTACAGGAGTCTGGAAAAGTAGATCTTGATCTATGATTAAATTCTGTGTTCCCTTATACGTAAAATAGTTTAAATATATGGGTTGACTTTCGAATTTGATATATGCACAAAGAATCTATAATTAAGAAAACCAACGAATCACGAGCACATAATTAATTTCTCAAACTAATTAAAACAAAGAGTGTGCTTCTATGTTATATCTCACGAGATTCCAATTAGCATTAGATATATAGTTTTTGTAAAATAAAGTTAAAAGAAAATAAAGTCAAACCAAATGCTAATGAGTTGAAACCATGAGACATGGTGATGCATCCCTAGAAGAGATCACATATTGGGAACAGAAAGAAACTCTAATTAATCACACATGAATTCGTTACCACTAATTAAGCTCGCTTGTACCATGTGAATCTATATACACAATTTGTACTAACATGCATGTGCATGCTTCCTCAGTCCTCATCTTACGAAACTTGCCTTGAGACAAGTAAATCGATTTCAGAGCCATTAATGGATTCGTCCTTTCTCTTTTGGAGTTTAGGAAGTTTCATGCGTTTGTTCCTTAATCTCTCCAATGGTTATTATATGTACATCAAGGTTCTACAAAACATAAATATTTAAACAATGTACAATTTCTATGACTCTCTGACTAATTTGCAATTGTAGTTGAAATCAATCATATATAGTGGCAAAAAGTGGATGTATCAAAATAAGTTTTTTTTTCGTTACCAATAATCTCTGCAAGAACATTGTCCATTCTCAAAGCAATGAAACCGAGTAGAGTCCCTTACGGTTATCTTCCTCTTTGTGATTTTCGATATGAACTTAATAGCACTGTGACAATCCACACAAGACCTCAAGTTCTTAAACACCTTAATCGCCGTTCCTTCTTCTGTCGATAGAATCGCAAACGCAACAGCAAGTTTCTCGCTATGATACACAAGATTCTCTTCTTTTTGTTCATCTTCTACATCGTGCAATACAAGACTTGTAGCGGGAACATACCCTTCTTCTTTCATCTTCTTCCTCAATTCACCCAAGAACTCAACTATTTGGTTATACATTGGATGTGAAGTATCCGCTGCTATGAATACGTGACGCTTCCGTTTTATCTCGGTCCAGCTTGAACCAGGCTTTTTGGTGATTCCTATTTCTTGCATTCTCTTTCTCATTTTCCCTTCTTCCTCCCATTTACCTGCTGCAGCATAGATATTAGCCATTGTAACATAAGTAACAGGATTTTCCGGTTCTATCTTGAACAGTTCCTGAGCCGCTTCCTCTGCTAGGTCAATGTTTCCGTGAGTGCTACACCCACCGAGCACGGAAGCCCATAGAAACTTACTCGGTTTCATCGGCATTTCGCTAATGATGCTCTTTAACTGTTCGAATCTTCCAGACCGAGCTAATAGATCAACAAGACAAGTGTAATGATCAGAAGTATGCAGTAACCCGTGTTTCTCTGATATGGAATAGAAGAATTCGAGTCCTTTTTCGACCAACCCGGCATGAGTACAAGCGGAGAGGACGTTTACAAAGGTTACATGATCAGGTTTCGTGCCGGATTTGAGGAGGAAGTCGAAATACTTCAAGGCTTCATCAGGTTTCCCATTCTGGGCATACCCACCGATCAAAGAAGTCAAAGAAACTAAATCGGGTTTAGGACATCCATCAACAACATGTCTTGCGCTCTCAATGTTTCCACATTTCGTGTACATGTCTACAAGAGAGCTTGATGCAAAAGAGTAGGGATCAAACCCAACTCTTGTCATGTATCCATGAACTTGCTTCCCTAGCTCTTCTGATGTGAGATCAGCACAAGCGTTCAAAACTCCAGCAAAAGTGTACTCATTAGGCCGTTCACAAGAACCTACCAACTCAGAAAACAAAGAAAACCCTTCTCGCCATCTACTAGACTTGAAATATCTATCTATCATTGATGTCCATGAAACAACATCTTTGTCAATTATCTTATCGAAGATGTTTCTTGCTTCATCAATACAACCACATTTTCCATACATATCCATCAATGAACTCCAGAGCACCTCATCTGAATCCAAACCAGCTCGAACGATATGCCCATGAATCTCTTTCCCTCTACGGATACATTTAATCGCAGCAGCAGCAGCCACCGCACTGGAAACTGTAAAAATGTTGGGTTTGGAATTCGGTACTCTTTGCATCAAACTATACAGAACCAATGCCTCTTCAGGCTGATCCTTCTTAACATAACCCGTAACCATAGCCGTCCACGAATAACTATCTCTTTCAGGCATTTCATCAAACAGCTTTCTCGCTTCCTCAAGCAACCCAACCTCCGCATACCCATTAACCATTACATTCCACGAACAAACATCTCTCTCCGGCATTTCATCGAACACCTTCCGTGCATCAACCAAGCTACCACATTTCGCATACATTCCCAAAATACGGTTCCATATAACAATCCCAGGTACAAACCCAGAAGTCCTAATGTGTTCATGGACCTTCTTACCTTCTTCAAGCGCGCGTGTTTGGCTGCAAACTTGAATAAGATTGCAATAAGTAGAAGCAGGTGGCTTCTTTGCTCGACCCAGAAGTTGAACAGCTTCTCTTAAAAGCTTCTGTCCACATAAAACATCAATGGCTTCACCAAATCTATTAGCTCTACATAATCGCTCCACCACAACACCACCGTCCTCGAGCTTCGAATTGAAGAACTTTTTATCTGAAAATCGCTTCTGTGAGGCGTAAGAAGAGGATGATAGGTTTCTCTTGAATATCAATCCATGAAAAGTACTTAACTTTCTCGCATTTGCTCGATTCATCATCATCTTCACCAAAAACAAAAAGTTCAAATTCAAAGATCTCGTCGGCGGCAACAACATAAGAGAATCCACCGATTGTTTTACTTTTAAGAAACCTTCTAAATGACTTGGAAGGATCCACAGTCTTGTATAAAGACAAAATAAAAACAAAAAAGCTCCGATGCCGGGAATCGAACCCGGGTCTCCTGGGTGAAAGCCAGATATCCTAACCGCTGGACGACATCGGATTTGTTGTTCTAGTTATTAATAAAACAAATATAATCCCAAGTTATATTTAATTTCTGCCGAATCATTTTTATTTTATTTGTTTTGAAATGGAATCACTCATTGTTCCTTGTTTGTCACTAGAAAACAGCATCTTATTTGATTATTCATTCATCTTTACAAGATAAAACTAAGACCATCCAAACAATCAACTTTTTTGGTTGTAGAGAATGAAAGAATCTTTGAAACTATAAACATCCATTGTTTGCCAATTACCAATAAATATCTTCAGATACATTATTCGATTAGAATATATAGGTAATCATTCACCATTTTGATTGTTTTTTTTAAGTTGATCAAAGAGTTTTAGTTCGTAATCCATATATAACATCTTTCTATTTTAAGATAAGTGTCTATTTTTCAAGTAAGAGTTGAACTATATAAGATTCAATTATTGATGAAAAATATTTTAAAAAATTATATGACTGAAACGAAGTTAACAATCAAGCCATCGGATTCTTACTTATATCATCAACCAAAGATATCATTGGATTCTGGCAGATAGAAACGAAGAACCTTATCCTTAAATTAGATAGACAGAGCAAAAGCCATCGTTTGTTACAACTTTTGTAAGAACAATAATACAAAAAAGGTTCGGGACACGTGTCGTGAACCCACGATGGAGAATCTAATCAATCAACGGTATCAAAATCTCGACGTACTTATTACAAACTCGAGACGTTTCAGTTCCTCTTTCAAAGAAAAAAACGATTCTCATGAAAAAAAAATCTATATTAGTTGTACACGTGTCACGATATAGTTGGCTAACAGTGAGCCGTTTCTTTTGGTCCGTCCGTTAGATTCCTTGTGGTCTTTATTGTTTATAGGTCTTAAGACATTTTACATGCTACGGTGTTTTGGAATATTTTTTGTTAGAGGAATCAAAATATTTTTGGAAAAATTAAATGCTATTATAAAATTGAAAGAAATTTGTATTTGGCTAGCAAGAAAAAGCGTGGAATAAAAGTTGCTTTGCGTTGTGGGATCTTTTACATTGGATTATGCGAAAGATCCTTTTTGCTCATTGCTAGTGTTCTTGATTTTTTTTTTTTAATGAATGTAAAATTCTTCTTCTTCTTCTTGATTTTTTTAAATATCATTTCATCGAACAATATTAAGATGTAACTCAGTTTTAACGATGTAAGTTCTGATTAGTAATAACATGGATGAATAGTGAAATAATTATGCAAGAACTAATGGTGCTACATAAGAATTCAACCTAGTTTCTTGATTTCTTTAACTTTTTCATAAAACGATAACGATAAGCAACTAAAACCATTAAAAGGGCACTATAAAGTATAAACACAATGGTTACGTGATTTCTTTAAACTAATGCTCACTGTGAATGTAAATGGACGTTGCGTGTGGTAAAAAAAGACAAATAGATCTTTTGACCACTTCACTCTTTCAGTCTTTCTAAATCACATATATACGCCGATATGTGTCGATTTCTAGTAATTTGTGTTAGAAAAATTTAATATAATTGTCTATTCGATAAGACAAACTAAAGCGAATATGTCCTATACTAGTAAAGATTAATTATTTCTACGGCTCTACTAATTTAGTCTAGTTATATGATAGGAGTACATACTGAAAAGTACAAATTTATGTATCGTACTACTTACATAAACGTACATGTGCGTTTGGCCAATCTAAGAAAATCGTTTTACTAAACCCAATTGTTTAGTTTGAATGTTTGATCGATTATTAAACGAGTGGTTCTATTCCATGAAACCGAGATTTGCGTATAGCTATGTGTTTGAGATACAAATGTATATCCATAGCCCATAGGCCATACACCCGTACCAGACGATGTGCTTTAAACAGGTATATTAAGCGGGTTTGTATCCGAATGATGTCATGTATCAATGTTTATAATTATACCAGAACGAAAAATTTAATATTTTATTCATATTCAATTTTAATTTGCGTGGTACATACCTTTTTATACTATCACTATTTAATCTCATATCATGTTGACTATAAATTTATAACTTTCAAGTTCATAAATCATAACATTTCGGTTATATAAAGTCAATATTTGTTGTAGTCTAAATTTTCTTTATTTCAAACTTAAATTTTTTACCCAAAAATGTAATTTATCTACTTTTAATTTTACTTGTAACATCTTTTAAAAGTATTTTTTTTTCTTATTATAATTGTTAAATTAAGGAAATAAAATTTTATGTATTATACTATAAGAAAATATAAAATTTGATTTTTTCTTTAAGAAAGTAGAAAAACTAATAAATTTGATCTTTCTTAGTTATAGTTTTATTTTATTAATTCGTTATTTTTTAAAGTGTTATCCAATTCTTGAGTTTGTTTATTTTCCCTTTTTTATTTTTAGTCTTACAACAGATTATTTTTATATAAAATCTAAAATAAAACAAATATTTAGTGGGATGTTTCACAGCCTGAACCACTACTTATGCAGAAAATAGTGTTTGTACAATATTATAGATTCTTCACAATCCTTTTTTTCTAATTTGGAAGAATATTAAATACAGGATAACAGGAATATGAGAATCTTGAATGGGAAGCACTAAAAATTAAAAATAACAAGTTTCCCAAAACTGAAAATTGTAATATTATTAATAGCCGAATTAAAAGGAAAAAAATCCTTAAAGAAAAAAAAAAGGAGAATAAATATACAAGTGAGTGTAACGATTCGCCGCGTGTGTACGGGCATCACAAAAAGATTCTTTGTTCCATTTAAAGATAAATCTAATTTAATAATTTACAAAAACACCCTCAAGTCTCCACTTATTTACAGCGGCTACGATTCACCGCGTCCTTCATCTTCTTCCCTAATCCCTTTTTTCTCATTTCTTCTTCAGCTTCTTGTTCTTCTTCTTCTATATATACGTCTTTTAGCTGCTTCTCTTTGTCTTTATCTTGTCCGTTTATCCGAATGGTTCAAACAGAAACAGATCAAAGGATGGGTCTTAATCTGAATTTGTCTATCTACTCTTTACCAAAACCCTTATCTCAATTTCTCGATCAAGTGTCGAGGATCAAAGAAAATCATTTGAAACTGTCTGAAATCGATGGTTATGTTGGGAAATTAGAGGAAGAAAGGAAAAAAATCGCTGTTTTTAAACGAGAACTTCCTTTATGCATGCTCTTATTGAACGAAGGTAATCTTAAAAATCTCTCCTTTTTTTTTTATTATATAATCTTCTCAAATCGATTCGTGTTTTTGTTAAAGAAATTGTTTTTCTCTGTGTAGCGATTGAGGCGTTGAATGAAGAGGCTAAAAAAGGGTCATCAGTGATGGCATCAAATGGGAAATTCGATGAACGTGAAGGGGCAAAACCGGAAACTGATAAGAAGAGCTGGATGAGCTCTGCCCAGTTATGGATCTCGAACCCTAATTCTCAATTGCAATCGGTAATTATAATTCACAATTCAAAATCAAAAATCAAACCTTTTTTTATGTTGTGTGAACCTTATGATGATCATGTTTTGACAGACAAACGAAGAAGAAGATCGGTGTGGGAGTCAAAATCCATTTCAGACATGTAATTACCCTAATCTAGGAGGGGCATTTCTGCCATTTAACCGTCCTCCACCTCCTCCACCACCAGCTCCTCTGTCTCTCATGACTCCAACATCAGACATGATGATGGATTGTAGCAGAATTGAGCAGAATCATCATCATCATCATCAGTTCAACAAACCTTCTTCACAGAGTCATCACATTCAGAAGAAAGAGCAGAGAAGGAGATGGTCACAGGAACTTCACCGTAAATTTGTTGATGCTCTTCACAGGCTTGGAGGGCCACAAGGTTAGTCCTTAACCTTAATAAAGGAACCAACTTTGCATAAATTTTGATTGATTGATTATACTGAGATTGTGTTGTGTTGTGTTGTTGTTGTGGTGAGACAGTGGCTACACCAAAGCAGATTAGAGATTTGATGAAAGTTGATGGTTTAACCAATGATGAAGTCAAGAGTCATTTACAAGTAAAAGTTCTCATCTTTTTTAACTATTAGAGAAACTGAAACTTTGATGTGTGAATGAATGAATGATTTTGACAGTGAGGTGAAATGAAATTGTTTTGCAGAAATATAGAATGCATATCCGTAAGCATCCGCTGCATCCGACAAAGACTTTGTCATCGTCGGATCAGCCCGGTGTGTTGTCAGAGAGAGAATCACAGAGCTTAATAAGTTTGTCGAGGTCGGATTCGCCACAAAGCCCACTTGTTGCAAGAGGGATGTTCAGTAGTAATGTTGGTCATAGCTCAGAGGAAGATGAGGAGGAAGATGAAGAGGAGGAGAAATCTGATGGACGTAGTAGCTGTAGAAATGATGAAAGAAAGAAGAAGAGACAAGTGTTGGATCTTGAGCTTTGAAAGTCGGCATAGTGAATGATATAATCATATACCAACTTATGTTATATATGCTCAAAACTTGAGTTTGTTCGGGAGTTTTTGTAGATGTAAACATGAGAGTTGAAATAAGGAAGAGGATTTTGAGCAAAAAAAAATAGGGTTTGTTTTTCGCAAGAGGAAATAGATAGAAGAGAGTGATCAAAATCCTCTGGTTTGTGTTTTTGTTTTTGTTACTTCATAAGAAAGGTAAACTCAAATATCAAAGATTTTGTTTTTTACTTATTACAGTCTCTCTCAATCATGTGAATGAAGGAGTCATTTGATTAGTTTCACCAACTCGGTAAACGGAAGCTCATAGTAGGATGAAGAAAATCACAATCTTTGTCTTTTCTCTGTAAGACATCGTTTTCTTCAATCTAACCTAATCTATCTGAGAATAAAAATAAGAATCTTTTATTGCATAAAATCGTACGAAAAGATAAGATTTTTCGTCTTAAAACGACAAGATAATAATTTTCACTATTGAAGGAATTGATATGTATATAGAAAATTCAACTCACTGATTTGATGTAGTTTTAATTCCACGAGATTTGCATGTTTAGTGGAAATTGGAAAAGCTTCTTGGCACCATATGTACATATTAGCCAATATAGGGTAGATATTTTATCTTTGACATAATTTTCTTCAAATTTGATATTTATATTAAAAATTCAAATATCTCTAGCTACTCTTGCTTTTCACAAGCCTATGTACTACAAACGTTTAACGCGATTGCGAAAATGTTCAAAAACTATAGCAATCGAATATTTGTTCAAATTAATTCGGTTCTAACCCCAACCGGTTTAGCCACCCGGTTATCTTTGGTTTTCAGGTCTGGGCCTCACGGGCCACATCACCGTCTTCATCAAAATTCACATTTGTTTTTGTCATTGACAAACACTTTTCAATCCAAGGCTCGGCGACATTGAAGGGTTTAAGCAATCACCGGAGCTCTTACGCCGTGAGCTAAGAACCGACCTCTTGTTAGTTTCTTTCAAGTCTCCAATCAAAGAACCATGAGAGAAATTGTGACTATTCAAGTTGGAGAATTCGCAAACTTCGTCGGCTCCCACTTTTGGAATTTCCAGGTCTCTGCTCCGATTCAGTTTAAAATAGTTTCTGGGTTTTGTTTGTATCTGTTTTTCATTACAAAAGTGTTTGTCTTTTTTGCTATCAATCGTTGGGTTTGCTAAAGTTGGGGACTTTTGGTTGAAATGTAGGATGAATTGCTCGGATTGGCGAGTGACCCAGAAAGCGATCCAATCTTTAGAAACCATAATCTCGACATGGACGTTCTCTACCGCTCCGGTGAGACCCTGCAGGTGAGAGATGATTAAGATTTCGTTGACTTTGATCAATCTCACTTGTTGTAAATCTCAATGTTTGTGTGGTGGAACTTTATACAGGGGGTTGCTACATACACTCCTCGTCTTGTTTCAGTCAACTTGAAAGGTAAATAATCTTAGCTTGATTGCCATGTGTTCATTCGAATTTGGTTTTCTTAGTTTCTTATTGAACTCCAATGAACTTAGAACAAGCAAGATTCTGGATTTGATATATAGATGGTGGATATATGTTTACATCTGAAACTTTTCTTCTGTCAGGGTCACTAGGCACCATGAGCTCACGCGGTACCCTCTACAACGAGGGTTCTTCATCAAGATCAGATTCTTCAACTACCTGGTCAGAATTGCATATAAATTTAATCTTAGTGCATATAAATTTTGAGTAAAAAGCTTGTTCTTTCACTAGGGTGATATGATCGACTTTCTGGTTTCCGCATTAGTTGAATATTAGTTATGTGTCTTGTAGGTTTGGAGATGTTGATACTCAGAGATCTGAACCTCGAAAGAGGAACTTGTTTCTGCGAAGTTTGTACGAGGAGGAACATATAGTGGGTAAAGAAAAGGCGAAAGTGATTGAGGACAAAGATATTGTTGGATGCTTAGATGAGGAAGTTGAATGTTGGACTGACTTCTCCAAATCACATTATCATCCTCAAAGTCTATACGAGTTGAACGGATTATGGATGGACTCTCAGGATTTTAACAATTATGGAATTGGTAAAGACGTTTTCTCTGAGGCTTCACGTGGAGAGGAAATATGTGACAGACTCCGTTTTTTCGTGGAAGAGTGTGATCATATTCAGGTTAACCTTTATCCGTTTCTTTTCTTTCTTTTCTTTTCCAACTTCTTTTACTTTCTAACAAATAGTATATACTAATGATCATTACAGGGTTTTAAGTTCCTTGTGGATGATTCGGGAGGATTTTCCGCTGTAGCAGCGGATTTCCTTGAGAACATGGCAGATGAGTACACGAACGTACCTGTATTGCTATATTCCCTAAGGAGTCCAATGTCACAGATGAGCCAGAAAAAGACAGTTTCAAACAAGCTTCACGATGCGATATCGTTTTCTCGACTCTCATCCCTTTGTAAACTCTTTACTCCAATCGGTTTACCATCCTTGACCGGAAGTACGCAACATCCTAACTCTCATTGAAACATAAATCTTTTGATTTTCTCCCAATGCAACTGATGATTTGATCTGTCTTGTTTATCTTTGTTGTTGATTTTTAAAGGTAAAGCATCTAAATTTCTTAATCTCGGTGATGAGAAACCTTATCGAAGCAGTGCAGTGTACGCCACTGCTCTACATTCAAGCACAATCCCTTTCCGAATGCAACCAACTAGCTCAGATTCAAGTGAAGTGTCAAGTTCTATGGATGTTAATACACTTGTACAGCTTTTAACGGGTCGTGGTAGACAAAACATAGTTGCGATTTTAGACTCTGCAATGCCAGCTCCTACAGTAGCAGGGAAGCAATTAGAGAATACCCTTTTAACGAGTTTGCAAGCACTAACACCGGAAGTAACTGAAGATGTAGAAGACGATCAAGCGGTTGAGTCAATGTGTATACTTGGAGCCCTTAGATCAGAAGATAAAGAAGCATTGGTTTCAGAAGTGAGGAATGCGGTTGATGCATGTTACGAACAGGCAACAACCAAAGGGAAGCCGTTGTTTTGCAATCTATCGGTTTCACGATGTCCTCTTCCAGTACCATTACCGTTTCCTTCTATATTTGGAAACCTTGTTGGGAGGAAAGGTGAGATACTGAGCAGTCCGGTCTCGGATTCTCTGCACAGAGGCTCACTGGATGTTCACTCCATACCAGTAGCAACAAGATGGAGATCTTCGAGCGCAGTTTTGCCATTTTTGGAAACTAGAATGGGGAATTTAGAGAAACTTGGGATCCAATGGGGAGCCATGGGATCAGATGTGGTTAGGGCATGGGGATTTGGGAGAGAAGAATTGCAAGAAATGAGGGAGAATCTGTCAAAAATGGTATCTGAGCTGAATCCTCAGTTTTTCGAATCTTCCGATTCAGATTAGTTATGTCTTAAAACTAATATGTTGTATCATCTCTAAAGATTTTCTCTGGTTTGGTTTGGAACTTTTTGGTCAAACCTGTTGTTGATTGACTTATGTTCTTCGTGTAAGTGGCTTGAGAATTGATTTGAAATTGGTGGCATAGGAGAGAAGCAATATCAAACCAGAATAAACCGATATCAATTTGAAACATATCAACATTTATAGTTCCAATGGGATTCTTTTGATCAATTTGAAACATTGCTGCTACTTTCCAACTTTCCCTTCCTGTCTACTTTTTTTGTGCACTATAGAGTTAGAAACAACTTCTATCATCAGCCAGAACCATGACAGTGATGTCACTCTCTCTATCCATGGCTTAAGGGATCAGTAACCTGATGCACCTTACGAGACTCGGCACTTGAGTACTGTCCCACGGCTCGGGCATGAGGAATTGATTGCTTCCCGGCTGCAAGCGCATTCACATTTTCAACTAAATACTGTCTCGGGAGCCTCCCGACCACATTACCTTCTTCGTTCCCTTCTCTATCGAGAAAGGCGAAATGAGGAATACCCTCAACACCAAACTCATCCAACTCTTGCTCCCATTTCGTGTTGTCCACATTTAGCATCACAAAGTTAACTTTGTCCCTGCGAATCACAAGACCACAAGTAAACTTCAACTTTAGCCTAAAAATTGTCAAATTAGTGTCTAAAAAGCTCCATATTCCATTAAACCAACATGAGGTTAATGGTTTTCCTCTGCAACTAAAATCTTCAAAGCTCAACCCTTTTCATTAGCATCTATTTACATAGCCAATCCAATCCTAAAGAAGTTCCCTAATCCATTAATGATTAAACCAACACAAAATAAGATTTCTTCTGCAACTAGAATCAGCTTGTTCATTAGCTTCTACATCCAATCCATTTCTAAACAAGTTCCCTAACCAAATTCTGGTTCAACAACCAGAATCTTGAAAGCTCTAGCTTATTCATCTACATTACTTACTTGTATTGCTGCTCGATTTTGTAAACATCAGGGGCTAGTTCTCGACAAACCTCACACCAATCTGCATAGAACTCAACAACTGTCGGCTTCCCATTCGACAAAGCCTAAAAATCCATTCACAAAACACATTAAGCATCCTTATAAAGTCATTCTACGAGATCAGAAACACAGATGAAGAATCCAAAAACAAAAACCTCCTCGTAAGGCAACGCAGAAGCGGTTAAATCCTTCAATGAAATCCCAAAATCGAGCCTTGTTGACACAAACAACGACAAAGCCGCGATTACAGTAACAGCCGCAACTCTTCTATTGATATCCTTATTGGGAGATTCAGGGAATCCCAAAGAAGAAGAAGAAGAATCAGCAACAGATGATTCCACTTCCTTCGATGCAGCTGAACTTTCACCATTATCTACAACCAATTTCTCCTGAATCAGGTAAAGGCTAGATCTTTAGCTAATTTTCCGTCGACCCATTTCACAAAAGAATCGAAATGTTCACCTGTTTGGTTTCGGAAGATTCTGGGTTTGGTTTGCAACGAACAGCACGAAATCGTGGAGCTCCTGTTTGGGTAATGAATAAAGATTGATGATTTCGAGGACTGAGATTGAATCCATGACTGGATGGAAGGTTTAAAGAAAAGATTAAGCGAGCCATCGTCGCGAGACAGAGAGAGAGAGATGACAAAACTGTTGAATTTACAGGTTACTTCATCAGATCGTTAATATCGTACTAGTAGTAGCTTCTTCGTCTAACCAAGCTATTAGAACCACACGTTTTTTGTTATTTCGCGGAAAATTAATCATAAAAAAGATTTAACTTTGACACCAAATAATATGAAATGAGTCACTCTTCATATTCAAAAATAATATTTTTATTAGATACACAATTGTTAAATGTATTGAAACATAATGGGTTTATAATAATACTTTTATGGGATTAAATAAAATATGAAAACAGTAAAACAAGTATTTATGAAAACTTTAATATTTAGTTATAAAGTTTAGTTTGTTTTCACATCTTTGAAATTTCACATTTAAATTTTTTAAAAAGTATTCTATTTAATTAAAACTTTAGTTAAATCAACGTATTTAAATTTAAATTTGAAAACTTATTAGTTAAAAATTAAAACAATTTAACTAAAAATATTATTTGTTGAAAAACCTTCAAATTAAAATTAAGTGTAAAATTTAAATACGTGAAAACATGTTGAACTTAGGGACCAATAAACTTATAACACCACAAGACATAGTGACCAAAAGGACGGGATGCTAAAAAACCTTATAAACGATTTACTTAAAACATTATTTTTGAAAAATACCTTAAAATTAAATCTAAACACGTGAAAACATGTTGAACTTATGATACCGCAAGACTTACGGACCAAAAAGACGGGATGATAAGTCTAACCGTTTTCACGTATTTAAATTTAACATTCAAGTTTGAAAATATTGTGTAGAATAAAAAACTTTTAGCTAAAATATATATAAACGATTTACTTAAAACATTATTTTTGAAAAAAAACCTTAAAATTAAATCTAAATACTTGAAAACATGGTAAACTTATGACACCGCAAGACTTACGGACCAAAAGGACGGGATGCTAAGTCTAACCGTTTTCACGTATTTAAATTTAACATTTAAGTTTGAAAATATTTTGTATACTAAAAAAGTTTTAGTTAAAAATATATATAAACAATTTACTTAAAATATTATTTTTGAAAAAAACCTTAAAATTAAATCGAAATACGTGAAAACATGTTGAACTTATGACACCACAAGACTTACGGACCAAAAGGACGGGATGCAAAGTCTAACCGTTTTCACGTATTTAAATTTAATATTTAAGTTTGAAAATATTTTGTATAATAAAAAACTTTTAGCTAAAATATTTATAACCGATTTACTTAAAATATTATTTTTGAAAAAAACCCTTAAAATTAAATCTAAATACGTGAAAACATGTTGAACTTGTGACACCACAAGACTTACGGACCAAAAGGACGGGATGCTAAGTCTAACCGTTTTCACGTATTTAAATTTAACGTTTAAGTTTGAAAACACTTTTTAAAAAGAAAATATTTAATATTTTATTTTAAAATACTAGGACTCAGGACCCCCGCGATGTCGCGGGGGAATATATTTCAAAAATCATTTAAAAAATATCAATCGAAAAAATCATAATGAATTGTAATAATTTTGAATTTTTTTAATAACAAATCAATATATATTTTACAAAAATTATGATAAAGAAAACCCTTACAAGCATTTATTAAGTATATTAATATTAGAAAAACAATAATTTGTAACTAAAAAACTATTCTCAAGTGCAAAAAGCATAAACTAATAAAACAAATATTACAATGGTTTGATAAATAAGCCAAAACGTTCAACGTCAAATAAACCAAATGCAATTGTGTTAAATTAAACGGTAACAACAATTCATTTAAATATATTTTAGTATTTAAATATTTTTTTAAAAAATATGACGAACTTATCCGAGAAACGCAACCGTAGATATCAAATATTCCAAAAACTGCAACGGTTCGTCAATTATACCAAATGTTGCAATAGTTCATCAAATATACTAAAGATAACAATGGTTCGTAACACAAAACCAAAAGTTGCAATAATTCGTCAAATAATCCAAATGTTGAAACAGTTCAATTAAATAGTTACAATCTCATTTAAATACATTTTAGTAATTAAAATTTAAGAATTAAAATAATAATTTATGAAAAGTTATACCGAGAGACGCGGCGGTAGATAATTAAATGTTATAGCTATTTATAAAATAAACCAAAAATTACAATTGTTCGTGAAATAAACTAATTATATAAACCAAAGGTTGCAATTATTCGTAAAATAAACTAAATATTGCAATGATTCGAATAAGCGGTTTCAACTGTTTATGAAGAGTTACAATAAAAAACGCAACCGTAGAAAACATTCAGAATGTAATTTATAAAAAAAAAAATATAACCGTAAAATATATATTTTAATTAATAAAAACATTAACGAAAAATTGCGATAAAAAGACGCAACCGTTCATATGTGCAAATGGTATTTATTAGATTGCTATTATATATAGATTAGTTGCGAAAAACATTTATTTTAGTTTGAAATCCAAAAATTTTAATTGAAAAATATTTTTTTACCAAATCAATTATTATCTATAACGTTAACTAATATAGAAATCAATGGAGATTTCTATTCTAGCTCTGTTCACAAGCCGCTGTGGCTAAAACGTTTGATTTGTAAAGAATCTATTATTTGAATAAATTACAGTTTGCCGTAAAAAAAAAAAAAAAACTAATATAGAAATCAAAATCTTATTTAAAAAAAAAAAGGAAACTAAGAAAGGAACAAACCTGACTCTCATGAAATTGGGAGACGTTTGGTCATGGATTGTTGATTGCTAAAGCCCATACGCTGTTTTCGGAAGCCCATATCATCTTGGGTTGAGAGATTTGACGAAACTCCAAGTCATCTTCTTCTTCTCTCCTAGGGCGAGTCCTTAACGGTCTGATTCTGAGCCATCGAAACTCCAAACCTACTCGTCGTTGCCACTCAAGACCTTCTTTGCGTTTTCCCGAAAGCATCCATGGTTGGGTAGAAATCGTGATCGATTGATCAAACACGAGAGAACTCTTTCAAGTGGCGTTGTATGGATGATCTCTAACCTTGTAGGATTTACATCGACTTCTAACGGTCTCGAGATCCTCTCTCTAAAATATTCACAGAGCTAATTTTGCAGAGAAGAAAAAAGATTTTTTTTTTTTTGGAATGACAATTTTGATTTGCAAAAGAAGGAAACATACCTTTTCATATTTGGGCTTCCAAAAAAAGGAAATTGATCACAATTACAACGGCCAAATGTGTCCATATTAATGGAAATTATGTTTTGTTTTAAAAAAATTGGACATTATTAAGTGACTTGCGTATGCTTTAGTGAAACAAGAGCGGTGCAGGTTAGCTAGACTCCACCGTGAGTGAGATAACATACGCACCGTGAATTATTTAATTAAAAAATGAAAATTAATTTTCTCCCAAATTCTTTAATTTTTGGGTTCATTTTCACAGTCCGCCAAAAAAAAAAAGCGAAGAGAGGGTTTTACGACGATACAACAACTCTTCCCCACAAATTTGACGTTTTTGTTCTTCCAATTTCAAATTCACCCAGAACAATCTTAATCCGGCGATGGTTGAAGAATCAGCTTCAGCATCGGAAGCTTCGGTGATACAAACCCTAACCGAGCCTGCGACGGAGATACCGCAAACCCTAGAACCTAACCTAGCCTCAATCGAAGCCACCGTCGAATCGGTTGTTCAGGGAGGCACTGAGTCGACTTGTAACAACGATGCTAATAACAATAACGCCGCCGATAGTGCTGCTACTGAGGTTTGTGATGAGGAGCGTGAGAAGACGCTTGAGTTCGCTGAGGAATTGACGGAGAAAGGCTCTGTGTTTTTGAAAGAGAATGATTTCGCTGAAGCTGTCGATTGCTTCAGCCGTGCTCTCGAGATCAGGTATTATTTCGAAATCAATCTAGGGTTTAGGGTTTCTAATGTTTCTGATTCATCTTCTGGGCTTTGGAATCTAGTTTTTGCTCGAACGATCTAATCATGGTTCTGGGGTTTTTTGGTTGAGATTCAATTGTGTGTCCTTTTAGCAGAGGATTTAATGGAAACATTGCTTTTTTTTTTTATGACATGGTTTAGGGTTGCACATTTTGGTGAACTTGATGCTGAGTGTGTAAACGCATACTATCGATATGGAAAAGCTCTCCTGGAGAAGGCTCAAGCTGAAGCTGATCCACTGGGTAACATGCCTAAGAAAGAAGGTGAAGTTCAGCAAGAGTCCAGCAATGGTGAATCTTTGGCTCCAACTGTTGTTTCAAGTGACCCAGAGAGACAAGGGAGTTCAAGTGGGCAAGATGGTACGGAAGTTTTGGGAATTGTCCTAGTTTAAGCTTATGTGTGTGTAGATGCTTCTGCTTCTTTGTTTTGCTGACTGTTTTTCTCCCTCATGCATAGGTTCTGGTGGTAAAGACCAAGGAGAGGATGGTGAAGATTGTCAAGATGATGACATATCTGATGCTGATGGTGATGAAGATGAGTCTGATTTGGATATGGCCTGGAAAATGCTGGACATTGCAAGGGCTATTACTGACAAACAGTCTACTGATACAATGGAAAAAGTGGATATACTCTGTTCGCTTGCTGAAATATCCTTGGAAAGAGGTATTTCTTTTTCCTTTCACCTTTGCATTGTCTTATTTTCTCATTTAGTTATTGGTTGGTTTTGAGTTGTGTTGTTTACTATGCAGAGGACATTGAGTCTTCCCTGACTGACTACAAGAATGCATTGTCCATCTTGGAGCGATTGGTTGAGCCTGACAGTCGACACACAGCTGAATTGTATCCTTTTGATTTCTTAAATTGTATCTGATTTTTCGTTTATGTCAATTGAGTTGTTGGATGATATAAACTTAACTTGGACGTTTCAGAAACTTCCGCATATGCATCTGTCTAGAGACTGGATGTCAGCCTAAGGAAGCAATATCGTACTGTCAAAAGGCTATGTTCATCTGCAAAGCACGGATGGAGAGGCTCAGTAATGAGATCAAAGGTGCATCTTGTTCAGCAACTTCCTCAACCGTCTCTGAAATAGATGAAGGCATCCAACAATCATCCAATGTTCCTTACATTGATAAATCTGCTTCAGACAAAGAAGCTGAGATTGGAGTCTTAGCTGGTCTAGCTGAAGATCTAGAAAAGAAGGCAAGTAAACTAAACGTATCAATTCATTAAAATAACTCCAAACCCATATTAATGTCCAACATTTGTTGTCTGCAGCTTGATGATTTGAAACAACAAGCAGAGAACCCAAAGCAAGTTCTTGCTGAGCTAATGGGCATGGTATCAGCTAAGGCCAATGCTAGTGACAAGGTTGTTCCTGCTGCTGCTGAAATGAGCTCTTCTAGGATGGGAACTGTGAATACCAATTTCGGGAAAGAATTAGAGTCGCCTACAGTCTCAACCGCTCATACTGGTGCAGCAGGAGGAGGAGGATCATCAGCTGTTACTCATCTGGGTGTTGTTGGAAGAGGAGTGAAGAGAGTATTAATGAATGCAACCTCTGTCGAATCAAGTGCATCAAAGAAACCAGCTCCTGATTTTTCAGACAAAGCAGATGGCAATTCCTCTTGAAAGCGGAAAAAGGTATAAAAATTTCTATTACTAAAGTTTTAACCGAAGAAAACTGAGAAAAACATTTGGTATCTTCCTCATGGATCTTCTGAGACTAGATTTTCAGATTCTTGTATTGTAATGGGGTCCGTACTTACTTCTTTTTAATCGCTGAGATTTTCAGGTTTTTTTTTACTTATTATTGTTGTTAATCAGTCTTATTTTTTATGTGCTTTTTAGTTTAGTCACAAAACCAAAATCTTATTAGCAGAATCTGATAATCATCTGCTTATGTGTATATATATCACTTCACTGAGATTAGTTCTTGGAGAATTTAAAATTAATTAAATTTTATAATAATGAGGGGATAAGAGGATATGCTTTCTTAAAAATGTGGGTTACTTGTAGAATTAAAATTTGGAACTTAATTAATATGATTAGTCGTATAGTAAGATATTAGGAGATATTATGAGCTGTATATGAAAAGGAGACCCTTGGGGAAGCCACGTGTCAATTCTGTCAGTGTCACCAGCGAAGCCTACGTGGCGAGCAGCTCCTAGATATAACGAAATTCAGAACAGTTGTCACAAATGAAATTTAATAAAGTTACTAAAAACATATACAAATATGATTTAGTATCATTATTAACAAAATCATATTTTTATATCTCCTATCTGAAATCTTCAAAGATTTGTAGCGAAGGTGTTTTTTGATTGGTTATAAATACTCTGCTATGTGAGAGAGTTTACTACATTCACAAATAAAGTAGAACTTAAAAATGGGAAGGGTTGAGTTTTTGGCCATGAAGACTGAGGAGGAGAACACGGCGAACCTGATCAATTCTGATCTGAATGAGTTCGTCGCCGCTGCGAAGAAGCTCGTGAAAGACGTAGGGATGCTCGGCGGGTTAGGCTTTGGCACGTCTTTCCTTCAATGGGCCGCTTCAATCTCGGCCATGTGAGCAAAAAAGAACAACCCATTAATTACCTCTCTGGTTTATGTTTGGATCATTATGATGATTCTTATTGTTTGTTTTTGACAGTTATTTGTTGATATTGGATCGGACCAACTGGAGAACCAAAATGTTAACTACACTTTTAGTGCCATACATATTTTTCTCACTTCCTTCGGTTATCTTCCAGTTCTTTAGGTAATCAAGAAAAACTGATCTTTAACATGATGTTATCGAGTTCTTTAGAAAATGTGATCAATATTTGATTTCATTTGACAGTGGAGATTTTGGGAATGGATTGCTCTCATCGCGATCACAATCAGGCTTTTCTTCCCTAAAGAATTTCCAGGTCAGAACCCGAATTTTAATGACTAAACATTAGTTTGAAATTCGGCTTGATAATCACTAAACTTTGATCTTAAAAATCTTTTTTTTTCCATATAAATGTTTAAAACATGTAGATTGGCTAGAGATTCCGGCAGGAATAATTCTTCTTATAGTGGTTGCACCGAGCCTCATAGCTTGGACATTAAGAGAAAGTTGGGTTGGAGCAGTAATATGTCTTGTAATAGCTTGTTACCTTTTCCATGAACACATAAAAGCTTCTGGTGGATTCAAAAACTCATTTACTCAGAAGAATGGAATCTCCAATACCATTGGGATCGTTGCCCTCCTCGTTTATCCGGTCTGGACCATATTTTTTCACATCTTCTAAGTCGATCCGACCCATTGGCTTGTAGACTCTTTCAACATTTTGTGTCGTCAATTCATTTTCAAGGTTTGAATTGTATGTCTGTATAAAAAGCATTTGTGTTTGAGAAATCTTGAATATAAAAAAGAAATTTCAATTATGCTGACTTGTAAGATTTTTTTTCTTGTAAATGTGTGACTTGTAAGATATATGAGTTTGTATATTGGTTGGTGTGTTGAATGAGATCTTGAATATTCTCAACTATTTAATTGATCATGACCAAGTAGTTGTTTTAAATTTTATGAAAATTGTTTTTTAAAGAATTTTACTGGGTATGTTTTAATAATTTATATTTTTAGTTTTTGTAACACAAATTTCTGGTATGACTGTTTTAAACTTTTAATAAAGCGACACAAATTTCGATCATCTCCTATAGCATTGAACTACGTGCCGTTGTTCGTATTCAAAAGTGTACTGCATGACGTAGTAACGTATATTCTTGTACTACAATCAATCAAGATGCGGAATCTTTGATGACAAACAATCGGCAGCCACGTGGCATAAGACAGAACCTGATAATTTTGGACACTTCAAATCTCTCAAAACAGAGAGCTTTTTGTCCGATCAAGGAGGGACTCTGTGGCGGACTATGGCCGCTTTCTTACAAGCCGCCGTTACCACCGTTCAACCCGCCAGGGTGGATCCACCACCTCGGGCCGCCGCAAAGCTCCGGATGTGCGTCTCTAAATGCTTTGGCGTTGAGCCGGTGGCGAGCCGCGTCTCTAAATGCTTTGGCGTTGAGCCGGTGGCGAGCCGCGTCTCTTGCTCCCTCCACGACGATCTCAAGAACTTAACTCTGAAATTCGTTGATACTACTAAGATCGTTAGTTTTTCACTCGCCGCCTCCGCTCTTGTTGTCTCGGTACGGTTTCTAGGTGTTCGACAAGCTACAATCTTTGATGACAAAGTCCTCAAACCTTTTACAGTCTAGTTCCTCCTATGATCGCTAAATTAGGGTTTAGGAAAGTGACCAATTTGCAGAGAAATTGAGTAACATGAATACTGAATTGGAAATTGAGGTTTCTTTTTCTTCTTCACAAATTTCAGTTTTTAATGCTAAAGATTCAGCCTTTTATTGTACTTGATGTGATCTTGATAACTGAAGGTAAGGTTTAAGAATTTGATCAATGCATAGATAAAGATAATTGTATTTTGATGATTCATGTAACATGTTTTTGTGTATTTGAAGGGTGCAAATGCAGAAGGCGTGCCAAAGAGGCTAACTTTCGACGAGATACAGAGCAAGACTTATATGGAAGTGAAAGGAACAGGAACCGCGAATCAATGTCCAACCATTGAAGGTGGCTTGGAGTCATTCGCCATTAAGCCAGGCAAATACTACGCCAAGAATTCTGCTTAGAGCCAACTTCATTCACAGTAAAAGCTGAAGGAGTTAGCAAGAACTCTACGCCGGATTTCCAAAACACAAAGCTCATGACTCGTCTTACCTACACACTCGATGAAATCGAAGGCCCTTTCGAAGTAAATCTCGCTGCTAAAACCTTCCATACATTAGATCAGTTCATACAAAATCTTAGAACTTTGGTATTGATTCAATAGGTAGCTTCTGATGGAAAGGTGAAGTTTCTAGAGAAAGACGGTATTGATTACGCTGCAGTGACAGTACAACTTCCTGGTGGAGAGCGTGTACCGTTCTTGTTCACGATCAAGCAGCTTGTGGCATCGGGTAAACCAGAGAGCTTTGGAGGAGATTTCTTGGTGCCATCTTATAGAGGGTCGTCTTTCTTGGATCCTAAAGGTCGTGGTGGCTCTACGGGCTACGACAATGCGGTTGCATTACCTGCTAGAGGAGACGATGAGGAGCTAGCTAAAGAGAACAACAAGAACACAGCTGCTTCACTTGGTAAGATCACACTTAGTGTAACAAAGAGTAATCCCGAGAGTCGTGAAGTGATCGGTGTTTTCGAGAGTATTCAGCCTTCGGATACTGATTTGGGTGCTAAGACTCCTAAGGATGTCAAGATCCAAGGAATCTGGTATGCCCAACTTGAGGAATAAAACATAGATTGTCTATAGAATCTGTTTGTTTTATTTTTTCTGTAAATGTTGTTATGATTAAAGAATATTGATTCCAGTTCATAGTACATGTGGAACTCCATTTGGTAACACTTTGCACTTTTGGCTTTAATCAGAAACTAATTATTGTGATAAAAGACTAATTATTGCGGATTAAGATAATCATATTTGTAGATCTGGATAATTGCTTGTAACAGCAAATATGATTTTTGATTAAGAAGTAAGAAGAGATTCATAATTAAGCAAACCATTTGCCTTATTATGACCCCATTGTTATCAAATCCACTTTGTGTCTTTTCACCTCCCCTGTCTCAAAAACAGAGGACCCTTTGCTCTGTTTCTTGATTCTGTCTTCTCTTCTAATCAAAAGTTCAAATCTTTTGGACAAACCAAGAAATGGAAGATCGAAGCAGGTGAAAATGACGAGAAGGAGAGACGGTAACAAGGGTTCCTTTCAAGGAGATGGTTAGAACGGCGTCGTTTGGAACCAGCTCAAGCTTTGTACTTCGTCTTGGGCAAACTCTGTTTTCCTCTGCCTCGCTTCTTTTCATGTGCTTTAACGATGACGAAGATTTCTACGCTTACACTGCCTTCTGGTAATAACTCAAATCTTTCATTCAAAATTATAACACAAGTTTCGAAACAAGAGACTTAATTATGAATGTTATGGAACAGTTATTTAGTCACAGTCATGGGTTTAGTGACACCTTGGAGCGTGGCGTTAGCCCTAATGGAAGCTTACTCAATCATCCTCCAAAAACTTCCAATGCAAGCAACAGTTATATCTGTCATCGTCGCTGGAGATTTTGTAAGTAATCTTTGTGCTTAAAACATTCATCTACTTTATTTTGTGTACGTGTCAAAATTCGAAACTAAATTGCTTTTTATCAAACAAAAGAAGATTAATTTGATAAGAAAACGTGTTTCTCTGAATGAACCAATTGTTAAGAAAAGTTGTTACCAAATGAACTGATTGTGACTAGTAATAGACATAGAAATAGTGGATATAGATTAGATTTTGATTGGTTCCTATCAAAATACAATCCAAGAACAATTCAAACTGTAATACATTCCACAACTTTATATTAGCTTTTCTGCAATATTCTTTCCCACTATAATATCTGTAGTGGACCATATCATATAAGAAAGATGGAGAGATATCCAAATCACATTAGCCATTAAAGGATAAAGCTTTTAGGCTATACACCAACTTATAGTTATCTAATAATGGTAGCCACTGTAATATGAGTGGTTCCGGTGCTATCAATATCGGGTCAACTAATCTTTACTATTCAAAAATTGTTGGTTCCTTATGTTTCTTGTTTAACTTAGACTCCACTTTTTATATTAGTTTTGGTAATTGAGTGTGTGGTCGAATTTATCTCAAACTAATAAAGTTATGTATAGAAGTTGTAGTAGGCCAAAACTTTGCAGCTGAGGGGAACCATGTTTTGGACTGGTCACTATAATTCAACTACAATTTAAACCGGAAAAACACTAGAACGTGTCGAATCTGAAAATGATCATGATTTATATTGAACTGACTCATGTAAAACGAGTCACATCAAAGCTAGAGTAAGCTGATGAGTGATGACTCATCCAACTCTACATCAATAGAACATAATCATCATCTGAAAATATCTGTTTGCAACAAGCAGAGGAATATGGATCACTTGTCTTGCTTTAATCAAGATGGCGAAATCTCTAGAGTACATCAACTTGTATATCTTTGTTGTTTGGTGGTAGACTCTGAAAATTTGATTTCTCCTTTGAAAGACTTTAATTCTATTTTTATTAATTATATAATAAAAACATTAAACAGGAAAAAAAAAATATTTGGAAAATGTAGCAAAATTGGAACTAGTTATTTTTTGCAAAAAAAAAATGTACAATGGTTGATAAGCTAATTATAATTTCCTAAATATTTGGATTTATTCAGGTTTTGTCGTTTTTGTCTTTGGGAGGTGCATGCTCGACCGTGAGCGTGGCCGTACTTTTGATCGGCGCCGGAGAGAAGCAATGTGATCTGTATAAGTTATCGGCGACAATGGCGTTTTTGTCTTCGTTTCTTTCATTTGCTTCCACTTTATTTAATTTTCGTCTTCTCCCTTCTCTAATGTCTCACTAATTAGATTTCATTTCACCAGTCTATGGTTATATAATTATATTCTTCCTTTTGTATTTGTTGCAGAATAATTTTCCTTTGCTTCGACCAATGCCATTTTCCTGACGGATTTTCGAATATTATTGTTTTTAGTAATTTATAATTTCAAATAGCAAATGTCATATCGAATGTCCCATTAGAAACAATGTATATATATAGGAAAATTTTGTAGTCTTTGAACTGTAAAACAAATTTGACCTTTCATAAAGTACATATTGTAGTTTGCAAGGCATGTTTTAGCATTGCACATGGGTCTATACAAAACTTTATGATTAAACTATGCTCTACAGCAAAATTACTAATCAAGGACTCAATCTATTATCTATATAGTTGGGTAAAATTAAAAAAAATTGTGATGAATTATATAAAGTATTATTTTGTAGGTTAATTTGTTCTTCTTCTTTTTTTTTTAACACAGTAGGTTAATTTGTTCATATTTTTGAATAATGATATATATAATAATTTAATGTAATATATGGGAGACATGAAGATCTAAACTATATCCTAAGTGTCCATGCCAATCTCAAATCTCATTTCATTTGAAAATGTCTGGATTTAGATAAGTATTTATCTGTATTAGCAATTTAGCATACTACATACAGATGAATCAAATTAATTAATTTAAATAATAATTGTAATAGATATTTATTTCATTGCTTCTAAATGAGAATCGACTTATGGATTTTAAAATGTTCGTCGTTTATTCATTAAAGGCACCGGCTTGTTCAAGTGCATGCACATACAAATTCATGTGTTCCGTACGCATAACTTTCTATAGATTTTCTTAGATACCCAAATGAAATCACATAAACAAATTTTATATGTTTTTATAAACAAACTCAAATGGCCAAATCACACATATAGAAATTTTCCCAACCTTACTTCTTGACTTTTTACTGGTTTTTTTCCTCTAAAATCCCCAGTAGTATTTTATTGTTATTCGTTTTTTTCTCGTCAAACAATTACAAAAACTATTGTACTGCTTAAGTGTATATAATTAAGGTTTTTTAATGTGCATACGTATATAGATTGTTCCACAAAATCAAGACCAACATTATATAGTTGATACTTTTATGAACCATGATTAGGAAGAATTCTTAAGCGATCAGAAGTGATTGAAGATAAAGGGACCCAAGACAACCTTGCATGATGATGAAACTTTGATTCTAGATTTCTATAAAATTTAAAAGATGGGAAGTTTCATGGTAATGACAAGTGCGAGCTTTTTTCAATGAATTTAAAGAACAAAATACAAGAAATTATCGGACAAAAAGAAGGAGTCCCACTATCGCATAAAACAAACATATAAATAATACAAAACCATAAAAATCAATATTCTATATCGAATGAATCATATCTTTCAACTTTAAACCACTGAAATTTTGCATATGGATATTTTCCCTAGGTACCATTTAACAGTGCCGGTCCGAGCATTTGCGAGGCCCTACACGAAAAATAAAATGAGGCCCAATATATTTATAAGTTTTAGGGCTAAAAATTTTTTTGACCTATTTTTAGTAAATTATACAAAAATAATGATATTTTGAATATTATTACATTCAAATTTAATTGTTTGGACCCTATTTTATTTATTTTTTTCGAAAAAGGCTTTAGTTTCTACCAAATATTTTTATTTTATGGGCTTAATTCTTTTTTTTCTTCTAAAATTGGGCCTTTTTTACAAAAAAAAAAAAAAAAAAAAAACCTTTAAAAAAAAAAAAAAATTGTGGTGCCCCAAGCCACCGCTTGGGTGGCCTGTCCTCCGGGCCGGCTCGTCACTACCAAGTCCATATCGTTGGTCGCTCGATGTTTTTACGTGTTCCGTCTTTTTTAATTAACTAAGAAATTACTTTCTTATTTAGAGAAAGTCACGAACATAATTCTTCTAAGATTAGTATGTCAGTGATTTTGAGTTAAATCGTTTGATCTTCTTTTAATTTCTATCAGTTTTTTTCTTTTCCACCAGTCATCTTCTACCATAATCTACTACTCTAACCAAAATTTGTTGAGTTATTTTACCAAAAATATTGGTGCATCACTTTTCAAAAATACCATCAAAATAATGTTTAGAATGTATAATACGGATTATACAAATACAAGTGACATATAAACACATGATTGGACGCGCCATGAGTGTTACTTATTTTTGACTTTTTTTTTTTTTGTCAAAATTTTTTGACTAATTTCTTAAGATTAATTATTATGGTGTGAATACACATTGGAGAAATGATTTGTAATCTTCACAAACACATCCAACGAGTGCAAATGCACATGTTAAACGGGATCGTTCACCTCCTCAACTCACCAAAAAAAAAAATCATAATTAAGAAACCCGAATAAATTGAATTGTAATTTTTTTAATAACATGTTGACAAAAAAAAACACAATTTTATAACATATATTTGCACGTGATTTTTGTAAGTTAGTCTAATAAAACTCTTTTCGAATAAAATTGAACTGGTATATGGAAGAAAAACATTAGACCATCTCAATTAAAAACTGATTCGTAACATTTACAGCTAATTAAACATGATATTGTTTCTTTATTGTGGAATGTGTATTATGGTCGGGTTTTCTTTTTCTCAAACGGTCGGTTTAATTTACTGATGAAAAAACAATACTATTCAAAGATAAAGTATTTGGAAGTCGAATAATAAAGCATTATTTTGTGTGAGTCAAAGAGGTAATAATTGGCTCAATCTTCTCATTTGTGGGCTGAGACCGTGAGGGGGAGCATCCATGAAGCTTCATACAAAAGCATGGAGCATGTGACGTTCGCTTTCTTGTTCTACATCCAAACCCTTTCTAATAATAATAATGTCAGTTATTTTCACAAACTCATGTTATTTACGATAAATTACAAAAACAAAAAGAAACACTAATAAATAAAACAGTCACACGTTATTACGACACAAGTATCTATAACAGAGAAGAGGCATTATTTTGTACAACAAAATTAAAACACAGATTATGAGTGTGTTACAACTAACAAGCATTACTTCGACAGTCCAGCTTAAACAATTCCCTAATCGTAACATATATATTATTTCAAACTCATCTATTATTATTCGAGTCCTTCTGTCGCAAAAGAAATTTGTACTACATATAAAGCAGTAATCAGGATATCTCATACTATCCACCATTAACGGTTTCGACTAAAAATATAATAGCTCAATAAAATAGAAAACTACCAGAAAAAAAAAAAAAAAAATAAAAAAAATAATAATAATATAATAAAGGGTAATTAAATGTCAATATGTAGTTAAACAGTGATATAGTAGAATGGTATACGGTGGATTCTCTTACTACAAATTGATGTGTTACGATAAGCATATGACATAACTACTTCAACTTGTCCAATAACACATATTTGATGAATATATTGTTCTATATATAGTTTTATACATCAATTAAGAGGGTTTAGATGATTGATTTCAGCGTGTAAGGGTCGATTATTGGACCACAATCAATTTGCAGTAATTAAAATTACTAATAGAGGGAAAATTACTAATAGAGGGGTCGTTTGACCAAAGGACAATGAAAATAATAATAATACTATTAGCTAAACACCACTTCATTTCTGGTTGGCATCGTTGTGATGATAGTTGACAATGAACCGCATATTGACCCATCGTTCCATTCCAAAATTTGACTATTACATATTATTCAGAACCACGGATAAAATAATAACAATTTCTATATCCGAAGAAGCATGAACAAAATAACGAGATGTCACCGGGCAAGAAAGGACTTAACGAGTTTAAGCCATCACCAATAGAAATTGTCGGATTCTTGTAGGACCCATCTAAAGGTACGTGGCATCTCCTGGCTCGAAAATACGATGCGTGGCTGCGTCAGATTAGGCCACGTTGTTTCCCTGCCACTCCCTTCTCTTGCTATTCCTACACTCTCGTTTTGTTCCGTGGACTAAGGCCACGTCTATTGTTACATTATTCTTATCATATAGGTTCTGATATTTAAAATATCAACAGTGTAATACTACTATTAATAAAACAAATTAGGACGTAGTTTAACGTAACCTAGAAGCAGAGCCGTAGCTGGATAGAAGCAAGAGAAGCGGGAGCTGCGGCCCTCCGAGAAGTTATTAATATTTTCGGCCCTCAAATACTAATGTGTTTTGGTAGCCTAGTGGTATTATGTCATACACCACATATCTTAGGTCATGAGTTCGAATCACCTAAAGCGTGAGAGAAGGTTTTTTTTGTTTTTTGTTTTTTTTATGGTTAAACTTTTTATAAGTATAACACTTTTCTAGAGCGGCCCTTTTTTTTTTTTTCGCGGGCGGCCCTCATAATCGTTGCTACGGCTCTGCCTAGAAGGACATGAGATTTTGCGTAGTGATATAGTATTCATCGAACGAAAGAGTTAATATTGTAATTTCTCGCAAATATATTACTCAGATTAAAACCAATCACTAACATTTATCAAAACAATCAAATCACAGTAAAACTTCAATAAATTAATATAGCTAGGATTACGATATTTTATTAATTTATCGAGTTATTATTTTATCGATATACTAATTATTTCGAAAATCAAATTTAGGATCAAAGAAATGTATTAGTTTATCGAAATATTAATTATCAAATATTAATTTATAGAGTTTATACTACATTTAAATACAACTACTTACATTATTCTCTCAATCTTAATTACTAAGATATGCCAATTCTTTCCTTTTACCTTTCCTCTATAGGTTGGGTAAATGTCTCTAGACAAGAAATTAGAAAGATAAAGTACTAAAGTAGTAGCTACAAGTCCTTACGCAACTTGGTAAACCAAAACGGGAACAAATATACTTACAAAGGAGAAGTAAAACCATGGTCGCCAACAATATGCTTACTCTATTTAGCTTAAGTCATGATCACTTATTTTTATTCGTTATCACCAATCAAATTCATTGTATTTTAGGATCTTCAATGTTGACATCAACGTAAGCAAACTCTGGCTTTTTTCCATGAGTGCGACTGGTAGATTTTAATAATTTTGATTAACAAACCTCTTGCTTGTCACTAACCAAACAAAT